GACGAGTGGGTGCTTTAACCGCAAGGCTACCTCACCGCCCCGCCTTAACAAAGACTTATGACAGTCTTAGTGCTAAGATTACTTTGCACAACAGAGCCCTGGCGGGGGTAACAAAATACAGTTGAGCACCGTTTTGTTGAACCCTGATAACTCAATATCTTGGTTGTCTCGATATAACATCTCCGTCCCGGCAAAATCCTTCATAAATTATCATTATTCAAGCTCTTTTAACTCGATACGGTTTTCTCGATATTTCGGATATCTCGATATAATTTCAAGGTCCCAACAAGCAAAATTACCCTTTTAACTCGATATTTGCAAAGAAACTCGATATTCATGTACCTTTCATGGGCAAGTATCCCTCTGAACTGAGGTTGTTTCCACACGTTTACACACGGTGCGGCATGAATCAAACGGATGCTGTAGTGTAAACTAATTAGGGCTAATTGAGTTGAAGGTGTCACTTGTTTGTTATGTAATTAGGATTAAATAACAAGGAATTAATTAGGAAGTACTCACTGTTACGACTAAACACGACTGATAACGGATTATAGTTTTGAATCAAAACATACTGAGAAGCGTTTAGTTTTCTTTCATAGTGATATGTGACGATATGCCCTGGTCGGATGTCTCGGAGTTCAGAAAACTTGATATTTTTTTCTTGGTCCCATGAATATCGAGACAACGGTGCTCGACTGTATACCCTCTATTAGCGTCTGTGGATATAACGCAGCCAGGATCGCACAACTGAGAATCCACTCACCTGGCAGACACTTATCGTCTTCACCATGGCAACACTTCGAATGAGGGAGACAAATAAGTGATGTGGATTCAAACTGATGCAGGTTGTAGATAGTGTGCGAAATAGCAACTGGCCTGCTAGCCTGTGGCTAGTAAAAATGCAGTCAGGCCAGTAAATCTACAGTCACTGGCCTGAAAGGCTAGTGAATTTTCATGGGGTCATCTTTTAAATATATCCTTCTCTCCGACTTGATAAGTTATAATACACTTTTAAATAATAAGGTAAGATTATGGCCTGAAAAATGATGTTATTTTACCTTTTTGTAACCTTTTGCTTAGTTTTTACATTCAAATTTCTGGCTAGTGAATTATTCTGTGGGCTTGTAACTTTCAGGCATTTCGAAACTATTTCGCACACAGGTTGTAGATATTCACAACTTCAGTGACAGCTTTGAACACGTGGTTTTGACAAACCAAGGATCACAAAATTCTGGTAGGAATAAGGGAGGCTACTCTGCACAACCAAATGTGATTTCTTTGACAACTGTTACACCACACCACTCATAAACTGAGGGAATCAGTATAAATGTGAATAGCTGTTTCATAATTCACAACTCATACATCAGTATAATGATATGCAGTAAAAACACAACAGTTGCATATATCTGGTTAAAACAAGTGCAGATGCTAGAGTGTAAAACAGTATGAGTCAACAATGTGCATCATATAGACAATGTGGTCATCCAAACATATTATGTCCAATAAATCATAGGCATCAACTTTTAAGAAGAAATCCAATATTTCAACAGAACACAATTCTCTAATACAAAAATACCAACCACTAAGGCTCGAAAACAAATGTTTCTTGGACACATTTTTGGCAAAAAAGGTCAGATTTATCAAAAATTATAAAATAATAGAATTACAAATATTTAAAAAACAAAAATGTAATTTTTCAAGTAAAATTGATATTTTAATACTTATCCTGACTCATAATCTTTTGCTTATCTCCCTTTTCCTTGCGAATGGTAGTGGAACACTTGAATCCCTTGAAGTTCCCGAAGCGGACGTAAAAATACACTCACCCACGACTTACCTCATTCCGAAGTGTTTCCAGCGGGGAGGTAGGGAGGGCTTGACCTCATGAGTCAGGATAAGTATAAAAATATCAATTTTACTTGAAACATTACATATTTTTACTTATCCTGACTCATGATCTTTTGCTTATAGAATCCAACGGATTGGTGGTGGTCAAGCCACTTCCTGGATTCATCAGTTGTCCTTAGATACGTCCTGTATCCCCCCCATGGGAACTGCATAGCGGCATTTCCGTGATCCTATTCTTCCAACTTCCGTTATAACTCGGGGGGGGACCACTTCTTGTCTTACTTCCATCTCAGACAAGTTGAATCGTCTTGATTCATGTGGCTTCAGATAAACTAGTATCTTCATATTACTAGGTATCTTATAACAACCCATAGATTATGATAAGATCTTTATCATAAATGAGTTGCGACCCCTTCACGTACAGGTAAGATCTTTACCCGTACAGGATCTTTAATCACTCATGCTAGCCTGTCCTAGACTGTGCGCATGGACTTTCAAACTAATACTTTTCTTTAGTTAAAGTTATCAACAAGTCAACGTGATAAAGGGTGAGATTTTCCAACTCAGCGTCTTTGTGGAGCCGTTAGTAGCTGTGCTACAACGAGAGGCCCAAATTGGTGAATGCCTGAGACGACTTCAGTGGCTATGTCTCCGAGGTAGTGGTTGGCAAACACCATGTCCGACTTCTAAAAGCAGCCCTCCATAATTGCTGATATAGAGCAATTTCCATGCAGAGCTAGTGTTGACGCCAATGCTCTGACTTCGTGTGGGTTGGAAGCTCTTGGAGGCTCTAATCCTGCTGCTTTATAGGCTCTCAATATGACGGCTCTCATCCAGAACGATATGGTCGTTCTTGAGACTTCTGCTGATGTCTCTGTGGATAATGGGATGAATAGGCGCTTGAATTTTCGTCTCCTTGTCTTAGTCTTTGAAGATATATCTTCAGGGCTCTGACCGGACACAAGGATAGGTCCTCTATATCCTCTGGTCCGAGGATTGTGGATAGCACTGGTACGTGGAACTGTCTATCTGGCTGACCAGGTAGTTGGTTCTTGGCAATGAAGTCCCATCTAAGTCCTAGATGAACTGCAGCATGTTGCTCCGTGTCGAATCTGGTTCAACCAAAGTCCAGCGCATGTATCTCTGATATCCGAGCTGCCGTGGCTAGCGCAAGCAGGAACAGAGTCCTCTGTGTCAGCAGCTCGAGTGTAGTCTGGTCTATAGGTTCGTAGGCATCATAGGACGTAGAATTACATTCAGATCCCAGGCCGGAGCTCTGGACTTCTTTTGCTGGTCCTCTAGTTTAAAAGATCTCAGCAGAGCAAGTAATTCTGGTACTCTCGTCCACTTTATCTACATACCACGACGCCATCAGTACAGTGATTACCATGGAAATAGGCATAATGTCGAACCTTTTAGATGTCTGGTCTGTCTAAGATGACACAAGAATTCCGCCACTTGAGGATGAGTAGCTCTCATCGCAATGAACAGTGTTTGGTTCCTGTGGACTTGCTTGGTGTGCGGATGTATGAGTAGGTTCGACCAATCTGGTAACGTGATTGTAGGACTTCCGAGATCTTCTATTAGGTTTAGGAACCATATTCTCGCTGGCCAGTATGGCGCAACCAAGGTCAGTTGTAGCGCCTGTGTCTGTTTGATCTTCAACAGTACTTTCGGTAGTAATATCAGTGGTGGAAACGCATAAGTGTTTAGTCCTTCCCATGATATGTTCAGTACATCTGTTGCCCAGGCTTGAGGATCTGGAACTGGTGAGAGAAATGTCTGTAGTTGTTTGTTGAACCTCGTGGCAAACAGGTCTATGCATGGGGATCCTATTTCCCTTATGATGAGCCGAAATGTTTCTGGATGGTGCATCCATTCTGTAGGTGAGGGGTGCAGTGGTCGGGAGAGAGCGTCTGCAAGCATGTTCTTGGCTCCGGGTATGTGACACGCCTTTATCCAGATGTTTGCCTCCTCCATGATGTCAAACAACTGGAATGTGAGCTGTAGTAGGCTTGGTGATCTTGTAGATCCTTGCCGATTTATGGAGAATGCCACTGTAGAGTTGTCCGTGTGGACCATCAGCATTCTGTTGATCAGCGAGCTCGACCTTAGTTGTAAGGCATTGATCACAGCTTTCATCTCCAGCAGATTGATGTGAAGATGCTGCTCTGTTTGGACCACTTCCTTGATGCAACTTAATTGTTGAGATGTGCACCCCAACCTTGTATCGATGCGTCTACGTAGAGATGTGTGTTGAAGGCCGGCTCTTGTAATTAGGTCCCTCCGCAGACGTTCGACCTGTGGGTCCACCAAAGTAGGTACCTCTTAAGATTGTCTGGCAGCAAGATAGGGTCGACGCTGTCCAGATGTTTTGTCAGGAACTGTTGCAGCGGCCTTAGTTGTAATCTTCCTGTGCAAGTCAAGTCTGCGCCGAGGTTAGTAGACCGAGTAGACATTGCCATGTTCGTAGTGTTAACGGAGAGATGACTGCTTGTGGAATCATGGCTTGTATCTTGACCCAATGATCTTCTGGGACCACAATTCGATTTTATGTGTTGTGATAATTCTTATTCCCAGCAATTGAAGATCTTGTTTGATTCTAACTCCAACTTCATCAGGTTCACTAGCCATCCTAGTTGCGTGAGCAACTTAATTGTGAAGTTTAGCTGCTGTCTGAGTTGATTGGCACTTTGAAGAACCTGTATGCCGTCGTCCAGATAACCGGCACTGTGTAGACCTCGATGCTGCAGATAGGTGCCCATAGGCTTGGTTATTCGTATACAAATACAAATAATTTTTACAATTTTTTTACATATAATACATAGTAGTTATTGCCAAATCCATACACAGCGTAATTTTGAAGAATAGGAACTAAATGTATAGGATATAATGCCGTATACGGGACTCCAGTGCTCGCTCAACCATCCACTTGAGCGAAAAGGGAGAGAGTGACAAGTAAGGCTGGTCACATGACGGTTTACGCGGGAAAAGGGAGGTAACTCGTGGGTGAGTGTATTTTTACGTCCGCTTCGGGAACTTCAAGGGGTTCAAGTGTTCCACTACCATTTGCAAGGAAAAGGAAGATAAGCAAAAGATCATGAGTCAGGATAAGAAAAAATAAACAAAATTGATTTGGCAGGAATGTTTTGGGACTTTTTTTCTACCAGGAATACCGAGAAACACAACTCGGAAGGCCTTAGTTTATGTACTATGTCAGTCAACAAGCATGGATAACAGATAAAACGGGACATTTACAAAGTATTTATGGACAACAAAAATAACTGGTGCTCAGGTTTCATAGTCCTGAGCCTGTGTCCAAGACACGTCCTTCATATTCAGCCTCACAAGATGCCACCTAGTGTTATATCCAACATGACCACAGTTCATATCAGACTTTTGGTTTTTTGTAACACTTGCTACATTTTGGCAAGAAATCGTAGTTTTTCACTACTTCAAGGACTAATTCTAGAGACTAAGCTCACCATGACTATTTCTATAGGTTTCTACACATCTAAGTCACATTCCCCCAATTTACACAAGCAAACAATATAATACATGAGAGGAACCATACAGATTATACAACAGACATCCATAGCCAGACTCAAGCTGTTGTTAAACAAGCCAGCTAGCACCATCAAGTGATGTCGGAGTACAGTTACAATTGTCATTCTTGCGCAATACTGAAAAAAGATCAGGTGCCCATTCCACAAAGCAATCATAGAGCTAACTCCCACACTTTAACATAGACTTACGACTGTCGTAGCGCTACAATCGCTTTGAGGAACAGGGCCAGGACTCTAACCCAGATACCTAGCAACCAGTTGTAACTAAGGACCAGTTATTGCCATTGTATCATGCGTAGATCGCATTTGGTTCATGTCAGGTGGCAGACGGCAAATTGTTGAAACATTTCTTTGACATTTCATTGAAAAGAAGTGATACCAGATTTAATTAAAATTTCAGTTTATATAACTGAATCGGTGCACATTATCACATGCTGTTTAGAGATGGCGATAACTAGTACATAGAGTCCAATGGAAATTTCTGTTTCCACCATTATGCTTTTGTCTCATTGCATTATAAGAAAATTCTACTCAAACTTTCCATGGACAAAAATATATGCAACTGCGATTATTTGACAAAAATCTAGTTATCAAAAGTGCCAAATCCATACACGGAATATTTCAGAAATAACATTAAAAGAAAATGGCGACAACTGGTCAACTACCAGACGGGGTCTGAGTCCTGTTCCATGAAGTGATCAAGACCATCATATCTTAAATACTTTAACCTAAAATCAATCAATAATCTTATTTTAAAGTATTTGCAGTTCTGATCACTTTAGCGCTAAGATAACTGAGTGATCAACTATTAGACAAGTCTAGTTGTGGAATTCATTTGATCTCTTGTGTAAAAGTGTTAGTCCATGTGCAAGGTTACTCCCAGAATGCTGTTCACTTGTACTTCACTTCCTGTTCGATGTCCTTCATAACTCTCAGAACGAGCTCCTCCTGGAAGGGCCGGGCTGCACACTGGACACTGACTGGCAGGCCATCGCTTCCTCTAGACATCTGGAGGATGAAGTGGGGAACATTAGCCATCACTCTCAAATCCGTATAGTCCGCATACCAGCACCCCCTCCTCCCCCTAAACACCACCGCAGTACACCCCCCTTCCCTTCCACATATATGTACTAGTGGTGGTCCGATTAATTGAAAAAATCGAAGATTGGTCGCAGTGACTAAACGACCAAGCAATCGATCATGTTTTCTCATAATCGAACACAAACAATTCTGGAACACTTTTTGCATTAACAATATTTTTCACACGGTTGGTTTTGTCTGTTACATTTCATGAACACAACATGCTCGTTCCAAGTCACAACTGAATTTAATTTAAAGACGACAAGAAATTTATGTTCCTACATACTAGTCATCCTTTAAAGATGTGCAATTTGCAAAAATCACCCCAAGGAACTGCATGTATTTTCTTTATTTTATTGTGCATTAACAAAAATAACCAGGAAAATTTCATAAATGACGCTAACCAATTATTTTAGAAGATTGATCGGTTGTAATGAACCAATCATCAATTACGAGATTTTAACCAATTCCCAACACTAATATGTACACACATTCCCATCCATTAGACAAAATCATCATGCCCTCTCCCCACAAACACACCACCTACACACAACACATAAACATCACCCCATCATTCCCTCAACAAACACCCCCCACCCCCACACCACACACATACAAGCCACTACATATATGATTGCAATAATCTGTAACATGACTTAAATTCCTTCATTTCACTTCACACCACCTCAGCCTATGAAAGCCTCAGTCACACAGTTAAAACAGACAATTCCTGTAAAACTGTGTCTACACATAAGGCCCATCATGAGGCAGGGATTTAGAAGGCTCAGAGGTCCATATTCAGCTCCATATCTACAGCAAAATTACCAACTCTGAATTCCAACTTGCTCAAACAAAAATTAGAACTGATGATATCTCTGATAATTAAGAGACAGAGATTTCACCTTTTCTTTTAAAACATATACAGCATTTTAAAAAATGTTGAAATAATATCTGAATTCAAGCACTAAAGGGCAAGTTTACACGAAAAATAACCTTTTTTTCTTGTAGTTTTTCCCATCATAAAAAGTGTTTGTCAAGGAGTTTTACAGCCAAAACAGAACAGATAACTGAAGTAACCAATTTATTTTATTGCGTTATATCGATATTCAAATTTTCCGCAATAACCGAGAGTTCTATGTCCACAATAAACACATGGTTTATGTCCCTTGGAAATGACATCATCAGTGCCTGACTGATAAACGAATGACTTTGTTAAAACTTATTAGACTCACTTCACAAGGTGCAGGTATAGGTGTGGTTCTTCTGTGATTTTTTCATGTACAGTTCCCCCCTTAAGACCTTAAAAAAACCTTGAATAAAATAACAAAAAAAGCATTCCAAGGGCACTTAGTTTGTTTCTTCTGTAAGTAGCCCATCTGAACTGACTGTAGTTATTTATTCAATTACATTTCACTGACCAATTTGATTAACCCCCGTATTGGTACTCACCTTTTTGGTCATCTTTTCATGGATGGTATTTGTTGGATAAACCTCCTCTAACTTCTTTTGGTCATCTTCAGTAACCTTGGTTACAGGCAGACTGCCAGCAGGAAAGTTGAGCACATTGTAGAGGGTGGTGTACGTAACAGCAGCTGAAACACATGAGGAGGAAATTGCAACTGCCATCTATTGATTTTGAAAGTTATGGAGGGGGTTGTAATGAGCATCTGTTCTACCTGTGCTCTCAGCTGCCTTGCCAAGGGGTATGGCAGGAAGTGCCATTGTTGGCGACAGAATGACATCAAGTTTCTGTTTTGTCATGGCTGCCAAGAACTCCAGTTTGTAAGCCTGAAACAGAAATATGCAATTCATGGATGAGGGATATCAGACATATGTACCTACTCTATGCTGATGGCAGATAGATCTAGAGACTGTACACAATGTATGGCTAGGTGTGTGTGTGATATGATGATGATATTTAAGGAAAAGCATGTACAATGTGAATGACCCCCCCCCCCAATGTCATGTACAAAATCATTGCCCCAACCCTCCCTTCCCATAATTTCAGAGCATAATTTTATAATATTTTTGTGTACAAAAATTGCTGACCCCTTAGTACATGTGTACACAATTGCTGACACCCTCCATCCCCAACTTCCAAGAACAAAATGGGTAACCATGCTGTTCCATGCTCAATGATGGCAGACAGTCCTCTCTATTCTATCATCAATGACGGCAGACCTTGCTATTCTATGCTCAATGATGGCAGATAGACCTTGCTATTCTATGCTCAATGATGGCAGATAGACCTTGCTATTCTATGCTCAATGATGGCAGATAGACAGACCGCTCTGTTCTATGCTCAATGATGGCAGATAGACCTCTCTGTTCTATGCTCCATGATGGCAGACAGTCCTCTCTGTTCTATGCTCAATGATGGCAGATAGACCTTGCTATTCTATGCTCAATGATGGCAGATAGACGTCGCTATTCTATGCTCAATGATGACAGATAGACCTTGCTATTCTATGCTCAATGATGGCAGACAGTCCTCTCTATTCTATCATCAATGATGGCAGATAGACGTCGCTATTCTATGCTCAATGATGGCAGATAGACCTTGCTATTCTATGCTCAATGATGGCAGATAGACGTCGCTATTCTATGCTCAATATAGCAGATAAACCTTACTATTCAATGCTCAATGATGGCAGATAGACCTTACTATTCTATGCTCAATGATGGCAGACAGACCGCTCTGTTCTATGCTCAATGATGGCAGATAGACCTCTCTGTTCTATGCTCAATGATGGCAGACAGTCCTCTCTGTTCTATGCTCAATGATGGCAGATAGACCTTGCTATTCTATGCTCAATGATGGCAGATAGACCTTGCTATTCTATGCTCAACGATGGCAGATAGACCTCTGTTCTATGCTCAATGATGGCAGATAGACGTCGCTATTCTATGCTCAATGACGGCAGATAGACCTCTCTGTTCTATGCTCAATGATGGCAGACCTTGCTATTCTATTCTCAATGATGGCAGATAGACCTTGCTATTCTATGCTCAACGATGGCAGATAGACCTCTGTTCTATACTCAATGATGGCAGATAGACGTCGCTATTCTATGCTCAATGACGGCAGATAGACCTCTCTGTTCTATGCTCAATGATGGCAGATAGACCTCTCTGTTCTATGCTCAATGATGGCAGATAGACCTCTCTGTTCTATGCTCAATGATGGCAGATAGACCTCTGTTCTATACTCAATGATGGCAGATAGACGTCGCTATTCTATGCTCAATGATGGCAGATAGACCTCTCTGTTCTATGCTCAATGATGGCAGATAGACCTCTCTGTTCTATGCTCAATGATGGCAGATAGACGTCGCTATTCTATGCTCAATGACGGCAGATAGACCTCTCTGTTCTATGCTCAATGATGGCAGATAGACCTCTCTGTTCTATGCTCAATGATGGCAGATAGACCTCTCTGTTCTATGCTCAATGATGGCAGATAGACCTCTGTTCTATACTCAATGATGGCAGATAGACCTCTGTTCTATACTCAATGATGGCAGATAGACGTCGCTATTCTATGCTCAATGATGGCAGATAGACCTCTCTGTTCTATGCTCAATGATGGCAGATAGACCTCTCTGTTCTATGCTCAATGATGGCAGATAGACGTCGCTATTTTATGCTCAATGACGGCAGACCTTGCTATTCTATTCTCATCTATGGCAGATAGCGAGTTCTATTATCTCATCAGACATATTTCACACCATCTCACCTCTATATCCTCTGCTAGTTTGAACCACTGTGGCACGGTTCTGCAAGGAATGGTAAACAATCGTGAAACCGGCACCAAACCACACCGCCTGGTAAGTACACTTTTATGTCGAAGAATCCTGGACCCTTATTCTCGAAACGTTTGTAGCCCTAAGAATGCTTAACTTTGATCGTAGCCAATGTGTTTAGAATGGGCTTAAGAAGTTTGTTGGGCTACGGACATTTCGAGAATAGCTAGCCTGTATTCTGACTTGTCATAAAACCACAGTGAATCTACATCTGACCATGAGTGAGTGAGTGAGTGAGTTTAGTTTTACGCTGCACTCAGCAATATTCCAGCTATATGGCGGCGGTCTGTAAATAATCGAGTCTGGACCAGACAATCCAGTGATCAACAGCATGAGCATTGATCTGACCATGAACAGAAAGAAACAATTTCTTTGAACACATGATGAGAAGTAATTCAAATACTGATTTTACTGACAAATTTAGCTCTGTATGAAACAGTCTGTGGGCTAACCTTTGTTTTCCAATCATCTCTTGATGGCAGCAAAGCCTTATTTGATGCAAGTTCAGCAGTGTACATATGTAAGCAGACAATCCTGTTTATTGTGTGTTGATTAGTGTTGTATACAGCTAGATAAATATGGTGACTGTAATAATAAGTCTGAACCAGACAATCCAGTGATTGACATCATAAGTATCGGAATATAATGACCAGAAATTTGCTTGCCCGACTAGTGTTGGGAATTGGTTGAAATCTCACAATTGATGATTGGTTCAATACCAACGACCAATCATCGAAAAAAAATTGGTTAGCGTCATTTTTTAGATTTTCCTATTCAGGTTGTAGTTGCAGATAAGTATAAAGAAAAAAACATTTGGTTCTCTGTTGTTGTTTTTAGAAACTGCACAAATTACATTTGCAGATTTCACATCCAGTGTAAAATGATTCAGTTCCAGTGTAACATTAACTTCCCAGATTCTTCAAGAAATATTCAGTCATGACTTTTCAGAAAGTGAAGTGAGTTTTCTTAGAAATAAACACGTTTTCAGGCCCTGACAACGTCCTAGATATGTTCAATCATCAAGTATTTCAAACTCTATTACAGCGGTTCCAAAATCGTTTGTGTTCGATTATGAGAAAATGTGATCGATTGCTTGGTCGTTTGGCCACTGCGACCAATCTTCGATTATTTCAATTAATCGGACCACCACACTAAAAAGTCATCCTTGCACGTTGAGGTGCTTGGACTTCCTGAGGGCAGAACACGATCATGACGGGTTTGTATATTTTAGTTCCTCAGGATGGAAACAAACCTGTGTGTTCAATTTAGTCAGAATACAAAACTACTGAATTTGCTCAATTCAAAATTGACACTAACATATCTGATTTCAAATGGACATTTACAGATTCGGAAAAACTCAAGACGTAAGCATATGAACCTTGAATAGCTCAACTACTGAGGACACAAAAAGGATGTATAGTTGGACTGAGTATACCCTTAATCAACAACTCCTTATGAGTGAGTGAGTGAGTGAGTGAGTGAGTGAGTGAGTGAGTGAGTGAGTGAGTGAGTGAGAGAGAGTGTGAGTGAGTGACAGCGTGAGAGGTTAACAATGGAAAAGAAATTTACAGAGGCAAATATGAATTTTGTGATAATTTAGATCATGGTCCAATCAAGGGTTACAGTTCCAAAATCAAGATAAAGGCAAATCCAGTTTGAAACATGCGAAGTGCTGGCTTTTTTACCAGATGTAACTAAGCACAGTGAGCTCCGCTCTGTCGGCCATCTTGTGCCCTATTTCAGTAAGAAAATTAGTAAAATATTGAGTCTTACTCCTGTTTCAGTTTGATCGTCTCCGCAGCATCTGCATCCTGTAACAGCAGAGATATCATCTTGGTAGCACTAGCATCTCCATCAAACAGGCCAGTGTCAAACACAATAACCTTCAACAGTCCCCTCCCAAAACAGTGTATACTTACACTGACCTCCACAAAGCATGTACCCAAAATGAGCTGTACCTTCTACACACAATATACTCACATTTAGCTGTAACCTGCTCATAGCATCTACTCACACTGAGCTGCACCCCTCCATATACACACGAGCTGCACCCCTCCATATACACACAATGAGCTGCATCCCTATATATATATACACACAATGAGCGGCATCCTTCCACACGGTATTTACTCACAATGAGCTGCAACCTCCACACAGTATATACTCACAATGAGCTGCACCCTCCACACAGTATATACTCACAATGAGCTGCAACCTCCACACAGCATATACACACAATAAGCTCCACACAGCATATACACACAATGAGCTGCACCCCTATATACACACAATGAGCTGCACCCTCCACACAGCATATACACACAATAAGCTGCACCCTCCACACAGCATATACACACAATGAGCTGCACCGCTATTTATGCACACAATGAGCTGCACCCTCCACACAGTATATAGTCACAAGCTGCACCCTCCACATAGCATATACTCACAATGAGCTGCACCCCTCCATCTACACACAGAGCTGCAACCCTCCATATACACACAATGAGCTGGAGCCCTCCATATACACACAATGGACGCACCCCTCCATATACACACAATGGACGCACCCCTCCATATAGACACAATGAGCTGCACCCCTTCAATTACAAACAATGAGCTGCAACCCTCCATCTACACATTGAGCTGCACCCCTTCAATTACACACAATGAGCTGCACCCCTCCATACACACACAATGGGCTGCACCCCTTCAATTACACACAATGGGCTGCACCCCTTCATTTACACACAATGAGCTGCACCCCTCCATACACACAATGGGCTGCACCCCTCCATACACACACAATGGGCTGCACCCCTTCAATTACACACAATGAGCTGCACCCCTCCATACACACAATGGGCTGCACCCCTTCAATTACACACAATGGGCTGCACCCCTTCAATTACACACAATGAGCTGCACCCCTTCAATTACACACAATGAGCTGCACCCCTCCATATAGACACAATGAGCTGCACCCCTCCATACACACACAATGAGCTGCACCCCTTCAATTACACACAATGGGCTGCACCCCTTCAATTACACACAATGAGCTGCACCCCTTCAATTACAAACAATGAGCTGCACCCCTTCAATTACACACAATGGGCTGCACCCCTTCAATTACACACAATGGGCTGCACCCCTTCAATTACACACAATGAGCTGCACCCCTTCATATACACACAATGAGCTGCACCCCTCCATATAGACACAATGAGCTGCACCTCTTCAATTACACACAAAAAGCTGCACCCCTCCATATACACAGTGAGCTGCACCCCTTCATATACACACAATGAGCTGCACCCCTTCATATACACACAATGAGCTGCACCCCTTCAATTACACACAAAAAGCTGCACCCCTCCATATACACACAATGAGCTGCACCCCTCCATATACTCACAATGAGCTGCACCAGCAGGCTGAGAGGCAGCTTCACTAAGTATGGGATCTTGAGGACGTAGTAACTAAGTCGACAGCTGGGGTCCAACACATCATTGTCCCTGAGAACAATATGGATAAAACAGTAACCCAGATTAACATCTGACATTGCTTCCTAGCTGATCCTCAGTAAACAAACACTGATGATATGGTTTTGTTTCACAGTGGAACTGTTGTTTATCACCAATCCTTTAAAGACTGGTCTCTTTCCTAACCTATGCTTCGATCCAGAACAACAATAACAGCACAGTAAATGGTCAGTATACAATACACATCTCATTGTCAGTTGTTTATCCAGTACATTCATCTTTCATGCATATTGATCATATCTATAAATTGTGTCCTATTGTGCCTCCTTCATGAACTTAGCAGCAAAGTAAGATGCTGTATGTCTTTAGTTGTCAGTCATCTGGATCTCTATCCCATCCTTATTTGACACCTCTATTGGTCTCAGTGCCTGACAGCTCCAGCAGGACAAGCCATAGGGAGATAACACCTCCATTGGTCTCTGTGCCTGACAGGTCAAGTAGGACGAGCCATAGGGAGATAACACCTCCATTGGTCTCTGTGCCTGACAGGTCCAGCAGGACGAGCCATAGGGATATAACACCTCCATTGGTCTCAGTGCCTGACAGGTCTAGCAGGACAAGCCATAGGGAGATAACACCTCCATTGGTCTCAGTGCTTGACAGGTCAAGTACGACAAGCCATAGGGAGATAACACCTCCATTGGTCTCAGTGCTTGACAGCTCCAGTAGGACAAGCCATAGGGAGATAACACCTCCATTGGTCTCAGTGCCTGACAACTCCAGTAGGACAAGCCATAGGGAGATAACACCTCCATTGGTCTCAGTGCCTGACAGGTCAAGTAGGACGAGCCATAGCGAGATAACACCTCCATTGGTCTCAGTGCCTGACAGGCACAACATGACAAACCAAGGGGAGATAACTCCTCCATTTGTCAGTGCTTGACAGGAACAGGAAGACAAGCCAAGGGGAGATAACTCCTCATGGTCAACCCTCAGCAACATATATTATGTCACATATTACTGATTATCATATTGTCAATTATTACGTATGAGTATTCAATTTTTTTTAAAAATCATAAAAAGAATTACCTTCACTGTGACCCCGACCGTATCAATAGGTCACTCACCATCTTTTCAAATGATGGTAATGACCAAAGGATTTTATGTAATTTCATTGACAGATAATAAACAGTTAATTTATTGTATGTACTTTAAACATAGAACATGAATGTAACATGCAAATCCAATTACAAAAGGCAGAGCGGCAGCCATATATATTGATAGGTGAATACTTTGTTCAAGGTTTTGATTGAGAAAGATGAATCATATAGATGTGGTAAACAGTTCATCACTGTTATGCATTCATGGTTTTAATGGAATGGTAAAATCCATGACTGATTCTTGGTCCAACAATCTCCAAGAATGGCTACTCACAGATAGGAGTTAGCTTCTGCCCCGCCATCTCCAAACACAGCCTTCGTAAAGAGGTCATTAAACATGTACCTCACCCGTGGAGGCTCAAACTTCACCACCTGCAACATCAACACACCCGTGGGTACAAGGGACTTGTGTGGGAGTTATCAGTCACTGCTTGGCTGGACCATATATTGTTATCAGTTACTGCTTGGCTGGACCATTGTTACTGCAAATCACGATAGAAAAACTTGAATACACTATGCCTTTCACAATGTGGTCAAATGTAACGTAGAGTGTGACCCTACACACAGTGTGACCCTACACCCGGTGTGACCCTACACACCGTGTGACCCTACACACGGTGTGACCCTACACCGGGTGTGACCCTACACCCGGTGTGACCCTACACAGTGTGACCCTACACACGGTGTGACCCTACACCCGGTGTGACCCTACACCCGGTGTGACCCTACACACAGTGTGACCCTACACCCGGTGTGACCCTACACCCAGTTTCACCATACACACAGTGTGATCCTACACCCAGTTTGACCCTACACACAGTGTGATCCTACGCCCAGTTTGACCCTACAGTGTGATCCTACACCCAGTTTGACCCTACAGTGTAATCCTACACCCAGTTTGACCCTACACACAGTGTGATCCTACACCCAGTTTGACCCTACAGTGTGATCCTACACCCAGTTTGACCCTACACAGTGTGATCCTACGCCCAGTTTGACCCTACACAGTGTGATCTCACGCCCAGTTTGACCCTACAGTGTGATCCTACACCCAGTTTGACCCTACACACAGTGTGATCCTACACCCAGTTTGACCCTACAGTGTGATCCTACGCCCAGTTTGACCCTACAACCAGTTTGACCCTACACACAGTGTGATCCTACACCCAGTTTGACCCTACACAGTGTGATCCTACGCCCAGTTTGACCCTACAGTGTGATCCTACACCCAGTTTGACCCTACACCCAGTGTGATCCTACACCCAGTTTGACCCTATACAGTGTGATCCTACACCCAGTTTGACCCTACACCCAGTTTGACCCTACACAAAGTGTGATCCTACACCCAGTTTGACCCTACACAGTGTGATCCTACACCTAGTTTGACCCTACACAGTGTGATCCTACACCCAGTTTGACCCTACACAGTGTGACCGTACGCCCAGTTTGACCCTACAGGGTGATCCTACGCCCGGTTTGACCCTACACACAGTGTGACCCTACACCTGGTTCGACCCTTTACACTACATATGGTATGACCCTTCACCCAGTGTAACCCTACACAGAGTTTTACCCTTCACCCAGTGTGACCCTATACACAGTGTAACCCTACACAGAGTTTGACCCTTCACCCAGTGTGACCCTACACAGAGTTTGACCCTACACCCAGTGTGACCCTACACAGTTTGACCCTACACCTAGTGTGACCCTTCACACTACACCCAGTGTGACCCTTCACACTACACCCAGTGTGACACTACATACCGTGAGACCCTACACCCATTGTCACGCTACACCCAGTGTGGCCCTACAAACTACATACAGCGTGATCCTACAAACTACATACGGTGTGACCTCTCTTCTTCAGTGCTACAACGGCCATGTCCACACCTCTCTCCACTGCAGGGACAGGTTCCAGGAAACCATTGCTTTTAAAGTAGCCAATACGTAATGACTTCCTGCTCTCATAAATCTGAAATAGACACACAGTAAAACCTCATTAGGCATGACTATCTGTGTGGAAAGCTCCCGCTCTGCACACCTGCTGTGTTCTGCAATGTTAACATGAAAGGATATTAATACAGGCAGGTCACCCACACCATCAGGGCATGAGGACACCCATCAGATGATCTTTCAAAGTGGGCACATTGTTGAGCTATTCATAGGAACCAGTTCCACCCCTGAACAATAAAATGGGGGAACAACAGCATAGCATCAGGCATGCACATGTCAGCTTGTACAGACACATGACTTGCCACAAAATAACATGAACACTTCACTCTGACACAGCACACAGACTCGGGGCTGAGAGTCCTCGTTTTATCACCTAACAAGAATGATCGAAGTAACATTCAATGATTGATTGGCGCGACCCTCCCAAGTACCGAGCTACCATCCTTCCGTACATGCTCTATCCACTAAACCATCATTTTACCATCTGCGTCACTATCACCTTGTTAAAGACTTTCTATTCAAGTACATTCACAAACAGAAACACTTGAGATGCAGGACCCGTGAAGATCCAAGTAAGAATTCGTCTTCAGTAACCCATGCTTGTCGGAAGATGCGACTAACGGGATAGGGTGGTCAGGCTCGCTGACTTGGTTGAAACTTTATATCCCAATTGTGTAGATTGATGCTCATGCTGCTGATCCCTGGGTTGTTTGGTCCAGCCTCAATTATTTACAGACTGCCGTCATATAGCTGGAATATTGCTGTGTGTGGCGTTAAACAACATACCAACCAACCAACATTAGATGCAGATTTTAACACCCACAATACCTGGGCTACTCACCTCGGTGTCAAAGGGCACAATCTGAACCAAAGGCCAGGCATTGCTGAGGGCAGGGACCAGTAAAGCCTTCATGCACATCATCAGGCTGTCAACGTCTTTAGCCATCGGACCTGCCGCCACCTGTACTACAACATCAGGACACTCCATACACTGAAACCTCATCAGTCCAGACACTCGTAATCAGGGCACCTACCGTTTGCACTTGGAACAATATACAGGAACTAATAGGATCTACAATGCTGTATGTAGTGTTCCCCCTAGGCACATTTAGGAGGGCGCTGCGCCCTGCCCTTTGATTTTTGCGCCCTGCCCTTTTTGTTTTGCGCCCTGCCCTTTTCGCCTCAATCCCAGTTTTTTTTCCAGCTGTGCTTGATTTTACAACAACCCGTGTGTATTTTCCGGATTTTATTAGGGACGGACTTCTCATGATTAGCCTGAATGCATCGTCAGTTTCAGACATTGACTTGAAGAAAGTTGTGAACAGATACTTGGCAAGAAAGAAAAGAAGACTGTAAATTGTTGTTTGCGTGTTTTGTGAAATTGTAAACAAATGTGATAACAGATTAATGCCTTGAAATGCTTTTTTTTCTCCAAATTTTGATCTTAAAATACAAAATGAGAAGAGTAATAAATGAACTTTAAAAATAAAATTATAAGAGCATTTGACTTCATATACATTTTGTTATTGTTATTTTTTCAATAATCCTCACCAAAATGCCCTTTTAGATTATGAAGTGCCCTTTTTTTTAAAGTTACCCTGCCCTTTCTGAATCCTAGGGGGAACACATACAACATAAAAAAATAATCATGTAACCGGGACGTGAATGGGAATACTGAGGACCAGACACTGGTTACGGTATGTCGGATCTATTCTTTATTGACAGACACCCCTGTGCGTGACACTGGGGTGTAGAAGAGCCACGTCTCCAAGATGAATATATTGCTGCTTTAGATCTGACGTGTTAGTTGTTTGTGCTCTGAACTGCGATCGGATTGAAGTGAAGTGCAATGGCTGACGTGCCGTTAGTGTTGAGTGTTTTAAAAGAACCAATCGACACAAGGGGCCAAGCAAGTCAAAGGGCACAACACAAGCGATGACACAATCTCTTGACACCCCTTATACCCGTAATGGACTAGGCAAGATCTAAAAATAACCATAGACTAACGCTTAATAATGATACTGCTTGCGTTAAAACTATAGACAATGACAACTTCAAATGAACCAAATCTTACATTACTTCATACCTGCCACAATCATATGTAGTAAATATACAGATCTTACCCAAGGTTTGACCACTGCCCAGTGGAAACATCCCTGATGACCTGTGAACAAATCAGAAACGGGAATAAATCCATTTCTCAATTTCACTCAATAATTTCAATGAGTTTGAGTTTCACAAACCAACATTCAATGATAGAGAGAACTGTTCATAATGTCCCTATTTTATATGGAGACACATTTTCCACACGGTAAGTGAGTTTGGTTTAACAAGCTTTGAACCATAGTGTCTTGTAATTTTAAAATTTAAAGACTAGCATCCTTTTATATAGTGTTGAGACCCCAGTAGTGACAATATATACCTGCAAGTTTTTTGCATTACAAATCCCTGTGCTTTGAAAATAAATTCGAGTTCTGTAAATAATGACATTAATAGTGAAAGTGGAAGCACTTGTTAGTCCAGGAAGGGTGGGAAGGAGACATTATGTTTGTGAAGACGTAAATAATACTCCAAAGAATTGCTATCCCTCAAAACCACACCATAGAATTCCAAGGCTAAAAAACAGAGGTATTATTTTTCATAAAAATAGACGTAAATAACACTTAGATGAATTGTTATCCACCATAACTATACCATGGAGTTCCAAGTCTACAATCCTTGTGCTATCATTTGTTTCAATGGTGAAGTAAATTGTATGAAATTTGTCACATATTTTAGGCTAAAAACCAGAGGCATTATTTATTTTAAAAATACAGACCTGTCCTGGACAGTGGAACAAAATAACTACCAGTATTGTATGACTAGCTTACCCAAGTGTCTCCACGGTCAGTTTGAGGCCACGGTATTGTATGACTAGCTTACCCAAGTGTCTCCACGGTCGGTTTGAGGCCACGGTATTGTATGACTAGCTTACCCAAGTGTCTCCACGGGCTTGAGGTTTGAGGCCACGGGTTTGAGGCCTTACGCGGTATTGTATGACTAGCTTACCCAAGTGTCTCCACGGTCGGTTTGAGGCCACGGTATTGTATGACTAGCTTACCCAAGTGTCTCCACGGTCGGTTTCAGGCAACGGTATTGTATGACTAGCTTACCCAAGTCTCTCCAAGTCGGTTTCCACGGTATTGTATGGTTTCCAAGGCTCCACGGTATTGTATGACTAGCTTACCCAAGTCTCTCCACGGTCGGTTTGAGGCCACGGTATTGTATGACTAAGCTTACCCTAGTCTCCCACGGTCGGTTTGAGGCCACGGTATTGTATGACTAGCTTACCCAAGTGTCTCCACGGTCGGTTTGAGGCCACGGTATTGTATGACTAGCTTACCCAAGTCTCTCCACGGTCGGTTTGAGGCCACGGTATTGTATGACTAGCTTACCCAAGTCTCTCCACGGTCGGTTTGAGGCCACGGTATTGTATGACTAGCTTACCCAAGTGTCTCCACGGTCGGTTTGAGGCCACGGTATTGTATGACTAGCTTACCCAAGTCTCTCCACGGTCGGTTTGAGGCCACGGTATTGTATGACTAGCTTACCCAAGTCTCTCCACGGTCGGTTTGAGGCCACGGTATTGTATGACTAGCTTACCCAAGTCTCTCCACGGTCGGTTTGAGGCCCGATATTGTATGACTAGCTTACCCAAGTGTCTCCACGGTCGGTTTGAGGCCACGGTATTGTATGACTAGCTTACCCAAGTGTCTCCACGGTCGGTTTGAGGCCACGGTATTGTATGACTAGCTTACCCAAGTCTCTCCACGGTCGGTTTGAGGCCACGGTATTGTATGACTAAGCTTACCCAAGTCTCTCCACGGTCGGTTTGAGGCCACGGTATTGTATGACTACTAGCTTACCCAAGTCTCTCCACGGTCGGTTTGAGGCCACGGTATTGTATGACTAGCTTACCCAAGTCTCTCCACAGTCGGTTTGAGGCCACGGTATTGTATGACAAGCTTACCCAAGTGTCTCCACGGTCGGTTTGAGGCCACGGTATTGTATGACTAAGCTTACCCAAGTCTCTCCACGGTCGGTTTGAGGCCACGGTATTGTATGACTAAGCTTACCCAAGTGTCTCCACGGTCGGTTTGAGGCCACGGTATTGTATGACTAGCTTACCCAAAGTCTCTCCACGGTCGGTTTGAGGCCACGGTATTGTATGACTAGCTTACCCAAGTGTCTCCACGGTCGGTTTGAGGCCACGGTATTGTATGACTAGCTTACCCAAGTCTCTCCACAGTCGGTTTGAGGCCACGGTATTGTATGACTAGCTTACCCAAGTCTCTCCACGTCGGTTTGAGGTTTGAGGCCACGGTATTGTATGACTAGCTTACCCAAGTCTCTCTCCACGGTCGGGTTTGAGGCCACGGTATTGTATGACTAGCTTACCCAAGTCTCTCCACAGTCGGTTTGAGGCCACGGTATTGTATGACTAGCTTACCCAAGTCTCTCCACGGTCGGTTTGAGGCCACGGTATTGTATGACTAGCTTACCCAAGTCTCTCCACAGTCGGTTTGAGGCCACAGTATTGTATGACTAGCTTACCCAAGTCTCTCCCACGGTCGGTTTGAGGCCACGGTATTGTATGACTAGCTTACCCAAGTCTCTCCACGGTCGGTTTGAGGCCACGGTATTGTATGACTAGCTTACCCAAGTCTCTCCACGGTCGGTTTGAGGCCACGGTATTGTATGACTAGCTTACCCAAGTCTCTCCACGATTCGGTTTGAGGCCACGGTATTGTATGACTAGCTTACCCAAGTCTCTCCGCTGCCGGTTTGAGGCCACGCGGTTTGTATGACTAAGCTTACCCAAGTCTCTCCACGGTCGGTTGAGGCCACGGTATTGTATGACTAGCTTACCCAAGTCTCTCCACGGTCGGATTGAGGCCACGGTATTGTATGACTAGCTTACCCAAGTCTCTCCACGGTCGGATTGAGGCCACGGTATTGTATGACTAGCTTACCCAAGTCTCTCCACGGTCGGATTGAGGCCACGGTATTGTATGACTAGCTTACCCAAGTCTCTCCACGGTCGGATTGAGGCCACGGTATTGTATGACTAGCTTACCCAAGTCTCTCCGCGGTCGGATTGAGGCCACGCGGACAAGCTTACCCAGTCTCTCACGGGGATTGAGGCCACGGTATTGTATGAATAGCTTACCCAAGTCTCTCCGCGGTCGGATTGAGGCCACGGTATTGTATGACTAGCTTACCCAAGTCTCTCCACGGTCGGATTGAGGCCACGGTATTGTATGACTAGCTTACCCTAGTCTCTCCACGGTCGGTTTGAGGCCACACACACCACACATGTGGGACGGGATACGGATACTGCCGCCAATGTCGCTCCCCAAACCCAGACAGGATCCCCCTGACGCAATGAGCGCCCCCTCACCACTTGATGAACCACCAGGGCTACGGGACAGATCGTGAGGGTTTAGAGTCTCCCCATATATAGGATTGGAGCTGTCGAATCTGAAATAAATAACATACATGTGTTTGTTTGTTTGTTTGTTGTTTAATGGGGCACTTGGCAATATTCCAGCTAATGTGAGCGAGTGAATATTGGTTAATGCTGCATCAGCTATCTAGCAGCTATTCACAGCAATTTAGCTGTACATATTGTCTGTAAATAATCAGATCTGGACTTGATAATCTGGTGATTGATGGCATAAGCCTCAATCTACACAAATGAGATAAGCACACATGCGCCAACTAAGTCAGATGACCTGATCCATCTCTTATTACAAGTCCTGGATGCTGAGACTTATGTTCTTACCCAGAATCCCACAGTAACATCATATGAATCAGTTTGGCACATAAAACAAAGGGGGATAACCCTTGCACAAAGACAAAAGATCCAAAAGTCCAAAATTCATTGTTCAGAAATATTCCAGCCTTATGATGGCAACCCATAAAAAATCAGGTTGAGCCAGACAAACCAGTGATTGATATCATGAGCAACATCTTAAGGGGAAGGGCGGCCAAAGTGGGCAGTACTCACGTCATCATAGTCTGGGGAATGTTGGTGCGGACAAACGGAATGGCGCCTTGAGATTTCAACACCTGCAGCAAACCCACAACATTCAGACAGAAACATCTCACTTAACTATTTCAACATACAGTGATGGTATCCTTAAGTTTGCCATTTGGGTTAAATCTCATAAACAGTATTAAATATCTCACCTCTTACAGCGATATGGTAACATGTGAATGTCCTTAAAGATTTATTTTGTATTTGAAGACGGAGTTCATGGGACAGAATAATAAAAAATCCAACGGCAAATATATTGTTTATATCTAATGGATCCAACCTATGTATTTTTAGTGCCTTGACTGAATCATGATACAGAAGTGCTGAGAATTCACATTACTTTTAAGAATCTCTTCAAGTACATGTACACCAGCAAGTAATATTTTACTCCCTTTTCTAAATTATATTTGACACAGATATATATGAATGTTTTAATTGTCAGATTTGGTGGGAAAGCTCTCAGTTAGAAAAAACACCTGCGCTTCTGTTTTATGAAACTTAACCCTCAAGCATTTTCTATCTTCCAGAAAAAATAACTGTGAGAACCAAATATAATTGTTACTTGTATATTATTGTGTCGCTTCAACTGAACCAAATCATGACTGTGACTTGTTTTTCAGTGATTTTAAGAAGATTCAAAGTCTCTTATATGGCTGGCTATAAATAGAGAATTCACCCAAGTGTCTTCTGATATCAATTATATCAACACGAAGTTGATAAAGTTACAAATATCCCAGGCTTGCCGAGGATATTTTTACTTTATCAACGAGTGTTGATATTTTGATATCAGAAGATCACTACGAGGTGAGATTCTATTTATCATCCAAAATCACTCCTCATTAATTTTCAATGAAAAATGTACATCTCTGGACATGGTACTGCCATTAGACTTGCAGTGCAGCGATGTCATAGCATTGTGACGCCATCAAGTACATGACGTCATAGCATTGTCAGGGCATTGTACAAAGTCTACTGTCAAAACGATATCTCCTAGGGAGATATCGCTTGATCTCACACAAGCGATATATCTCCTGTGGAACATTTTGGATGATAATACTGGTTAACCGGTATATTGCAATTCGAACATTACAATACGATATATTGTTGTACACTTTTCGCGAACTGGTTCCCCCCATTACGATCGGCAATTTCCGTGACCATGATTGGTAATTTTCGTGATGTAGTCAAAAATACTAATAACATTTGTATTTCCTTTATATTTTTATGCATTAATAGTTTTGAGAATGTTTATTGGTCATATAATTGCATTTGCTTGACTTTTAAACCACATAAATTAAAAAAATAGATTGGTAGTGATAAACCAACAAATAAGCCGCTGCAGACGCTTTTTGTACAATGACATCTGAGTCCTGACAGTGGCCAGTGGCATTATTTCAAAAGAAAGGAAACAGTAATTTCATTACCTTAAACCATGTGTTACACTTTCACAAAATATTGCAATACATGTTGCAATATGTCAACACATGTCACAATATATCGCAAAACGAAAATTTTGGCAATACCCAACCCTAGTCTCTTAAAATAAGTGCGAAATACATGTACATAAATGTAACCATTTCCATACATAAAGTGAAAAAATGAAACTAATTAATACACTCTGCGCCCCTAACGAATTAAAAATTCATGGCTGTATTAAATCATTCAATTTGCTTAAATTGTACATAGCCATGTTACACACAACTGACATCTCTATTCTCATATATAGATATACATCCAAAGTTCAGGGTTATCAACAGTTGATTTTCTTCACCCTGATGCTGAAACCTCAATTATTGACATGGACTTAAATATATATCTGATAATAATCAAAAAGCAACAAGGTGTTTCAGTACAATGGCTGACCTGTATGTAAGGAGCATCGTGGTCCAGAGGCTTGTGTATGAAGTGCTGCATCCCTGCCGTACAGTCGTATCCCTGTGGACATGCAGACCTTGTTAATTGGACCTATACAATTCCATCAAAGTTATATAATTTACAGCACTCCGTTATCCCTCTGTAGAAAGATCTGAAAATTCCTCACAAGACGTCCTGACAGGGAAACCATCAGTAAACTCTACTGGCCATTCTAAATGAAAGTTTATGGGCCAAACAGTTGTCAGCTTTCAATTTCTGAAACAATTTGGTTTCTTTACCACCTCTATACAGCAATGTTCAACTAGACTCGGAACACAAATATTCCTTTAATGGTTCCCTTAAGGGAGCAGTTGACATGGCCATCAGATACGACAGGTGTAAAAAATATTAATATGTCCTCAGTCTGTGAATGACAGAGGGAGATACCAGAAGACGGCGAGGAACACTTCTTATGGATTCACCATCCTGTAACCATGCAATGGCCCTGCTTCTGTCTTTGGCGCTTAACGGTCTGCTCTGTGGCATGGTGAAGAAGTTGTGAGGCTTCAATACTATCTGTAGCTTCTTTTAAAGGAAATGTTCCCACAAGCTGCATGGGAAGTCTGTCTTCCACATGCACTAGAGTGTTGTGTTTGGGCGTTTGAATCAAACATGGTGCTGGTGTGTTTCAGCACCCTTGTTTTTCGCTGTTTTTGACAATGTTTCATTTCACTCAAACTCAACGAATATTGAATCAGTTGCTTCACTGCATGTTCCAACATGTCATTCAAAGTGCCCATTAAGCACACAAAACGTTGCATTTACTTTAAAGTATAAATGACCTCGTCACGTTTAAGTTTATATGTGACTATCAAAGTTTAGGGTGTTCCCATACTTTTTGTTTGTAGTATATTAACAAACCATAATTAGTGGTTCCTTTGAGTTCGTCATATTCTTAGTCTACTGTGGAGCGTTTATTATTTAAGTGGATCACATGGTTCATAAAATGAAATCTTAACTATTTTCACATCCTTTTCAATGATTTGTTGTGGCTTTTGAATCCAGAAGATAATTCTGTAAACAAAACTAACCTTGACATAGAAGGCCTCCTTGATGCTGATCGGGACCCCATGAAGCGGTCCTTTCTTGCTCCTCTGACGATCCAGCTTAGCAGCCTGTTCCTGCAGACAAAACCTCCGTTTTACAAATGTATCTATTTTCCTACGAAAAATCACTGACTGCTGTTTGACACCGTAGAGTGAGTGAGTGAATGCGTTGGGTGAAATTCCGCTATGAACACTACACCAGTTATAAACAGACAATTTAATGACAACTGGGTATGGTCCTGACACACCTAGAAACATATACAGGGCCAAGCAGGATTTGAAGCCACAAACAGACTTTTTTGCTCAAGGGAGAAAACTCTGCACAGCAAATTGTGGCAATACATGGGGGTAGATACATTAGCAAGCAATTGAGATAAAGAAACTGAGAAAATAAGAACGTGAAATAATATTGTTAATTTTTCAATTTCAAACAAAATAGCAATTTTTCTGCCTCGGAAGGTCACTCAGTTTAGAATCCTGGATAAATAACTATAAGATTTAATGACTGTACATGTAGGAGTTACTTCCCTTTCCTAGTAACTCAATGATTGCTCTGGCTGTGTCACCATATTGCGATAATATTGCGAACCCTAGATAAATTTGGGTTATTCCCATATGATCCATATGTACTGGAGGTTATTTGAGAGTGAGGAGTCTTTAGTTAAAATTGGATCAGGGTCTTATCAAACCGACATCAGTCAGTTGTGGAACAATTTCGGAGAAGAAAGAACTTCAATTTGGAGTGCCTCAAGGGTCAGTCAGGTCCGATTCTGTTTGTCATTTTATATTCTTTGGAGACATAGCCGATCACACAACCTTGCTTTTCACTTGTAAATGATACCCAAGTCTGGTTTCAAGCCTCTGCAGTCGCATCCTCGAGCAGCATGTTCGGGTAATTCAAAGCATTGCTGATATCCAAAAAATGGATGACCAGTCATTTCCTGAAGCTGAATCAAGACAAAACAGAAGTGCTCATTCTCTGTTCAAGTTCAACAGGTTGTCTTCAATAATTCGAAATTAATGGTTGTATCATTGAACCCACTGATCATGCTCGCAATCTTGGGGTGATATTTGACAGCACTATTAGGCAAGAATGCCTACTATTTCATCCGCAATGCAGCTTAATCAGGAAGTAATCATTCAGCAAACTGCTGCAAGATTGATGTAAGCCTATGTAGTATCTCTGTTGGACTATTGCAATGCTCTGCTGCAGGGGATTCAGAATACTTCTGAGCAAGTTACAGAGTCCAGAACTCAGCTGCCCGAACAACAACAGAGCATATACCCAGATAATTCAGATGCGTTAAGCACAACGTTGGCAATGGTTTTGCCAACATTGCCAACGTTGAACAACCCACCCTATCTGGGTAACCCCTGCTTTGCACTGGTTACCAATACTACAACGTTATCCATTACAGAATATTGGTACTGATGTTCCAAAGCCTTTGGTGCACAACACGGCACCAGTTTATCTCTCAAACCTTGTGCAATAATATCAACCAACACATCATCTGAGGTCATCACAACAACACATGTGCCAGACAGTAGTCAGCCGGACCAGGACACTTGGTGAAAGGTCTTTTCAGGTTGTCGGCCCTGCTTTGCTGAACAAATTACCCCTCTCTCTTCGATCAGTAGAGACATTCAGTACTTTCAAATCCAGATTAAAAACTCAATTGTTCAGCACTGCAGACAGAGTTCAGCAGCTCTTGAGCAGTCTTCTTAAGACTGGATATTAGCTTTATGTAAATTATATATTTTTAGTTTGTGCAACAACAAGGTTCATTTCCATAATTACCATTCCATTATGCGATATTAGCATAAATGTATATCAATGTAATGTAATGTAATTAGTTTCTGATATTGAGTTAATATCATATTGTAGTTGTGGTCTGGAACTTTGTGCAACTTCATCGACATTGACATAGTTTTGATCATGTGACATACCTCAGCTTCCATCAGCGGCTCAACCACACAGTTCAGCTTCTCGTTCATCTCCATCGCCTGGACAAACCCAGCAGAAAATACAACATGGCATTATCATTTTGGACTGATCAAAAAACCCGATCTCATTAATCAACTGCATCTCAGATTTTACAAAACCTCCAAGGTAGTTGTGTGAGGGAAACTTTCTCACATCGCAGTACGATTCAATATCTTTTATACACCTTGCTGGGTATTATTATCATGATGCTTCTCTAACAACCAAAGGAATTAAATCCAAAATATATAATGTTACATTTGTCCATTTTCTAAATGGCATTGTGTATCCATAGCTATGTTTTGGTTTTGTTGTTATATTTAGGACATATATTTTCAGCCCCAAGAAAGGAAGTACCAGCAAAACAGTTCCAAATTTATTCTAATACAGATAAAACTATTTTAATGGCTAAGCAACCGAGACTTGTATATCGCTGATCAGAAGGAGGAAGATGCTCAAATGCTGAGTCTCACACTACTGCATCAAATGTAATACTTGGAAATTTTAGAAACAATTGCTCTTATACGGTTTTCACAGTTTTCTTATAAATATAGCTCAATTGTAACATTGTCTCTTTGAAAGAATTACAAGAAGTTTGTACCTTTGACTGGTAAGCTCGTAACACCTCCATGCACTTGAGCTGCCCTGACTGGAGCTGTGCCTGCAGTTCAGCCAATGACAGACTCAGAATCCGCTCTCGGTGAGGCACTGTCAGCTGATCACAGGGAAATAAACGAAATTCATAATTATTTATCTGCCATGAATATTGCTGCAAGTCTAACTCTCTATAAAAGCTGTCCATATAAATGATAAGAAAACAGCCTAAAATGCATCACTAAACCATGAGTCAGGAAGGATAACAATATATGGATGAACAACTTCTTTGTTACAGTGAGTGCAATGTTTGGATGTAGGTTCTGACAATGTGGTAATTATAGATGCATGTACTTAGATTCCTGTTCAGGTAGGTGTACTTATTATGGTGGTTGTTTTACACCACTCTCATATTCTAGGTGTACAATGGCAGCCAGAGAAAACTGTGTGGTCCACATAATCCAGTGATTGATATCATGAGCAGCAATCAACAACCTTGAGGTAAACTAACAGGCAATTGTTCTTGCCACCATATCTCAACACTCAACAAGTGTCTGCCACTAACATGGCAATGTCCCCACTGCTAAAGAAGGATGAAATATAACATATTTACTAGTTTTTATATTTTGGTCACATAGAAGATTACCTTTTGTATGATGTAGATATTGCGTTGACAAGATTTTGAAAAGTTTCATGTGACCTTGAAAATAAGGTCAAGGTCACCCTGAAATATCTGGTGTCTAGGTAATAGTAGGCTGTCGACATAATTGAAAACATAGAAGCGTTTTATGAGATATGGCGTTTATGTAAGTTTGAAAAGTGGTCAGCGTCATGGTGACCTTGAAAATAAGGTCAAGGTCACCCAAATCAACTGGAGTCTGTGTGATCCCCCAATGTAGACTGTCACCAAATTTGAAGACATTGGGTACAACAGTTCACGAGATATCGCGTTAACAAGAATCGGGATGTACGTATGTATGGACGGACGCTGCTGAATACACAGTCCCCCGTTCTGCGTTGCGGTGGGGGACAATCAAGTAAGCCACCTTTCACAACCAGCATGGGTTGCTGTGGATCAGTTCTATCAATAATTATGACCAAAAAAATTACTTTCAAAGTTTCCTTTCCTCTTATCCTTGAACAATGCAGTAAACCGTTTAACATCACTTTCATATGTAATTGACCTGTGAAGACCCGGGTTAGAATTGGTCTTCAGCGAACCATGCTTGTGGTAAAAGGTGATTAACGGGATAGGTTGTCAGACTCGCTGACTTGCTTGATGTCATCGTATCTCAGTTTCCTAGATTGATGCTCATGTAGTTGATCAATGGTTTGTCTGGTCCAGATTTGATTATTTTCAGACCGCAGCTATACGTGGCGTTAAACAACAAACCAACCAACCAAATTATACGCAACCGGATATCATGCAACATTTAAAATAATTTTTTATCTCACCCCTTCTGTTCTAAGTCTTTCCACCAAGTCCTGACATGATTTTCTAACTTCATTTTGTTTCTGTTGGATGCGATCGTGCAGTTTCTTGTTCCGCACGACCCGGTGAAAAATGTACCAGCCAAGACAAACACTGGTGGCAAATCCCGCAACCTTCTGCCAGAACAGCGAGTCCCACTCATCGATGAACCAGGGCAGCTGCATCTTCACCCACCGGGTCTGGAAACAAACACAGAGGCATGAAGGATGAATACAGCATTAAATGTGGACAAGGTCATTTTCTTCCTAGTATGTTCACAATACTGTACATTAGTTTTTACCTGCCCAGTGACTGGGACTATATTGCTTTGATCATTCTTCTTTCATTGTTGTCTGTACTTATTGCTTTTTCTAAGATGCCTAGCTGTTAGAACAATCGAAAATAAAATACATTATCAGACAACAAATGTATAGTTTTTTGATGACGTAACAATTTAATGACGTTATCCCGTCACTGCACCATTCTAGTGTGCGCCTTCGTAATCGAACCATTTTACATTACGTCACAATGTAAGCGACGTCATGACGCATGTCAGTTGTCATCGCCTCGTACGGCCTCCTACAGTAAACTACTCCGTTGCATCCCCTTTCTTGGTTTGCAGTTGCTTCACGCAGCTAACATCACTGGTGGAAACATTACGTTTATGTTTTACGACGGTTAAAATGTGTCAATTTAACTCACAAGTTTTCAGCGGCACGGTAATGTTCGCAATGTTTACATTCCCACAATGCAATCGTGGAATGTCACTTGACTACTCAGCTTCATCTGGATGTACTGATCTAAACTTACGTTGGTAGTAGAAATGCGACGTTCATATTGCCCCATATGGTTTACGTTAATGACAGATGTAATTAAAATAATTCAGAGGAGATATTTAATCCGAACGTAAACCGTCATCAAACTGTTATCATTTGTTTTTTTCTGGTAACGTTCGTCTTAACGTTGGGGGGCAGACACATCAATAGAACAGCGAGCCAGTTAGCCCTGTGCCAGGATTCTTAATTTAGGTCACCGACACCTTCGTTTGTTTTCGGCCTTAAATTAATCGTAATTATCCTTAGAAAGTATTACATTTGGCATCTTAGAAAAGAAATACAGTTCGCAAGCGTCCTCGTACTTTAACATTATAATAGTTCAGGGCGAAAGTGTGTTTTATTACACTATACATGGTGGTAGAGCGAACTGTATTTCTTAAATGAATGTTGGTGCTAATTATTTTGTTTCTGGCTTCCATTTGTTTGTTCTGGCCTCAATTTGTCAATCTCTGTTGCGTTTATCTATTGGTGCTATTACTCTCTACCCCCCACCTGCCCTTCATCCATTCACTATCCGGCTTCCAGCTGTCCATCAGTTATCGACACTTTTTAACTGTTGGCTTCTATTCAGCGTTAATTAGCTGTTAAGTGTTGGCATCCATTCAGCGCTAATTAACTGTAAGTGCTGACTTCCATTTGTCCTTTGCCAATCACACATTGCTCCAGTTAACTGTTGCATGTTGACTTCCATTGTTTAGCCTGCATCTTTGTTGTCTTATGACTTTTGTTGTTCTTACATGTACACATACATGCTCCCTGCCTCATGCCATCCATTCATCTGATGACTGACTGACTGAGTTTGGTTTTACGCCGCTTTTAGCAATATTCCAGCAACATCACGGCGGGGAACACCAGAAATGGGCTTCACACATTGTACCCATGTGGGGATTCGAACCCGGGTCTTCGGCGTGACGAGCCAACGCTTTAACCATTAGGCTACCCCACCGCCCCTTCATCTGATGAAGGAGTAAGGATATACGTCGTGTTCCTCATAATAAATAAGTTGACATCCATATAAACTCTCTTCCTTTGATACACAAAAAGCAGTTTTGCTATGCAAAAGGGAAAATTTGATTTTACTTGGCCTTTATTCCGTGTTATTTATAACATGGGTGTCTCATGACAATGAGAGTCATCCATGGACCCCAAGACCTGCAATATGGCGAGGATGACTAATTAATTATAATTCAATCCAAATATGAGGCAGGAGGCATTTTATTTTTCAGACATTTTCTAAACAGGTCAAGGCATTAGTGTACACTGGCTATTGACAGATGTGATTCAAATGAAGCTAATAGAGGGATAGAAATACTGTTTTTGTAAGTGTGCCCTATTGCACTAGACAAATACTTTAGATGTCCCTTCAGAAATCAAGTTTTTAGAATAAATGACTGTAGCCATGATGATGATCATTTGAAATTTATTGTTAGAAAACAACAAATGTAACCCATTTTCTGTTATCCCTGATATGTCTTCTGTTTCAGATGGCTTTCTTAAGCTCCATTTGTTCTGCTTTCACAACACCCTTAATAGCTAAGAATTTTGTGACAGGTTGACTTGTTCGTTATATCTAACATACACAATTTCCTCTTCAATAACCGGACTATCAGAACTCCCAACACTCTAAATTAAAAAAAACAAACAACCAGATTTCTTTACATCATCCATCGTGATTTCCTGGCCGAGAAAGTCAGTAACTGTTTTTGCTTGTTTGTCATTTGCATGTTTTGTTTTGGGGATTAAATGATTAAACAGGGCTCCAGATAATTTTTCAACATCAGGAGTACGTACTCCTTATTTTTTCAATATAGGACAACCGGGAAAATCTTAAGAGTACTGAATGGAATTTAATGGCACATCAGTAACCTTGTGTTTCGTGTCATATATGTACCACAACGTTGCTAGTCTTGTGTAAACAGGTCAATGAACAATAAAACAACACTCTTTCAGATAAATATGTCTGTAAATGATTCTAAGATTGTACACCATTGCCGTGGTGCGTATCTGCTACGTTTTCCAACCTACCATATCGTGCATATTTTTTATCCGTACATACGCCGATACGGCCCTTATCTGGAGCCCTGCTAAAGGTGAGTTATGCCCCTAAACAATTAGGCGTTCCGCAAGGGCAGCAAGAATATTTTTATCCCTGACATTTCAATATTTACCATGCTATGGCATGCTCATATATGGGGTATTTCAAACACTGTAATGTATGTTAAAAATATTTGTAAATGTTTGTGTTTTGAAGTAAAAATGAAAGAATAATGTGTAACAATTTTCTGCCTGTGGGTTTGGGGGACAACAAACACAAAAAAAGGATAAATAATAATAAATTTATTATTGCAGGGATACCAGAGAATATACAAACCTTTCTGAAATGCCTCAAAATATCAACTATATGACTATGACATCTGTCAAAGAATCTATGCGAGGTTAGGGTTCGAAATTAACACTTTGAGGTAGCAGATTTGCTATTCAAAATCCTATTTTGCTACCTGAAAAAAACCCACAGTAGCAACAACTTGCTACCTAGTATTTGTTAGTGACCTACATGTTTTGCTGAGACGTTTTCATCAGATCCTGTTTAGACTTAACCCTCCTGTAAATCATGACAGGGGGTACAACAGGAACTTGATTGCTCTTGGCGAAAATTTGGTTCAATGAATATTACTGTGAACCCTGTGGATGCAATATATATTTTTTCTGCATCCATTCTATTCATTTGTTTATAATGGATGCACATTTCTGAGTTGCATAAAAGTCAGAATGGTGAAAAACCTGAGGATGAATGGGGAGTAGAGTAATAATACAACAATTTCGGAGGATAATCAGGCCATTTCTTCTTTTTATCCTTTGGCAGTGTTCTAAGCAGTTCATGTAGTGTTCTGTTGAACCGCTCGCACTGTCCATTTCCTTGAGGGTGGTATGGAGTGGTTAGGCTCTCATGTACACCATACAGAGAACATAAACTGCTTACTACCTCTGACTCAAAATTCCTATCTTAGTCAGAATGAATTCTCTGGGGAGGCTCATATTGGTGGAACCATTCAGAAACTAATGCCTTAGCTGTGGTCATTGCTTTTTGGTCCTTCGTAGGAACTGCCACTGTAAACTATGTGAAGGCATCAGTGATTACCGGAACATTCTCTTTGCCACTTGTAGAGGGCTCCAGAACAGTAAAGTCCATGGCTACAATTTCTAAGGGTCTCGTTGCGAGAAGATGGCCAAATGGTGGTCTAATCTTTGGTTGTGGCATCTTTGCAACAGCACACCTTGTGGAATCTTTGCACCAGTTCTCCACATCCTTATACATGCCTGGCCAGAAACAACGATCCCTTAAAAGACTGAGTGTACACTCAATACCTTGATGTCCTGCCTCGTCATGTGTACTGGGAAGGATAAGTTGTCTAATCGGTCCAATGCAGGGATCTTGAATTTCTCTGTAAAGGGTGTGGATGGCATGCCAGAGCATGTTAAATATATGCTCTGGGGGGATGTGAATGACCACACCAGAGCATATCAAGCATATGTTCTGGGGTGTGGATAAGCATACCAGATATATGCTCTGGGGTGTGGAAGAGACTCGTCCAGGAAATAGTGCAATGCAGAGTGTTCGGTAGTAGTCGGGTTAAAATATATTAATTAATTTACAACAGCATTAACATATGTAACATGGTGGGATTTGATCCACAGACCATCTGATCTGAGGTCAAACGCCTTGTCCACATGACCAAGGAGGTTAACTCCATCAGCAAGCTGACATGGTATAGATGTCATCAGAGGGATTAACTCCAAGGCCTGCGACACTTATAAATGCCCATGAGCAAAAAAACACACTCTAATATATACAGACGGACTGTACACGCCAAGGCCAGCTACAGATGACATGTATCTTATTGAGGCTGAAGGGGTCGTTGTCGGCACGGGTACTACAGATATGTACCCCAGGTACGTTTCTGTATACAGAAACGTACCTTGGCCATAATGAGAACACAGAAACGTACCCTAGGACGATTCCATTCCCATTGTGTCGTATTCTTGACCGGAACTGTCATACTGTTGTGTTAGATACATTTGATAGCGTTATGTAAGTAATGAGAATACACAGTAACGGATATTTCGTGATGCACATGAATACCACTCGCTATCAGTTGAACGGGAACAACTACATACAGTTTCGCTTTTGGATTGCGGAATATGGACTCGTCCGCCTTTTAGGGTACCGGCTACGTTTCTGTATTTTGACTTTGTTTAGGGTACATACTACATATCTGTATACAGAAAGGTACCTGGGGTACGTATCTGTAGTACCTGTGCCAACAACGACCCCTTCAGCCTTATTGAGGGTTAAATGTTTATATTTTGTACATTAAGGATGAAACATAAATGCTCCAGGACATCTGGTATACAAATACCATATACAACCCATACTGTTAAAATGATAAATGAGGATAATGAAAATCCTGAATCTCATGTTGATTGCTATCTGTCTGAATATGAAGAAGCGTGTGTAGTATGACTATAAGATGTAATATTGAGTTCTGTATCTTTGAAAGGAGTATGGGACCTCACATCTGAGACACATTTTAAATATATCATCGACCATGTTTTAAGCTAAGTATTTACCTAACAATATCGAAAGTACCTCATATCAACTCAAGATCCACATCGAAAAGTGTTTTGAATCAAAGCAATATAAGGACAGATTTAAAACACACAGCGAGAGGATTAAATAGATCGCCACACACATAAATGGTCCCCATGTGCACTATTTTTCATAACATACACTATAACACGGCAATAATTTGTCGCCATGTTACGAACACCATTTCCGTGTTGCTATCTGCTTATCATTGATCATGCAGTCCCGGGCTGGGTTTAGGCGGGCTCGGTATACAGTCACCAATGGACGAGTTATTTTGCCTATAACCACTGGCTTGTGGGTGTGGTTGTGGTTTAATGTCATGTCATGTCATGTCAGGCACCATGCAAAACTTACTACGTCATCAGGTATCCAGAACATTATGTAACCCGCGGCAACAAATATTGGCGACAGCTACTTACACCTTTGACCCTTGCTAAACTGGTTTCTCGCGCAGCTGGATGCGCTCCGGGCCCGTCTTCAGACGAAAAGGGTTTTCTTCGCGGACAGTTCAAGATAACGATGAAAATGTTTGCGAGCCTTGTTCGATGTTCCCTAGACTAACATCTAATCTGTGAAATGAACATATTTTACAGAAAAGTACTGTTAAAAAAAAATAATCATAAAATGTGATGAAAAGAAGCCCAGAGACTTTCTTCATCTTCTGAAACTGGAAATCTAGACTTGCCACATATTCTAACTTGAATGGACTTTCTTGGATATACATATTTGTTTCAGGGTCTGAATGACTGACTAGATGTCAAACCAGAGACTATTATATGGTCTCTGGTCAAACATATGTTCAAAATTATGCTTAGAAATTGGGGTGGGTGGGGTGTTAATTGATTTTGTACATGACATGCAGGGGGGTCACCTATTTTGTACACAGATTATAGGGGGGGACGGGGGGAGGGGATTCACATATTGTACTTGCTTCTCCATAAAAATCCCCCCCCCCCCCCCCCCCCAAGCCATAAATTATGAACAGTCCCATATGTGAATTTGCTCACAGATGAATATAAGTATCTTTAGCATGCAACATAAGCCTAGTAAGTTTGCAATATATAGCACATCTATCGGGCAAGATAAACAGCAAGAAAAATAAATCTGGCATACAAGCAAATTTATTTACACATCTTTTACCTTTCGCATAACGGTAACGTATATGGACAAAATATCTGATTTTAAGAAAATTGGCGTACATGTGGCATTTAATCAGTGAAACTATTTCCATGTAAATACGTTTTTGTAAACTAGTGCACGCATTTTCTGAGTGCGCATGTGTCGTACTAGCTAAACAACAGTGTTAACAGTGTTAGACTAACGCTTGCTTATTCTCTGGACACACACAACCTGGGGAAATCTAGACTTGCTTAAAGCGAAGGCCATATTTTATTCGATATGGTCTCTGCTTAAAGTAAGGGTTTAGCATTGCAGAATGGGTTTATTTTTACCCCACCACCTCTTTAGCATTGCCGAAAGGGCTGGGAAGAAGGGGAAATAATATGGTTCAGGAACTGTGAGACAGACAATAGGGTTTCGGCTTTGATTTCCATAAGGAAATATTTCTTCTATCAGTCATGTAATCTGTTGCAACTGGTTGAATAAAAACGCTAGTGTTATAAACTCAGTTTTATCACCACAAAAGTTGCGAAGCGGTATACCCTCCTACATTTTTGGCCTATAACAATAGGCTGTGACGTCATTCGTTCACCAACAAAGGCTAAGTGCTTGCATCACATTGCGAGGCGCACGATATATTGTTATAGCGTACTTCGTATGGCTTGTTATTACTCGCCCGTGGAAGATACTGCAGTGCAATATTTTTACGGCAATATTACACTAGTGCAATACCGCTAGACATATGACGTAATAATAATGATTACAGTTATGACGTCACAATGCTAATTTAATGCCCCTGTCACAATGGTATGAGACCTTGCTTGACTCGCAGAAAATTGATTTAAGAAATACACTTCGCTCTACCACCATGTATAGTGTAATAAAACGCAAGCGTCCTCGTGCTTTAACTATAATAGTTCAGGGCAAAAGTGTGTTTTATTACACTATACATGGTGGTAGGGCGAACTGTATTTCTTTTCTAAGATGCCAAATTTAATACTTTCTAAAGATAATTACGATTAATTTAAGGCAGAAAACAAACGACGGTGTGGGTGACCTAAATTAAGAATCCTCGCACAGGGCTAACTGGCGCGCTGTTCTATTGATGTGTCTGCCCCCTACGTTAAGACGAACGTTACCAGAAAAAAACAAATGATAACAGTTTGATGACGGTTTACGTTCGGATTAAATATCTTCTCTGAATTATTTTAATTACAACTGTCATTAACGTAAACCATATGGGGCAATATGAACGTTGCATTTCTACTACCAGCGTAAGTTTAGATCAGTACATCCAGAGGAAGTTGAGTAGTCAAGCGACATTCCAAGATTGCATTGTGGGAATGTAAACATTACGAACGTTACCGTGTCGCTGAAAACTTGTGAGTCGAAATGCCACATTTTAACCGTCGTAAAACATAAACGTAATGTTTCCACCAGTGATGTTAGCTGCGTGAAGCAACAGCAAACCAAGAAAGGGGATGCAACGGTGTAGTTTACTGTAGGAGGCCGTACGAGGCGATGACGACTGACATGCATCATGACGTCGCTTACATTGTGACGTAATGTAAAATGGTTCGATTACGAGGGGGCACACTTACTAGAATGGCGCAGTGACGGGATAACGTCATTCAATTGTTACGTCATCAATAAACTATACCTTTATTGTCTGATAATGTATTTTTTTTTCGATTGTTCTAACCGCTAGGCATCTTAGAAATGAGAGTCATCACACTGTAGGCAGTTTCTATCAATTTATGTTGGAGAGTAATAAACAGAATACTAAACTCGCTTCCGTGAAATACCATTTTTATAAAACTCGTGAAAGATTTAGCATCATTTATCAAATCATTAACTCGTTTAATAAAAATGGTACTACTCGGAAGGTCGTTTAGTATCCTCTATATATATCATATGGAGACTAAAACATATTATCATTACTTGTTTAATAATCTATCTGATAGAAATATACATAAACGTCATGACGTCATAATGTAATTTGTTTTGTCCGTCACATATGACTTCACGCAGACGTGTTATCATACTGTACTGAGATCAGTCACACGAGAAATCACGAGAGAATATTCCACCGTAAATAACGTTATGGGCACTTAAACGTAACGATTAATCCGTAATATGTGTCGCACTAGAAGGCAAGGGAACTACTACAAGGCCAATGGGCTTTTTGAAACTCGAGGAACAATTTTCAAGGGGTGTACGTGCAAACGGTTATCTCGTAAAATCCCATTAGGCCGCCAGACCTTATTTCGATATTGGACATCGACACATCTTTAAGATATATGTTATGGTGGTACCCGGAACAGAAAAAGAACACTTTCATAATATTTAGTGACATACGTGTCACATGCCAAGTGTCTCACAATGACGACAGATTCATTTACAATTTCAGCAATTTTATATTGTTGTTGATACAGAAATCGCACAAACATTTCATAAATACTTAACTGGTTCCCAGATCTCTGTTCGCCGTGCGACTTTAATCCCGAAATTTCTTGAAAATATTAGACGGGTCTCAGTATACAAATGAAGTGCGGGTGAACTAGAAAACTGTTGAGCAGGCTAAGTCGAATATAATTGTTTACAGTTGACATACTTGAAACATGTGCATAGTTAGTTAGAGGTCAGGGTGACATTATCAGATTATATGTTTAAGATAACATTCAAACACTATTGGATGATGTTGACAAAACTGGTGTGGCGCTATGTATAGTGTTGGAGGTCATGGTGATATTATCAGATAACACGTCTAGCCTAGTTTACATGTTTTGTTCCTGGGGCAATCTGCCCTGGAGACAAATTCCATCATGTAAACACACTTGCCCCAATGGTCAAACCTTGCCCAAAGGGGTATTCTGCCCACGTTCAGGTGGAGCAAATTTGTTTTAAACATATTTTATTCATTCAAGAAAAGGATTGGGCACAAGTTATCCAACTTAGAAAAGCCCTCTCCAGATAATTACACAATTCATCTTACAACAAAGTACACAAGTGACAGACATAGGCTAGGATATGTACAACAGATGTTAACTGAGAAAGCGTTTTGTTTGAGAGATATAGATATGTACATATTTGAAAACATTCTGGTTGTCAGTGATTGAGAGACCTGCATTGCCTTGTAAGATAAGATTAATATCAATCAGTGTTCTATTTTTGACAATATGTTCTAAAGATTTTAACAGTTTATGTCTTTGAATAGTATACAAAGGACATTCAAGGAAGTAATGAAAAACATTCTCACATCTATGGCCACATTGACATGATGCGTCATTTTTTACATTTATTCTATATAAATCATAATTAAGTGTACTCGTCATATATCTTAATCTAGTGTGCATAACATTGAACTTCCTTATTCCATATGAATAATATATAGGTGCACATTTTTCCTGCACGTGGATATAAGATTTAAACGTGGCAACAGAGTCGCAATTTCTAATAGCTAAGGGAATATTATTCCACACTTTAACTGTTGATGGAATAAAAGATGACGTTGAGTACCTCAGTCTTGTATATGGTTGACTAAAGTTATTTGAGTTTCTTAACTCATAACTTGTCTGGTTGCTAACTACAGGTGGGAGTAAATCTTGAAGAAAAACTGGTGTCAGGCATTTTTTAATTTTATAAAATAATGTTAATTTGCGTCTTCTCCTTCTCTCAGAAAGTAAATCCCATCCCGTTTCGTAATACAATGAACTGGAAGATGCATATCTTGGAAGACCAGTAACTATGCGCGCTGCTTCAAGTTGAAGTTTTTCTAATCTATTAGCTTGTTCAATTAAACATCCATCCCATACCTCGCATGCGTACTCAAAGTGTGGCCTTATGAATACAGTATATATTTTCGCTAGTGTTGTTCTATTTAATAAGAACTTTAATTTCCGAAATGATCCAATCATTTTAGATGTCTTTTTGATAATGTTTTCAATATGATGATGCCAGCTCCCGTTAGACGTGAAGATTAAACCCAGATGTTTATGAAAATCGACTGTTTTTATATTGCAGTTATCAAACTTCAAATTAATGTCTTTTTTGCCATCTTTCAAAGTAAATAATATAGCTTCAGTTTTTCCGGATTGTAGGAAATTAACCAGACCTTTGCCCAATCGTTTAATATTTTTAGATTTTCATTCATGGCTCTTTCCATCACTTGTTTGTCCTTTGATAAAGTTCCCAGTGAAGTATCGTCAGCGAAAAGCCGAGTTATGCAATGTAGCTTATCAGCTATCTCATTTACATACACAATAAAAAGAAATGGGCCTAAAACTGATCCCTGGGGAACTCCTGCTTTCAACACCATAGGCTTGGATAGCGACCCATTAACAAAGACTGATTGATTGCGATCAGTTACATAACTATTAAACCAATCAAGGAGTTTTCCACTGACTCCATACATCTCTAATTTAAGCATAAGCCCTCTGTGCCAAACTCTATCAAAGGCCTTTGATACATCGCAAAAGACCATACAATAGTATTCTTTGTTATCGAGTGATGTACAAATTTGATTATAAATTTCTACAAGTTGATGTACAGTAGAATGACCTCTCCGGAAGCCACACTGATATTTGTATAACAAATCGTTTGACACAAAGAAATTATAAACATGCTTAAACACAACTCTTTCAAACAACTTCCCAACGCAACTAATAAGTGAAATTGGGCGATAGTTTGATACAACCGAATGGTCACCTTTCTTGAATAAAGGCATAACATTTGCATACTTCCATTGGCTAGGATACACACACAAATTTAGTGACATATTAAATAATATGCACAGGACTGGACTGATGGAATTAACAGTTTTTCTGAGTAATTGGTGACTAATCAGGTCTGGCCCAGCAGCTTTCTTAAGAGTAAGACATTTAATGATATCTGCAACCTCATTAACTTCGATTGTAATGTTTTCCAATACCGCATCGGTACGCTTGTCAAAATGTGGTAAACAAGTGGTATCTGCACCATTTAAATTAGATATAGACTCAAAATATTCATTTAACATATTTGCTTTATCAAAATCTGAAAAAGCTGATGGACAACCTTCATCTACATTTCTTTTCAAAGCTGGAATGAAGGAAGCAGAACCTGACGTCTTGATCAAACTGCGTAACATTTTCCAATATGATGATTTATTTTCACCATAAAGTTTGAATACAAATTCGTCAAGATTTGAATAAAAATGTTCTTTAGCATAGCATTTCATATTATTAACTTTATTACGCTGTTTTTTGTATTTCATAACATCAGTTTCCTTCCGTGTTCTCCTAGCTTTTTTTCTCAGTCGATCCCGCTTCCTACTTTCACGTCGAATATTTGAGTCATACCATGGTTTGTCATTAGATCGTATCATCACAATTCTAGAAGGAATACATTGTTTGGTATAATCGTTAAAACGTTCATAAAATACACAGCAAGCATCTTCAACATTAGAACAGTCAGTAAATAGTGACATCCAATCCGTACTGCTAACAAGTGCATTCAGTTTTTCATAATCACCATTATTGTAACACCAAACTTTTCTAGGATATGCAACTTTAGTTGATACATGTACATCAAGGCTGACAAACGTGCCTTTGTGATCACTTATACTTTTATCAAAATCACCAACACCACTTTCAACAACATCAACTTCGTCACTAACAACTATTGGATCTAAAAGAGTGCTAGTTGTCTTAGTCACCCTTGTGGGTTCCGTTATAACATTACGTAAGTTTTTTCTAAGTAAGATGTCTGTTAGGTTTAGATTGGATGTGGAAAGTAAGTTTTCATTCAAGTCACCGACAAGGGTAACTTTACTTGAAATATCTAAAGCACCTTCAATGCTATTGTCAAATCTGCTCCAAAAGTTGGCAGTATTACTTTCAGGCCTGTAAACTGTGCAAATGATTAATGGTTTTTTGTGGAAGAAATATTTTAACCCATACAGATTCATCATACATATTTTCAAGATTTGAAAGTCTGTCAAAAGTTAAATGTCGAGATATATACATCATAACACCACCCCCAAAAGCATTTCTATCTCTACGTATCGGGTCATGAAACTTTTCCCAGGCCACTGTTTCATTATCTATACTTGAGTCTAAATGAGTCTCCGTGAAACAAACAACATCGTATTCAGATAAAAATTCCGACAAATAAGATTGCTTATTACGAATACTTCTAGCATTCAAGTGAAAAATAGACAGTAAGTTGTCTGTCTGAACAATAGGTCCTGGGTTAGACTCTACGTCACCAGCAAGCTGAAGTAACAATAGAAAAATCAGGATGATATTGACATTTGTAGCCTGTGATTGAAGTAGACATAAATACAAAAACACGCACCAAGCTTTCAATTCCAACAATAGTAAATTACACACAGTTTCTGCTTCAATGCATAGGAACCTGGCTAGTACATTTTTGTCAGCAAGTAAGCTACTGGTTTTCGAACATTTCTTATTGCTACTAGAACACGTGAAACAGTTGAATGACCCGATCGCCGCACGGTGTTGCATTATGTCATTACCCATACGGCTTGTTGATTTCATGTTGGTAGATACACGTGCGGATACCAGATCGGGTTATCTGCAGACATGATAATGAATTTGATAGTATATCATGGATTGGCAATACAGAATCTCTCAGTTGTTCTAAAGAGGAAGACAGAAAAATGGATATATACAGTGATTCAGTTTTGGATACATGTGTACTCGGAAATGTAACTTGAGAGTTGTAAAGTTTAAAGGTGAGATTAAGAATAGTATATACACAATTTAATACAAACATAAACAAGAAGAAAGACAGACTGTGTTGTGTGTTTATATGGTACATACAATTAATAAATAAATAAATATTTACATACTTACATATTTGAATACCTTTAACATATAAGCCAAGCATGAATGTGAAACACATTTAAGTCACTACTGACGCCTATATTTGTCGAGGTCAGACTCACTTTGAATGACACGAATGAGTCCTTCCAACTGTTCACAGATATAAACCCTGCCATCGTATGTCCAGGTGGAATAGATCCTCTGCTCCTTCTTCAGATCTCTGGCGAGCTTGAACAGATGATTTCTGTACTTTGTCAGATCCTCGTTGATGTAGATATTGTCTCTTTTACCCTTGAGCTTGAACTTGTTCCTGATCACTTTGTTTCTGTCCCAATAACTCACAAACTTCACCAATATGCTCCTGTTCTGTTCTCGCTGTTTCTTGCCCACCCGGTGGCACCTGTCAATATCTGTGGGTGAAATATCCGAGTGCACATCCTTAAGGACCTCCAGCACAACTTCCTCAATATTTTCGCCCTCCTCTCCCCACTTGGGTTCCTTGATTCCCGATATCCTCAAAGAGTTCCTCCGACTGTACTGTTCTAGCTCGTCAGTCTTGAGGTGGAGTTCGACTCTCAAATCACGTATCTCCTGCTTGAGAGGGGCCACAACATCCTGTATTATGTCTTTCAGCGCTTCTTTAGCGACAGTCACAAACGATTCCCTGAACTTCTGCTGTAGAGCTGGTAACATGAGTGCATTACTCAGTTTCGTAGTGATCACATCCATGGAAGCATCACTGATGAAATTAAACAGTGTAGACGGGTAGGAGAGGTCCTGGTTCTGGTCGCCGTGACTTGTCCCGCTCTGTTGTGTGGGGGTCGCCATCTTGGTTTGCGTCGTTGATCTCGGCGTACTGCAAGATCCAAACGAAAATACTTCTGGTAAATCAAGCTGTAGTGTCGATTGAACCTGTGGTTTCGAGGACTTCGGTGGCACAGAATCCAGTGGAGAACCAGATGGTTTTCTTTTTTCACTGCTGCTCCTCTGTGGCGCGGCCTGACCTGTGGTGTTTGCGCAATTTATAAGAATTGATCGTTGTTATGTACATGAATATTCACTTATGTTTAATTATCACAATGAAAGAGGAGTCCAGTATGTATTTGGTATTGAAATCAAGTTTTATGTTCCTGACAATGTTTTTAAGCTTTCAGTTTGTATCGTCGCTGCTTCTCTTCTGGACACAGTTGTTGCTTAGTTCCCTTCTGCAGCAAACTGCAGAGTAAGTTCCTCCCGAAGGAACATTGTCCTCCGTTGACATTGTTCTGTGGCAGTTGCTCCATTTGGAGCTCAATGCCAGGATCATCATTGTCAACATTGAACAACTCTGGTTGAACTGCGCCATTTGCATTTTCGGAGCTGTTGTGCAGCTGACGCTAGTGTAGGAACAAAGTCCTCATTCACATCTATTCTTTTCAGAAATCTTCTCCAATGACATTTGAAACGCCCAAATGTACTTTTGATATGTCATCCGAGCCTATAGTTGAAGTGGGTCTGAGCAGGAGTGAGTCCTCCTGTGTTACTGTAAGGTTTTAACAACAAGGAACACATAGGTTCCATGGGTCCTCTACCGAAACTGGCATGTCAACCTCATGGTTTCCATCATCTACGGCTGGAATCCATTCTGTTGATGTTTGAAGGAGACGTCAGTGCTTTAACGGTTACATGCCACCAGTTTCTACTTCCTGGTCTCTACCATGTGGATCGGTCTCTGAGAAAAGACGATGTCAAACTGATAATAGTGTTGAAAATAAAACTATTTTATTTGATATTAAAACTGACAGCTTAACCTACTTAGGCTTGATTTGAAGGTAAAGGGACATAACCCTTGGGAACTTAATTTCCCCAGCCTTCACCTCTGGTCCAAGGGAGATAACCCTTTTTATTAAGGTGCTAAGGGCCTTGTTTATGTTTTGTTAATGAGCTAAGAGGCATGACAGTTTCAAGGTCACATTTGAACCATAGCAGACGAAAATACCCGCCCTTGCCCACCCTTTCATGGATTTATGCTGTCTCCTATATAATAAATTGCATGTTTGGGGTTTGCAATGTTGCAATATTCATACCTTTCAGTGTATACCTCTGTCTATGTTGAAGTATCTCCTCATGGAGAAAATTGCAGTGTTCGTACTGATTAATTATGATACATGTTTGGATTTGTTAATGTTGGTATGGATTTACAGTAGCAAATGATCAAAAATGCAAATTCAACTTATAAAGTTGAAAAATAACACGATGAAAAAACCCCCTCGAAATCGGAGTGCTGCGCTGCACTGCACTGCGTTCATGGCGCATGCGCATTGAAAATGTGTCTGGCTGCCTGTCTGCTAATCACAATATGCAATACACAACTTCGATCACAGACAATATGCAATTTGAACGTAACAACTATCAGGCTATACACCATAAACAAAACACATTGATTTATGGCTCATGCACCTGAGTTCTGTCTCTGTCACATTATGTAATTACACAGACAGGCATGTGTGATACTTTTACACATGACATATTATGGTGTCTGTTGATTGCAAAATGTTATACACAAAAATGAGCATGTGTTTACAAGTACCAACATATCTATACACACACAAAGACCCCTGAATTGTATCGGCAAATGAACCAGGCAAGGAAAGTCTTCGTTACACTTGAGTGCACGCCCGCTCTGACTGGGTTTGGTATCCCGGCTGCTTCGTTTCGAGGAAAGTAAACCCAAGTACAAAATATTGCACTTTTGATTTGCGATCGTACGCTTATAATTTTGTATATATCTTTTTTTCATAATCAGCAATGTATGTTATATGTCATGAATAAGCGATAATTGTGTTTTAATTATGTTTGTTTTTATTTTGGTTGCATGCGACCTTTGATAAAACGTTATCGGGTGATACTGACAAAACTGATGTGGCTCTAAAAATAGTGATCTAAATGACGTAATAAACATTCCAGAAGAAACTGACAGGCACCAGACGCGGGGTATTAAACCAGAACTAATAACACAATCACCAGTTATCAGCCGCTTCACCTGAAAAGTAAGTACATACCTTTCCTCTGTCGCATTACAAACATCGCGACATGAACAGGTTTAAGCCTAACACGGTCGGATCAGCGGGTTAGAGCGGCGGTGGGGTCGAATTGTGGCCAAAGCGTTTGCTCGTCATGCCGAAGATCCGGGTTCGATTCCAGCATGGGTATAATGTGTGAAACCCATTTCTGGTGTCCCCCGCAGTGATAGTGCTGGAATATTGTTAAAAGGGGCATAAAACCATACTCACTCACTCTCTCAGTGGGTTAGCCTTTTGATGAGGGAGTGGCTGACTACAGTTATTATGTTTATGCTTTAATTTTGTTGGCAAGTGAGCTACTGATATGAAATGGATATGTGTATAATATTTCAAGATAACTTTAAATGTTTATCTGTTGTTATGTGGATGGCAATATTTCAATATAAAGAAAAATTCTTTTTTGACCTTTTGGTTTTTTTTAACAGAGATCAACAAACCAATAAACATAACCTTTAGTTAATACCATGGAAATCTTAATGTCCCGGTCACTTCTTCAAGCTGTGATCTCTAATGTGAATCAAAAGATCCTAATTTGGACATAAGGAGAGCATATTCACTGCAATTATGTAATGGTGGTAGTATTCTAATAACTTTTTACAATGGAAGTATTCTAGTACTTTAGTCAACTACTTAACCCATAGAGCCACTGCGATGGCTGAGTGGGTCAGGCGACTAACTTTGTGTGCTGGCGATTAGGTGCCTGACTCTGAGGGAGTAGGTTCGAATCCCTGATGGAACTCAACCCACCAAAAGTACTAGAATCTGTACTGTACTGAGAAAGTGTAATCCCAAATATAACATGTGTTACATTAAGTTTGATCACTAAACCCCCTGTGCTACATTAAGTTTGATCACTAAACCCCCCGTGTTACATTAAGTTTGACCACTTGGCAGGGGCGTAGCTACCATTATGAAACTTACACATGATTGTTGCTAAAAAGGTTGGGAAAGTCCACAATACTATATAAACAAAAAGCTTAGCAACCTATAGGGTTTACACTAAAAAAATGGCTTGATACAGCCTGCTTGGCATTGCGTATTCAGTGGAAGCATTGATTGATTTTACTGGCTCTTCTTCAATCATTTGTTGCAACCAACAGTCATGGAAAATTAATTGGAAGAATCTCTACTGCTACACAAAAGTACCGATCTTGATGAATATAGACCCAAGTAGAATTGATCATGATCTCTTACTAAAATAATGTTATTTCTCACAGATGAATACACTGAGGATGCACACTTTTGTGAACGAAATGGTGCGAAAAGGCATAATTCATCACCCGGAAAGACCAAAGACTGATCTACGGGACTTCTTAGGAATGGAAGTCAGTTTGGACCAGGATGAAATCAGTGAAATTGCAGACAATTTCAATGAACTGAGGTCTGATGTGATCTCATATCTTGACGAGGTCACTCCATGGACGTGGAGGACATTTTCAGCAGGATCTTACTATGATGGAACCAAGGTATTTCAGACAAGCATCTAAGGGTGCAGTTTGGGAGCACAGGAGCTTGTAAAGCAAAACCTCTGGCATCTTGGTATATACTGTTAATGAAGGGACCTTAGCACTCTTCTATTAGCATTCTTCTATTATTCTTCACTAGCATTGTGGACACGTGAAGAATTAGTCTTAAGTAATCTATGGGTGCCGTGGGACTAAGGGGATCGGGTGGTCAGGCTCGCTGACTTGGTTGACACATCATCGTATTCCAATTGCGTAGATTGATGCTCATGCTGTTGATCACTGGATTGTCTGGTCCAGAGTTGATTATTTACAGACCGCTGCCATATACTGTAGCTGGAATATTGCGGAGTGCTGCCTTAAACAACAAACACACCAACCTTCTATTTAGTGCTAAGATCCCGTCAGTGACAGCATATAGGTTGATGCCGTTTTTTGGCATTACTTGTCCCTGCGTTTGGGAGCAAAATAAATATTTTATATTTATCTAGAAGACCTCGATATTTCGCTTATTGTTTTCCTAAGCTTTCAGAGTTTTTTCATTGTTTTCATTACTTTCTCCTCATTTCTATTATATTCTTGAAATTTTGAATTTTAATCATTAATACATTTGAACCAGAGAGAAACTAATGAAAGTAATTATAGCAGTCCCTCAAATTTTGAGAAAATAACATAAATAACAAGGATATAATTGAAGCAACAAACCAAATTGTACAACATAATTAATAACACCCTCAAAAGAATGGAAAGTGCTTATGTGCAATATAATGTTGCATTTGGTAACCAGTTAAACTAATGGACTCATTAGCATGAACTAGTGAGTCAGCAAGAAATGAATTATTCCCCAAATAGGAGAGTGAACTTGCATTCTTCCTAACAATATTGTTATGTTCTAAAACTGTGCAAACTGTAGTTATTATAGCAGATGTTACATTCCATTACAGGTATCCAGGCCTAATGAGATGGACTGTCAACTTATACCAAGATTAGATGACTCAATAACACCCATCTATGAAGGATGTGAACCTAGCCACTGTAGGCTGGAGGTGAATTACCACAGAAAGGATCCAATACACATGCTCTGTGATGAAGGATTCATCAATATGGACAAGTTCAGAGGATACTTCTTTGACAAAATGGATCAATTTCAAAGCTCTCGGAGAATTATTAAGAGTGTGTTTTTTTTATTATTAAGATATTAAGATATATTAACATATTAAGCACGTCTGTTTTACTATTGTCAGTTATAAAACGTGGCGATTGCTGTTGACGGAGACCCTTCTGGAGCAAACAGATATTTTTGTCATGCTTCTCATCAGAAAACTAAATTTCCAGGCTATTGTTTCCCAGGCAACCATGCTTGTTGTAGAGTTATCAAAATAGATTGGATAGTCAAGCTCAAAGACTTGATGTCATTGATACACATACAAATAAAAAACGTAAAAATAAAAAGTAAAGGACAAGAACAAGAAATGGGTAATGGAAATAAAATGCATCCTTGTGCCATTATTTGATTTCGAGATTCACCATGTTTGTCTCTTTCTCAGCACTATACCAAGAAACACCTTCACCCTACATCTCTTCCCTCCGAAAATAAACCCTGAGAAATATGGGAAATATTGCTCATTTACTTGTGGTTCATTGTGACCATACAATCACCTTTCCTTACAGAGGATCTCACATATCCTGAAAGTCCTTCTTACCGTGTCATCTACAAGACAAGGCGAGAGCTGCCGAACATCGAGATCGACTTCGTTGCAGCCATTCATGTTGACGAGTGGCCAGTCTATCCCTTTGCCAACAATCTACAGAAGAAATTGTCCACTGATTTGCCCAGTGAGATTGATCCTAAAGAGATAATGGCTGAAGGATTTGTTACAGTCATGAAGCATTGTAAAGGTGAGGATCCTGAAGAGCGGCACACTTATCAGATTAATATTCCTTTTTTTCTAATGCTCATAATCTAAACAAATGTATGATACAACAATTTTAATTGAATGACCAGAACTGTTGCAATGGAATTCCTCTGCTGCACATATCACACAACATACCGGTATATTGATTAATTGATTACCATGTTTTTCTGATGTTTTTCTACAACATCAAATGATTGTTTGTTTGTTAAAGCTGATGTACCGGGGACAAAGCACTACAATGGAAGATGAGCTTCACTTATGCTGAGAAAATGCTCTCCAAACACGCAGACAAGAAATCCTGGAAGCCCACCCTAAGAATTATCAAGCGGGCTAAGGAGATCGCCAAAGGCGACACAGCTATTAGTACAAACACAAGAGTCACGAAGCAACTGATTAAAGCAGCAAAGTACACAAAAGAGCATTTGTTCCAAGACTGTGGAAAATTGGGCGTGGGGACGTACCCGATAAGGATGTTGATGTGGACACTGATGTATGATAAAAAGTTGGGATCAGGGTACACACTCTGGCAGGATAAAGGACACACTGAACATGCTTCAAGGCAGTCTTGAATGCTTTAGACATATGCTCACTGGAAAGCTACAGATTCCCAATCTGTTTATGCCCCAAATGGGCGATATCATGAGGACTGTAAGATTTAAAGATAAATGTTTCATGTACGTCATGACATTAGTCATTGACGTACTGTTTTCAGAAGCTGAGTAATAAAGACAGCTGTGTGTTGCATCTCCAGGTCTATCTGACCTGCTGCTTAAAATGCAGACATGAGAATGTCAAGAGAGAGAGGAAGGAGCCAGGAGAGGAAGGAGAGAGCGTGAGTGAGAGCCAGGAGAGGAGGGAGAGAGCGTGAGAGACAAGAAAGGAAGGAGAGAGCATGAGAGAGAGCCAGGAGAGGAAGGAGAGAGCGTGAGTGAGAGGAAGGAGAGAGTGTGAGTGAGAGCCAGGAGAGGAGGGAGAAAGCGTGAGAGACAAGAAAGGAAGGAGAGAGCATGAGAGAGCCAGGAGAGGAAGGAGAGAGCGTGAGAGAGCCAGGTGAGGAGGGAGAGAGTGTGAGTGAGAGCCAGGAGAGGAAGGAGAGAGCGTGAGGGAGAGACAGGAAAGGAAGGAGAGAGCGTGAGTGAGAGCCAGGAAAGGAAGGAGACAGCGTGAGTGAGAGACAGGAAAGGAAGGAGAGAGCGTGAGTGAGAGCCAGGAAAGGAAGGAGACAGCGTGAGTGAGAGAGGAGAGGAGGAAGAGAAGGAGGAAGGAGAGTGAGTGAGAGCCAGGAAAGGAAGGAGACAGCGTGAGTGAGAGCCAGGAGAGACAGGAAAGGAAGGAGAGAGCGAGGAGCCAGGAAAGGAAGGAGGAAGGAGGAGAGAGGAGTGGAAGGAAAGGAAGGAGGAGAGGTGAGAGCCAGGAAAGAAGCCAGGAAAGGAAGGAGAGAGCGTGAGTGAAAGCCAGGAAAGGAAGGAGCTGGTTTGAGAGACTGCTCCATGTGCCTCACTTTTGAACTGAACTGGATCCATTGTGTTTTCATTACATAATGTGAGCTTAAAGAAGTGCCTCCCTACTAGGTCACAATAAAAACAAATAACAACTTTTGTTTATGAACAGTTTTAATATTTGAAAAGTCTGTTTAAAAAAAGTTAACTATCACATGCTTATGAACAGCCATTAAATAACATGAAAAACAACCAGTACTATATGTGGTAACATATTTGCATAAATGTGCGAATCATGTAACTCAAACATTTTAACAGTCATGCTGATAATTTGTAAAGATTATGTTAACAAATTAAGTTTTTTGTTTGTTTGTTGCTTGATGCTGCAGTCAGCAATATTCCAGCTACATGTATACGCCAGCGGTCTGTAAATAATCATAATTATTAGAATCTATCCATTCTTTCATTGTACTGTCAGGCAGATTTGTGTTGTAATATAAAAACGAAATTGCACTTACTATTAAGTATTTTCCGAAACTAATGGTTCTAACGTTAAAAGCGGCTATGTTACAGTTTATGATTGTTACATTTCCAGAAAGCTATTGTTTATCGTTTGTTAATATCATGTTTTTCTCCATACGATTATTATATCTATAATATATCTGTATTCCGGAGCGGTATTCAGATAAGCACCATACTGCTTGTTTACTAATCCGGTTCCTCTTTTGGAAATAAATATGTTTAAACCATAATCATGTCTGTTTGAATGAAGAAGATATATCTCAAATCAGTATCATGCATATAGAGCAATATATCCATAATTATCCAAAGTATTCTATGTGTCGATTCTATCATAACAGATTCAATTCATAATCAGAGTTTTGTTCCAAGTAAATTTAGAAACTAGATACACATCTATTAATATCAAAATCAAGTGCAGTAGAAATTTTTTAATTATTGATACGACATATTGAGATAGTGATATATCTTTCAAGAGGAAGATAAAGGGCTGAATGTTCCAAGCTACCAATCATAACAGCATACTCGTAAAGATCCGGGTTAGAATTGATCTTCTGTCGCCATATAGCTGTAATATTGCTGAGTGCGGTGTAAAACTTAACTCACTCACTATCATAACAGCATTAGATAAACTACCCTGGCCATGTGAGGATGCAAACAAACTGGAACAGATTTTCACATTCTGTCCTTTATTCTTGTACTGATTCCATTTGTCCACACAATTATTTGAAACTCTGTATTCATGACATTCTTGATTGTTTTCTTTTGGAAAAGAATAAAATTATCACAATTTGACCTCTGTTTGTCCGCAGTTAAGGTAGAACGCCAGGAATCTGGAGACATCTACTAAGTCTTTGTCCAGAACAATTCAGTTTCTAGTCATCTGGTTATTGTGGTAGCAAGAATATTGGCAGAAATTGAGCAAGCATATAATCGGAACCCCTTGAGCATGATATGCATCACAACAGATCACCAGACCTGACTCCACGGTAACCAATCAAGGGAGACAACTCTAAAAATTCCCAGACACAAAGGGAGGTAATTCAAACATTATTTCTAACTGTGTTAGATTGGATGTTTTTATAACTAAGCAAATTTATATAATCTATATGTACTTTTTACAATAATCATGCACACACTGCATGTTAATTTCAAAGTTTTACGATTGAATGACACACTTTGTCATGTCCAGAAAGCAAATCCAAGGTCGTCACCTAGCCACTGACATGGTAGAGTAACCTGCCCTTGCCTGGTAAAAAAATGTTCTCTCGGATATCTGACATGAAGGTGGAAAGGGATAGAGGATAATAATATTTTCTTGTCCATGCAGCATCTAAAATTTCTGTTTCTTCTTTTACACAAATGACATGCATATCCTATGTTTCTAAGTACTATTTTCCTGGCAACGTCAAGCTAATTGCTATGGGAAAGGACTACTGACATGACTTGACAAAAGTGTTCAGGTTGGTCTGGTATCAGCTGCACAGTAAAGTAAACATGCTCAGACCAGACCAATGAATATACTTTGCCCCGACCACTTGATGTATATTTTAGTTGAAATGTCGATGATGAACTATGGTTATAACATACTACAATTAGTGGTTCCTTTGAGTTCATTAGTTTACTATATATTCTTTCCACTGGATATTTCATCGTCTATGTTGCAAAAAGTTAGATGCATGTGCGAAGACTCCAAGAACACATCTGTCAAAGAAAGATGATTCACAGTAATCATTTGAATACCTTTTATAATTAGATTATTAATACAATGCTGTTTCAAGGTTTTAGGTGATGGCCATGGTTCAATAAGGTTCAAGCACTTGGACCACCCCCCTCAGGCACTCACCATGTCATCAGTAGGACCCTTCCAGAAAGTGATCTTAGCACTATGATGATCGAAGTCTGTTAGTGTATGGAGTTACAATCTCCTCAGACCCTTTCACAACACGATCTTAGTGCTGTGATGTTTGTAAGTCTATGTTCGTGTATGGAGTTACGATCTTCTCACAACCAACCACATCACGATCTTAGTGCTATGACGATCATAAGTCTATGTTCATGTATGGAGTTACGATCTCCTCAGACCCTTCCACAACATGATCTAAGTGCTATGATGATCGTAAGTCTGTTAGTATATGGAGTTAAGGTCACCTCAGACCCTTCCACATCACGATCTTAGAGCTATGATGATTGTAAGTCTATGTTTGTGTATTGCAGTTACAATCAACTCAGACCCATCAACAAAGCCAACTTAGCGCTATGATGATCGTAAGTCTATGTTTGTGTATTGGAGTTACGATCACATGAAGGCTAAGATTGCTTTGTGAAAGTGGGCCCAGGTCCTCCTGCCCTAAACTTCACAAAACATTCCAGCATACATATAGATAATGATCAGTTACTCATTACTGATTTTGTCTTCAGGTCATCTTGTGACTTATATCTGATGTCGAGGCTGGTAGTGGGCTGTACTATGTTCTGAGTCCTCGTTCAACATCGTGCATCACCCTCAGCACCTGCTCCTCATGGTACGGCAGACACACACACTGCACACTCACGGGCAAACCTTCGCTGCCCTTTGAACCCTGCAACCGGAAGAGCATATTCCATAGTGTGAAATGTACAGGAATGTGTACAGCAGTCATAGTGCTTTACAAAAGTATAAATGGATTAGTAATCCTCTCAGTAAATACAGTCAGAAGGGTACACAAAGTTTGTGATCTTGACTATAAGTTGTCTGACTTCAGTTTTGTGGAAGCTGAGAGGTTCAGATCTCGGACTTTGTGCATGTGCAATTAGATGCCTGATTTGTGAGGGTTCAAATCCCGGATCGGACTTAACCTAATAAATGTTCAAGAATCTGTACTTGTAATCCCAAATATAACATATGTTACATTTCACCACTTTCTAAATGGCATTGTGTATTCTAGTAATCTGCTAGTGAATACTGTCCATGGTTAACCTTTTGGCTCCTACAATAGCTGACAATGGGTGTGAGAATGGGCTAGGGGGGTATACTTTATTAACATATGCTGTGGGATCTGTAAGAGAAACATATTTACTGGTGATGGAGTGTCCACAAACTAGTGTTGGGAATTGGTTCAAATCTCATAATTGATGATTGGTTCATTACCACCAATCAATCATAGAAAATAATTGGTTAATGTCATTTATGAAATTTGTTAATGCACATAAAAATAAGGGGAAAAAACATGTAGTTCTTTGGGTTTTTTTGGGCAAAATTTCACATCTTTAAAGGATGACTAGTATGTTAGGAACATAAATTTCTTAGAATTTTTAAGATAAATTCAATCATGTCTTGAAACGAGATTGTAGTGCTTACGAAATGTAACAGACAAAACCAACCATGTGAAAAATATTGTTAATGAAAACAAGTGTTCCAGAATTGTTTGTGTTCGATTATGAGAAATTATGATCGATTGTTTGGTCGTTTAGTCACTACGACCAATCTTCGATTATTTCAATTAATCGGGCCACCATTACCACAAACCCATGAAGTTTTGACAGGCTCACAAGCCGGAATTAATATATAATCCTGTAAGAAAAGACACTGCAGTCACACTTGAACACAGTGATTAAGTTCCTCCTACAGATGCAGAAGACTTATTGTGAGAGATGAAGACTTATTGTGAGAGATGAAGACTTATTGATGAAGACTTATTGTGAGAGATGAAGACTTATTGTGAGAGATGAAGACTAACTGTGAGAGATGAAGACTTATTGTGAGAGATGATGAAGACTTATTGTGAGAGATGAAGACTTATTGTGAGAGATGAAGACTAATTGTGAGAGATGAAGACTAATTGTGAGAGATGAAGACTTATTGTGAGAGATGAAGACTTATTGTGAGAGATGAAGACTTATGGTGAGAGATGAAGACTCACCCGTTTGACAAGCTTTTCCAGCAGCGTAGTAGCTGGGTACACCTTTGGATCTGCCACTTCCTGTACGTCTGCTTCGGTCACCGTTGTAACAGGAATGGATCCAGCAGAGTATCTCAACACATTGTAGAGGGCGCAGTAGGAACCACCGGCTTCAAACAACACATTACAAATAAAACCTCGACATGTCACACACACAAACACACATACAAAAATTAATTAAGATTGGAGACACATGTTTAACACATGATTTAGATTAGGTATCCTTGTTTGATAACTTGGCCAACCTCGTCATTTTCCCTTCACTTCTAAGAAATGTAGCTCTATCTGAATCAACTGGACAGATGACTTGACTCACCCGTCAGTTTCCCTGCACTACTGAGAACCACAGCTGGACATGGATATACAGGGCAGATGACGGCATCCAAGTCCTGTCTGCGCCAGTGCTCCAGAAACTCCTTTCTGTAGTTCTGTAACCAAAGTAACAAAGAAATTAATCCATGATTTAAGATAAGAAATGCAACTAGGTAAACTATAGTGCCAGATCATGTGTAGCACAGCAGTCAGCTACCTCAGTTGGAGACAGATCCATCAGGGTGTTCCTTCTGTCCCCACTGCCTTCACCCACTCCCTCAACTCCTCTTGCCACAATCAGTCTAAATACAGTGCAAACTTTCACCCTGTCCACCATCTACACATCATTCTGTCCAAATCCATTACCCCACAAACCCTCCCTATGTACATCCCTGGTTGAACTCAGTTCCCCTATCCCCCCATCAGTCACGACCTTGAATTGACCCTTAGACCATACATCTTGTTCTCATCTGCTGAGCTGCAGACCAAGTTCATCCAAAGTCATTCTTGTCTCTATCAGTGTTCAGCCTCGACCTCTGTTCCATTAATTATCATCAGACATCAATCCATCCCACCAATTCAATCCCCATCTGACATCAATCCATGCTACCCAACTCAATCCAATATGACATCCATCCATGCCATCCAACTCTATCCCCAACTGACATCCATCCATGCAATCCAACTCAACCCTATCTGACAACAATCCATGCCACCCAACTCAATCCCATCTGACAACAATCCATGCCACCCAACTCAATCCAATCTGACAACAATCCATCCCACCAACTCAATCCCATCTGACATCAATCCATGCCAACCAAATCAATCCCATCTGACAACAATCCATGCCACCCAACTCAATCCAATCTGACAACAATCCATCCCACCAACTCAATCCCATCTGACATCAATCCATGCCAACCAAATCCATCCCATCTGACAACAATCCATGCCACCCAACTTAATCCCAGAGCTCCAGATAAGATTTAGCTCATGTGGGTACTGTACCCAATGCATTTTTTTGGAGTGGGTATTATGAATGTCGAGTGGGTATTTCATTTTCTGTTACCCACTGCTTTCAAATATGTGCGTATTTCAGTCATTTTACTCACCTAAGTATTATGTCATTGTGTAAGTTTACTAAGCAGGTATGTTCTGCCTCATGTCATACCTAATCAAAACCAACTTAAATATAAGGGAAATTATTGCATCCATCCTGTACTGACAGTGCAACACTAGTCCTCTACTTACAGTACAACTTGATAGCAATCCATGGCTTTTCATTATGCTAGCGATTTTTATAAATATATTCCGTGCATTTATTTGTTTTAAACTTTTTAACATTATCTAACATTTTTCAATGCGTGAATTGGTAATTTTAACAATTACTTTTCAATGCGTAATTGGAAATTTTCTAAGCGTATTTTACCCGGATACGCAGCTTATCTGGGCCTCTGTAATCGAATCTGACAACAATCCATCCCACCAACTCAATCCCATCTTACAACAATCCATGCCACCCAACTCAATCCAATCTGACAACAATCCATCCCACCAACTCGATCCCCATCTGATATCAATCCATGCCACCCAACTCAATCCCCATCTGACAACAATCAATGCCACCAAACTCAATCCCATCTGACAACAATCCATGCCACCAACTCAATCCCCTTCTGACATCAATCCATGTCATCCAACTCAATCCCAATCTGACATCAATCCATGTCACCCAACTCAATCCCAATCTGACATCAATCCATCCAACCAACTCAATCCCATCTGACAACCAATCAAACTCCCATCTGACAACAATCCATCCCACCGACTCAATCCCATCTGACATCAATCCATCCCACCAACTTTCGATCCCCATCTGATATCAATCCATGCCACCCAACTCAATCCCCATCTGACAACACATCAAACTCCCCATGCAACAATCATCCCAACTCAATCCCATCTGACAACAATCCATGCCATCCAATCCTTGCCACCAACTCAATCTCATCTGACAACAATCCATGCCATCCAACTCAATCCCATCTGACAACAATCCTTGCCACCAACTCAATCCCATCTGACATCAATCCATGTCATCCAACTCAATCCCATCTGACAACAATCCATGCCACCAACTCAATCCCATCTGACATCAATCCATGTCATCCAACTCAATCTCATCTGACAACAATCCATGCCATCCAACTCAATCCAATCTGACAACAATCCATGCAACCCAACTCAGTCCCCATCTGACATCCATCCATGCCATCAACTCAGTCCCCATTCGACATCCATCCATGCCATCCAACTCAATCCCCATCTGACAACAATCCATGCCACCCAACTCAGTCCCATCTGACAACAATCCATGCCACCCAACTCAGTCCCCATCTGACAACAATCCATGCCACCCAACTCCATCCCTTCTGAATACAGTCCATGCCACCCAATTCAGTCCCCATCTGACAACAATCCATGCCACCCAACTCAGTCCCCATCTGACAACAATCCATGCCACCAAACTCAGTCCCATCTGACAACAATCCATGCCACCCAACTCCATCCCATCTGACAACAATCCATGCCACCCAACTCAATCCCATCTAGCAACAATCCATGCCACCCAACTCGATTCCATCTGACAACAATCCATGCCACCCAACTCAATCCCATCTGACAACAATCCATGCCATCCAACTCATCACTGACCTGGATTCTGACTGCTACCTTGTACCAGTCATACACTGACCTGAAAAATATTTACAAAAGTATTTATTCTGTTCCAGTTATTTCATACAATTCTCATTTACATAAATGTTCAACTCATTGTCATAAAAGTCCACCAAGAACAACGAACAGGTAACCTACTTCACTCCTGTAAACTTCTGGAAGGATTTCGCCAAAACAGGGTCCTGAAAGGACAACATCTGTCATTAAATATGGTGGTATGGATTGCCCATGGATAAGACTGGATGATATCACCCATTTGCACATGTTAGTCTGTAATATCATCCATGTAGAAATAATACTTTGTAATATTTCCCACTTAGAGAAAATACATTGTAATATCCCTCATTTAGGAATACTAGATCTACTCTGTAATATTCTCCACCCAGAAAACACATATAATATCCACCACTTGGAAATACTACTTTGTAGTACCATGAACTTAGAAATTCTACTATGATATACTACTCCGTGATATCCCCCACTGAGGAAAACAACTGTGATATCTCCACTTGAGAACAAGAAAGTGATATCCCAAATTTGGAACACAACTTTGATATCGGCCACAGAGAAATATCGTCCCAAATGTGCTAAGGTTACTCACCAGAGGTTGAAGAGCTTTGGATATGAGGGTCACCAACCACGTGGGAATAGAACATGCTGCATACACTAGCGTAAGACTTTCATCTACGTGATCGTTAGCCCTGAAACAGGACAAAAATATTACAGGTACCACGATGTAGTGTTACAGGTGCTACGATGTAGTGTTACAGGTGCCACGATGTAGTGTTACAGGTGCCACGATGTAGTGTTACAGGTGCCACGATGTAGTGTTACAGGTGCCACGATGTAGTGTTACAGGTGCCACGATGTAGTGTTACAGGTGCCGCGATGTAGTGTTACAGGTGTCGCCATGTAGTGTTACAGGTACCGCGATGTAGTGTTACAGGTACCACGATGTAGTGTTACAGGTACCACGATGAAGTGTTACAGGTACCACGATGTAGTGTTTTCCCTCCACACAGGAAGAATTTCTTTAATTTCTTTCATGGATTAAACAACTGCGATGAATATTGTGTTTGAGCAAACTGACAGGTTTATTTGCAACAGAAACACCCCAAAACAAACAACTGCAGGCATAATTTGTCCACACATGAGCAAACACATTGCAGTAATGTATTTAGCGTGAAAGAAGTGATTGCTAAGTGACCGCATCTGCATATTCATCAGACCATGACATCAAGTGCATATACGTATACGGCATGACTGACACTAGCCATTACCATATTCACCATAATATTCGACTCAGAAGTTTAGTAACTTCAGAAAAACCTTGTTAAATATGATGACAGTCACTGACACTAGCCATTACCGTATTCACCATAATATGTGACTCAGGAGATAAGTAAAATGAAAAACAAACCAAAACAATTAAGTATTAAGATTTCTCGTCTTGAGTAATTAGAGCAAGGTGTCTAAAACGATAATTTATACAAATTCTTTTGCTAATTCGGCTGTATTTTTGCTCAGCATAAAACATAATGTCAGAAGGAAGTACATGTGTGAATCCCGAGGATTGTAAAGTACATGTCTATTGATATGTAATGGATGTTGACAAGATGAACACCATGTACTCACATTCGCTCCATGACTGACTGACATCGATCTCCTCCCATTGGGGCCACGAACATAGACGGGAAAACCGTGGCTATCTGTGGAGGCGAGAAGCTCACAACCTGGAGAAACATACAACAGAGTGGTCAACCGTATTCAGAGTGGCTCTGCTACCAAGGGAATGAATGAGGATATAGTCATCTAGAATTGTCCTACTGACAATCATTGTCCAACTATCAGACTGCAGGAACAAAGTCTCAAGACTGGTAGGTCTAGGTCTGGTGCCTGAGGAACAACCTGACACTCACTGTTGAATCAAGGGACAACAATATTCACTGTCACCACATGCACCGTCCAGTCAGCTGACAACCACATTCGCTGTCAACAGACCACCCCATTCACCGGCCAGTCAACAGACCACCTCATTCACCGTCCAGTCAACAGACCACCACATTCACCGGCCAGTCAAAGGAAAACCACATTCACCGGCAAGTCAAAAGAAAGCCACATTCACTGTCCAGTCAACTGACAACCACATTCACTGTCCAGTCAACAGGCAACCACATTTACTGTCCAGTCAACTGACAACCACATTCACTGTCCAGTCAACTGACCACCCCATTCACCGGCCAGTCAACTGACAACCACATTCACTGTCCAGTCAACTGACAACCACATTCACTGTCCAGTCAACTGACAACCACATTCACTGTCCAGTCAACTGACAACCTCATTCACTGTCCAGTCAACAGGCAACCACATCTACTGTCCAGTCAACTGACAACCACATTCACTGTCCAGTAAACCACATTCACTGTCCAGTCGACTACATACACTGTCCAGTCAACAGGCAACCACATTTACTGTCCAGTCAACTGACAACCCAATTCACTGTCCAGTCAACAGACAACCACATTCACTGTCCAGTCAATTGACAACCACATTCACTGTCCAGTCAACAAACAACCCCATTCACTGTCCAGTCAATTGACAACCACATTCACTGTCCAGTCAATTGACAACCACATTCACTGTCCAGTCAACAGACAACCCCATTCACTGTCCAGTCAACAGACAACCACATTCACTGTATAGTCAATTGACAACCACATTCATTATTGTGTCAACTGACAACCACATTCACTATTGTGTGAACTGACAACCCCCAATCACTGTATAGTCAATTGACAATAGTGCACCTTGTGTCCTATCTTCTCCAGGGCCGTCTTGGCGACATGGACTGCTCTGATGGTAGCGGGGACTGGACGAATGTTGCCGTCCCAAGTGTAAAATCCAATCTTCAGGGGGCATGTGCTCTCATACATCTGTCAGAGACATCACATAGGGTCACATGTAATGAGATATATCACATAGGGTCACATGTAATGAGACACATCACATTGGGTCACATGTAATGAGACACATCACATTTGGTCACATGTAATGAGACACATCACATAGGGTCACATGTAATGAGACACATCACATAGGGTCACATGTAATGAGACACATCCACATAGGAGTCACATGTCAAATGAGACACATCCACATAGGGTCACATGTAATGAGACACATCACATAGGGTCACATGTAATGAGACACATCCCATAGGGTCACAGATTGACACATCCCATAGGGTCACATGTAATGAGACACATCACATAGGGTCACATGTAATGAGACACATCCCATAGGGTCACATGTAATGAGACACATCACATAGGGTCACATGTAATGAGACACATCACATAGGGTCACATGTAATGAGACACATCCCATAGGGTCACATGTAATGAGACACATCCCATAGGGTCACATGTAATGAGACACATCACATAGGGTCACATGTAATGAGACACATCCCATAGGGTCACATGTAATGAGACACATCACATAGGGTCACATGTAATGAGACACATCCCATAGGGTCACATGTAATGAGACACATCCCATAGGGTCACATGTAATGAGACACATCCACATTGCAATGAGACACATCTAAAGGGGTCACATGTAATGAGACACATCACATAGGGTCACATGGGTCACATGGTCACATGTAATGAGACACATCCCATAGGGTCACATGTCACATAGGACACATCCCATGAGGGTCACATGTAATGAGACACATCACATAGGGTCACATGTAATGAGACACATCACATAGGGTCACATGTAATGAGACACATCCCATAGGGTCACATGTAATGAGACACATCCCATAAGGGGTCACATGTAATGAGACACATCATAGGGTCACATAGGGAGACACATCACACATGTAATGAGACACATCACATAGGGTCACATGTAATGAGACACATCATCCCATGTAGGAGTCACATGGGTCAATGAGACACATCACATAGGGTCACATGTAATGAGACACATCCCATAGGGTCACATGTAATGAGACACATCACATAGGGTCACATGTAATGAGACACATCCCATAGGGTCACATGTAATGAGACACATCACATGTAATGAGACACATCACATAGGGTCACATGTAATGAGACACATCACATAGGGTCACATGTAATGAGACACATCACATAGGGTCACATGTAATGAGACACATCATAGGGTCACATGTAATGAGACACATCACATAGGGTCACATGTAATGAGACACATCATCACATGTAATGAGACACATCACATAGGGTCACATGTAATGAGACACATCCCATAGGGTCACATGTAATGAGACACATCACATAGGGTCACATGTAATGAGAGACACATCATCACATAGGGTCACATGTAATGAGACACATCACATAGGGTCACATGTAATGAGACACATCATCATAGGGGTCACATGTAATGAGACACATCACATAGGGTCACATGTAATGAGACACATCCCATAGGGTCACATGTAATGAGACACATCACATAGGGTCACATGTAATGAGACACATCACATAGGGTCACATGTAATGAGACACATCACATAGGGTCACATGTAATGAGACACATCCCATAGGGTCACATGAGACACATCACATTGGGTCACATGTATGAGACACATCCCATAGGGTCACATGGGTCACATGTATGAGACACATCACATGTAATGAGACACATGGGTCAATGAGACACATCCCATAGGGTCACATGTAATGAGACACATCCCATAGGGTCACATGTAATGAGACACATCACATAGGGTCACATGTAATGAGACACATCACATAGGGTCACATGTAATGAGACACATTCACATTTGATCACATGTGATGAGACACATCTAAAGGGGTCACATGTAATGAGACACATCAATGAGACACATCACATAGGGTCACATGTAATGAGACACATCCCATAGGGTCACATGTAATGAGACACATCATCACATGTAATGAGACACATCACATGTAATGAGTCACACTGGGTCACATGTAATGAGACACATCACACTGGGTCACATGTAATGAGACACATTCACATTTGATCACATGTGATGAGACACATCTAAAGGGGTCACATGTAATGAGACACATCCCATAGGGTCACATGTAATGAGACACATCACATAGGGTCACATGTAATGAGACATCACATGGGGTCACATGTAATGAGACACATCACATAGGGTCACATGTAATGAGACATCACATGGGGTCACATGTAATGAGACACATCACATAGGGTCACATGTAATGAAGGACTCGGACTTTATTTAGTTACAATAGCAATAACAGTATAGATCATGGGTTTTCTGAACATTAATGGAATTTTTTTCTGTCAAACATCTTGAAGTGAAGATTTTCATTAAGATGTCACATTATTCTGGTTCAAAAGTCCTTATCAAACCAGCCATTTTTGCTGGAGATCCAAAATCAGTAATATTCTAATTGTGGCCATAAAATATCTGGGTTGGCAAATGATGGTAGTGAGTGTTAGTTTAGTTAGACACTACAACATTCCAGCAATATCACAGTGGGTGACACCAGAAATGGGCTTTCATAGAAAAGAACAATGGTCATAATCACCTCTTTCCTAAAAGGAATTGGGACAACTTGAGGGTCACGGGCGAACATCTCAGGGGCCATGAGAGCCTCTGTGAGTTTAACCAGACCCTCCACATCCTGTGCCATAGGACCAACTACACCTTGAACTGTGGACAGGGAGGATAAAGCAACAGCCTTTATACATCACAGATGCTCAAAATATCAGCTGAGGATAGGAGTGGGGGAGATAAAACAACAGCCTCCGTACATAACAGATGCTCAGAATCTCAACTGAGGATAGGGGAGGTGGATAAAGTAACAGCCTTTATACATAGCAACTAAACACAGGCCCCCACTGCGGGTCAGAAAACCGATAAACTAGGCCCCAGTTTAGTATCAACACCCCCTACTATATAATACATAAAGGTTCATCACAGAAATACGGTGACATGATCGAAAACCGGACAATTACACACACGTCAATGACTATATCGTATTTTAAAGGTCTCACAAGTATCAAAAGCTTTTGTCCATATCTCCGATGTATATAGGAGGCATATACATGCGCTTTCCGTCAGGATGCATTTGATGGGTTTTATTAAATCGCCAAAGACCGAGTTGCTGTGCCGGAAGTGTACAAAACTAGGTCGTCAGCTCAATCAAATTGGTAAATAAAATGACAACAAATGCACGTGCGAAAATGAGAGGGAAACTCAAACGTCTATCATCCAAGATGTCACTATCTGATGTTTTATCTTGGTAAGAATAATTTTAAAAACGAGTACAAATATTTTTTAAAGAAACACATTCATTCAGTGTAATGTGTTAGCCAATCAGATCGCCGGAGGTAGTGAAGTCAATCGCAGACAAGCTAGTTTTGTATACTTCTGGCACAGCAACTCGGTCTTTGGCGATTTAATAAAAACCATCAAATGCATCCCCACGGAAAGCCCATGTATATGCCTCCTACATACATCGGAGATATGGACAAAAGCTTTTGATACTTGTGAGACCTTTAAAATACGATATATTCATTGACATGTGTGTAATTGTCCGGTTTTCGATCATGTCACCGTATTTCTGTGATGAACCTTTATGTATTATATAGTATGGGGTGTTGATACTAAACTGGGGCCTAGTTTATCGATTTTCTGACCTGCAGTGGGGGCCTGTGCAACTAAAGCCTTACGATGATACATACCACACTCTAATATAGACTTAAGATGGTTAGCACTAAGATCACTTTGTGGAAGTAGGCCCAGATGCTTTTATTCAATCACAATTCTTGAACAATGGTCATAAGAGAGGGATAACTGTCTTTATACTCATCAGATCCTACACCCTCAACTGAGGACAGGTGGGATAAAGCAACAGCCTGTAACCACAGCAGATGCTCATAACCTTAACTGTGGACAGGGGGGATAAAGCAACTGCTTTTATATGTAGTGGTCGTTCACTACCTCAACTGTGGACAGAGTGATGAAGCAACGGCCTTTAATATATCATCAGTACTCACAACCTCAAAGTTCTCTGGTCAGGGAGGATGAACCACTGAGTGAGTGAGTTTAGTTTTACGCCGCACTCGGCAATATTCCAGCTATATGGCGGTGGTCTGTAAATAATCGAGATTGGACCAGACAATCCAGTGATCAACAGCATGAGCATGCACCTACGCAATTGGGAGCCGATGACATGTGTCAACCAAGCCAGCGAGCCTGACCACCCAATCCAGTTAGTCGCCTCTTACGACAAGCATGGGTTACTGAAGGTTCATTCTAACCCGGACCTTCAAGGATGGAGGATGAACAAACAGCTATCATACATAGCAGGTTCTCAAACCCTGACCAGTGGTCAAGGAAGATAAATCAATATCCTTTACACTATGGAGAAGATATACAACACAAATATGAATCCTTCTTTAGTATACTAAACATTCTAAAATTGAATGCATCCTTCATAAAAATGCATGCACAATCGAAGGGTACTGGACGTTTTTCATGTCTTTAAGTTGCCAAACATTTACCTCAAGCATGTTAGTTAACAAAATTTTGCCACAAAATATGTTTACAGGAAGCTACATTTACAACGAACATGGTTATAATCAACTGCCGGATTAATGAACTTTGGTATTTTTGAGTCAACCACTTGCTGCATTTCTAGTTGAAATGCATAAAATGAACTACGGTTATGGTGAACTATTGATGAATTAGTTTTGCCTTTGACTTCTTAACAGTAGTTAACTGTAATGTCGAAGAATTTGAAACATGATCGAGTTGAGTTTAGAGTTGTTACTATTATTAGAACATGGTTACAAACACATAGCAATGCATCATCGCCTTTGACAGATTTTTAGAAAATAACTGGTCCCCAAACATGTCAGCTCCCTTCCTGTAGTACAAGAACACACGGCTAACGTCACATATGGGTGTCACACTCACCTAGTGTCTGTCCGGGATTCACAGTGAAGTGGCCCTCAGGACTAAAAACAAACACACACTGACCTGGTTAAGTTCTGCATCAGACATTGTGTGTACTGATAGTGTTTATTTCGTAATGCAAGTGTGTTGAATCGCTTAATAAATGAATTTGAAACACGATCGTTTGTTTGTATAGTTTTACATATAACTGCAACAGTGAGATGAATCACAACATATTTTTACACATCACAGAAGTTTTGTCTTCAAAACATAGGCACAACTCAGTTTACTCTTACACTTTAGGCTTTGCTGTGGGGAGTTCTATTGTGTTGTTTTGAGATTTGAATCGTGCACGAACTAAGATGTGACACTTGGAAATTATTTCATGAATGACTTATAAACATCCCTTTAAACTGTATTCATAATATCCTTTGAGGATGGCAATTTTGTCACAACATATTTAGGTCACAAGTTACTTGGAGACTTCCAGCCTTTATGTGTTGCTTGATAGCAACCTTTAAATAACTGCACAGCAGTTTGTTATTATTACAAGGACAAAGTGCAGAAGAACATACCTGAGTCTCCCTCTGGTGGGCTTGAGGGCGCACACACCACACATCTGAGCAGGTACTCGCACACTGCCCCCAATGTCTGTCCCCAGCCCACAGATTGAGCCTCCAGCCCCAAGAAGGGCACCCTCACCCCCTGATGACCCACCAGGGCTCCTGGTGGGATCTTTGGGATGTGTTGTCACGCCATATATGGGATTAGAGCAAGCGTAACTGAAAATGAGAACTTCTTTAAGATGCTCCACCAAAAAATTCAACATATTGAAAATGTCCATAAAAGTTTTCACCCTGTTATGGATGAGCGATTAGGATCGGTCTTCAGTAACCCATGCTTGTCTTAAAAAGGCAACTAACAGGATCGGGTGGTCAGGCTTGCTGACTTGGTTGGCACACGTCTTCGTATCCCAATTGCATAGATCGATGCTCATGTTGTTGATCACTGAATTGTCTGGTCCAGACTCGATAATTTACAAACTGCTGCAAAATAGCTTGAATATTGCTGAGTGCGGCATTAAACATCAACCAACCAATTAACCAACCAACCAACCAACCAACCAACCAACCAGCCACTGTGAGGGCACATACCCAGCAAACAGCTGATATAAGAAGAATCTGTTGCATAATAAGTTCATTTTTATAGTATTATCACTTTTAGTGTACAAGATCAAGCATACCTGTACAAAGTTTGGGGGATATTTGTCCTCATGAAGGGAATAGCGCCTTGTTGTTTCAGCACCTGTCATATATAGAACATTTCATCAATTTGTGCAGAGCGATCACATAGGACACTGCAGTGTAGAACTCATCTCGATAATCTCCAGGGTATATGTTCCGATAAATCTCCACTATATCCTGGATGCATCTATGGCTTGAGCCGATGATTTTATTACCTCCCTTTGCTGGCTCCGCATTCTCACAGTAGCCAATCAGATAAGCCACCGTTACAACTGAGCTTGCCAGTGTCAAGAAAGATAGCGATCGCAGCCGCGAAAGTTTGTTTGCAGTGTGATTCAGATTTGGGGGGAAAACATACAGACAAATTGACAGGTCTGAAACCCCCCCAAAATATATATGCCAGAACTCCTTCTACCTCTTTCAGAGTACCTCGGCAACGATATATTATTGTGTTGCCAAGTTTAATCGGTTAGATGATTTAAAAAGCGAAAGTGAGTTGTGATTGGTATGCTCAACTTCCCAGCGTAGACACCTGATTGGATAAAAAAGCCAACCAAGGGAGGTAATGAAATCATCGGCTCGAGCCGTAGATGCATCCAGGGTACAGTGGAGATTTATCGGAACGTATACCCTGGAGATCATCCAGGATGTGTAGAACTGTCCAGTGTTCCAAATAGCCATTGGCCCGCTGGCCTGTGGCTAGTAAAAATTCAGTCGGGCCAGTAAATCTCCAGTCACTGGCCCGACTGGCTAATGAGTTTTCATGGGGTCATTTTGTAAATATATCGCTCTCTCTCATTTGTTAAATTATAATATGCTTTTAAACCATGCAAGATTATGGCCTGATAAAAATCATCATATTAGCACCTTAATGACGAAACCCGGTCATGTCTACAATATCTTCTTCTCATCTATTTTTGTAATCTTTTGCTTAGTTTCTACATTAAAATTTCGGGCTGTGAATCCTTTTGTGGGCTAGTAACTTTCAGGCATAGCTGGCCCAAACGGCTAGCAAACTTTGGAAAATATTACACAAACTGGAACTGTCAGCATTTCATCACTAAGAAAAAAGATTGATCACATACAGATCATTATAACACTAAGTATATAGAGGTGTCAGTGTAGGACAAAACACATTTAAACACTGAGAGTAAAAATCACACATAGAATAGGTTATCACATAAACACTAAGAATGACCTGTCTAAAGTGTGTGATAAGTAAACACAACCTGACTGAAGTGTGCGATGAGTAAACACAACCTGTCTGAAGTGTGTGATAAGTACACATGACCTGTCTGAAGTGTGTAATAAGTAAACACAACCTGTCTGAAGTGTGTGATAAGTAAACACAACCTGTCTGAAGTGTGTAATAAGTAAACACAACCTGTCTGAAGTGTGTGATAAGTAAACATGACCTGTCTGAAGTGTGTGATAAGTAAACATGACCTGTCTGAAGTGTGTGATAAGTAAACATGACCTGTCTGAAGTGATAAGTAAACACAACCTGTCTGAAGTGTCATAAGTAAACATGACCTGTCTGAAGTGATAAGTAAACACAGCCTGTCTGAAGCGTGTAATAAGTAAACACAACCTGTCTGAAGTGTGTGATAAGTAAACACAACCTGTCTGAAGTGTGTAATAAGTAAACACAACCTGTCTGAAGTGTGTAATAAGTAAACACAACCTGTCTGAAGTGTGTGTAAGTACATGAAGAAACACAACCTGTCTGAACTTTGTAATAAGTAAACACAACCTGTCTGAAGTGTGTGATAAGTACACATGACCTGTCTGAAGTGATAATAAGTAAACACAACCTGTCTGAAGTGTGTAATAAGTAAACACAACCTGTCTGAAGTGTGTAATAAGTAAACACAACCTGTCTGAAGTGTGTAATAAGTAAACAAGTAAACACAACCTGTCTGAAGTGTGTAATAAGTAAACACAACCTGTCTGAAGTGTGTAATAAGTAAACAAGTAAACACAACCTGTCTGAAGTGTGTAATAAGTAAACACAACCTGTCTGAAGTGTGTGATAAGTAAACATGACCTGTCTGAAGTGATAAGTAAACACAACCTGTCTGAAGCATGTAATAAGTAAACACAACCTGTCTGAAGTGTGTGATAAGTAAGCACAACCTGTCTGAAGTGTGTAATAAGTAAACACAACCTGTCTGAAGTGTGTAATAAGTAAACACAACCTGTCTGAAGTGTGTGATAAGTAAATAAGTACCAACCTGTCTGGAGTGTGTGATAAGTAAGCACAACTTGTCTGAAGTGTGTAATAAGTAAACACAACCTGTCTGAAGTGTGTAATAAGTAAACACAACCTGTCTGAAGTGTGTGATAAGTAAACACAACTTGTCTGAAGTGTGTAATAAGTAAACACAACCTGTCTGAAGTGTGTAATAAGTAAACACAACCTGTCTGAAGTGTGTGATAAGTAAACACAACCTGTCTGAAGTGTGTAATAAGTAAACACAACCTGTCTGAAGTGTGTGATGATAAGTAAACACAACCTGTCTGAAGTGTGTGATAACTAAACACAACCTGCCTGAAGAGTGTGATAAGTAAACACAGCCAGTCTGAAGTCTGTGATAAGTAAACACAACCTGTCTGAAGTGTGTGATAACTAAACACAACCTGTCTGAAGTGTGTGATAAGTAAACACAACCTGTCTGAAGTGTGTGATAAGTAAACACAACCTGTCTGAAGTCTGTGATAAGTAAACACAACCTGTCTGAAGTGTGTGATAAGTAAACACAACCTGTCTGAAGTGTGTGATAAGTAAACACAACCTGTCTGAAGTGTGTGATAACTAAACACAACCTGCCTGAAGAGTGTGATAAGTAAACACAGCCAGTCTGAAGTCTGTGATAAGTAAACACAACCTGTCTGAAGTGTGTGATAAGTAAACACAACCTGTCTGAAGTGTATGGGCGCAGCCGTTACCTGGATAACCACTGCATCTTGAGCTACCGGCTTGTTGACGTAGTATTCCATACCACCCGTGCAGTCATAACCCTGCAGCCACAAGAAGGACATGTTGGATTCACATAAACACATTTTCGTAAAAAGAGAGTTCGTGTCAACGCAAAAACCTGCGTGTTTCACACAAATAAATCTACCTTTAACGCACAATATTATCTACCTGCGTGTTTAGCACGCAAAGCATTTTGTGTTCTGTGTTCTGGGAAAAATATATTTTCCCTCAAGGAAACAACATAATAAAATATAGATTCTCACAGCTAATTTAACTTGCGACCGATGACAACATGCTCTAACATGCAAGGAAATAATGTCTAAATTTCAAACTTTTATGATGGGATGCTGGTGCATGCACACGCAAGATTCTCGGGGCTATCCTTTTAGGAATGCAAAAATTCTTTCCTACTGCGAACACTGACATACATGTACCTCTTTTATGACAAGTACTCGTTAAAAAGTGTCAGTTTAACCTCAACCCACCAACCTTCAGTTCAATGTTTTCCTTGACGCTGACTGGAATACCATGAAGTGGTCCCTTCGGATCGGTCTTGGAGTCACATAACATTGCCAGTTCCTGCAGAGAGAGAGTTACATCCCTTACTACAAGGTCAAGGTCCTGGAGTGAGTGAGTGAGTGAGTGAGTGAGTGGGTGGGTGGGTGAGTGAGTGAGTGAGTGAGTGAGCCAGAGTGAGCCAGTGAGCCAGTGAAGTTTTAAGCCGCATTCATCAATATTCCAGCCAAATGGCGGCTGTCCGTAAATAATCGAGTCTGGACCAGACAATCCAGTGATCAACAGCATGAGCACTGATCTGCGCAATTGGGAATCAATGACATGTGTCAACCAAGTCAGCAAGCCTGTCCACCCGATCCCGTTAGTCGCCTCTTATGACAAGCATGGGTTACTGAAGATCAATATTCTAACCCGGACTTTCACCGGTACAACATTTCCTGGAAGGATTAAACATAGATACTGAGGCCACATGGTCAGTGACGACATAATAATACACATGACTGATGTTGACACAATGATACACATGACTGATGTTGACACAATGACACACACAACTCACGTTGACACAATGACACAATGATACACAATGATACACATGACTGATGTTGACACAATGACACACATGACTGATGTTGACACAATGATACACATGACTGATGTTGACACAATGATACACATGACTGATGTTGACACAATGATACACATGACTGATGTTGACACAATGATACACATGACTGATGTTGACACAATGATACACATGACTGAAGTTGATATTGTGACAGTTGGCTAATGTTGACACAAATAACACAAATGGCTTATGTTGACACAACTGACACAAATGGCTTATGTTGACAGTGATGTCGACACAATGATACAATGACACGTAAGGCTGACACAATGATACTCATGATCACTTACCTCGGCTTCTAAAATTGGCTCTACCACGCAGTTCATCTTCTCATCAACCTCCAAAGCCTGAAAACATAACCATGACAACACAATGGTTTACAATCCCAAATACACTGATGATTCTGTGAACCTGGCTGCCCGTTCACATTCCCCTGTCGACACTGACTCGATGTTTTGCAACACCACTATGCTGCAGAGGTAGTTCCATATTAATGAAATTAGTTAATCAAATTATGACAATGACATGATTCCTAAAAGCAAAATAATTGTCAGTTTACTTCATGACCCTTCACAACACCAAATAGTCAATGTCAGGTCCCAAACAGAACTAATTCTAAGCCTTACTTACAATCCGAATACTTGTTCTGGGTGAAGGGGTACTCCATACATACCCGAGACTGGTAAGCTCGGAGCACATCCATAGCTGTCAGGTCCCCTCTTTGGAGCTTGTGCTGGAGGTCTGTCAGTGAAAGGCTCAAGATATACTCTCTTGTCGTCAGGCTCAGCTGAAGTGAGTGAGTGAGTGAGTTGGGTTTAATGCTGTTTCAACAAAATTTGTTTGACCACAACCAGTCAGCTTAAAAGATAAGACAAGCAAAAGTGATACAAGTCTTTGGTGAAACAGACTAACATAAATATGTTGACAGGCCAAGGGTCATGTTGGAGTTTTGTACATCTGCGGAACAAAGTACACCAAAATTGCTGATATATATGACAAATTTCCTTTTTTTCACCACATGCAAATTTCCACTGAAAACATAACACCAACAAATAGATGAGTTGGAATGGGGCTGTATGCCATGAACAAGATTAATGTTGGTTTTATACTGCACTGAGATAGTGCAAGCTATGCCACAGTTGAACGTGAATATCCAAGTCAGACACAGTACACAGGCACAAAGCCACCCAGTTGTTCTTTCATCCACTTTATACCAAGAGCCTGGCTTGGTAAAAAAGAAGTAGGGCTCCAGATAATTTTCAACACCAGTAGTAATGTCTATTTTTTCAATATAAGAGTACTGGGAATGCAGTACATTTAGAGTAATTGAATGGAATTTAATGGTGTATCAGTAATCTTGTGGATCGTTTCATATATGCACCACAACATTGCTACTCTTGTGTAAAACAGGTCAATGAACAATAAAACAATACTTTTCAGATAAACACGCCTGTAAATGATTCTAAGACCGTCTCACCATTGCTGTAGTGCGATTCTGCTTACGTTTCTAAATTATTTCCTACCTTCCTCGTGCATATTATTTTATATCCGTGACATCGCGCCAATACCGGCCTTATCTGGAGCCCTGAAGAAGTATCATTTTTAACATGATGCTACAGAAATTGAACACACGACACAACAGGCAGCTCAGTCTCAAACACACGCACGCATACACAACAGGCAGCTCAGCCTCAAACACACCTACACAACAGGCAGCTCAGTCTCAAACACACGACACAACAGGCAGCTCAGTCTCAAACACACCACACACAACAGGCAACTCAGTCTCAAACACACGGGCAGCTCAGTCTCAAACACACGACACAACAGGCAGCTCAGTCTCAAACACACGACACAACAGGCAGCTCAGTCTCAAACACACGACACAAACAGGCTGCTCAGTCTCAAACACACGACACAACAGGCGGCTCAGTCTCAAACACACGCGACACAACAGGCAGCTCAGTCTCAATGTTAGCATAATGATGAATCCTTATAATAAGCTGTGCCCAGTCCTAGAAAGACATCTTTGAGCTAGGCGTGTTATAACTCACATTATCAAAGGCATCGGTTCTAGGATAGTTCATGGAAGAGGACAAATTCATGAAATTATATCTTACTGGGTATTGGTAAAGCTGTTGTCGTAATTTGTTCATGGAAGCTTCTAACTGGCTTCTCTTCTTGGATAGCTTCTGGTTAAATGCATGCTTCCTCCATGCTGCCCTAACGGCCCATGCAGCAACACAGCACCCCACAATTGTCGGCGCCGCGTGTTGGAGTGACTCCATGCTGGGGACGTCTGCCAGGATAGCTGACTCTCTCAGTTTCTGCCACATCTGTCATCAAAACTTTATCAAAAACTGTTCCATATGTCACATTTTTAAAGAGATTGCAGTTTGACACATGAAAGCTGAAACCAATCCAAGTATTCACAAATATGCTGAAACTGAAAGGTTTTTACACAATTGATAATTTTCATTTTGATCACTGCCCACACTTCCCACCCCACCCCACACCCCAAACTCTGTTTACCAAAAAAAGAATAAAAGAATATCATAAGATAAGTAATTGGTTGTATGGTAAATATTAAACAATGACTGCAGATGAAAACCTGATGTACATTTAAAACAATTTTTACAAAGAGTAAAACAAAACATACAATAAACATAGAAAATCTGTAAAACCATTAAGCAATTTTGTCTTGATAGTGCCTTTGGATAAATTTCCCATACAGGAGTGTCGAGTTTCCACCCAGCGGAGACAAATACTTACTTTCCAAACTGACATCTACCAATGACTGCCTAACAATATAACATTCATTATCTACTGTCTCATCTATTCAATATGTGTATGTCACATGAAGCAAATTCCTGGAATTAAATTTCAACTAAAATCTAACAAATATTGCGTGCCGTTCAGCAACATATGCCAATGATGTTATAATAAATGTAACAATGCCTTATTTAATATTTATTACTAGATGTATTTCCAATTGCTTTTGCAGCTGTGCAACCCTACACAAACTATTCACATGATTGTTAAAAATCTTCTGTGTAAAGCCACAGCTGGTTCACTCTACAAAATCTCAACATCTCTTGAACTGACCCCATTGACACTGAATCAAATTGACATCCAGTTCAAGATTGGGGGGTGGGGTAGCCTAGTGGTTTAACCGTTTGCTTGTCACGTCACAGACCCAGGTTCCGACATATCGGTACAATGTTTGAAGCCCATTTCTGGTGTCCCTTGCTGGACATTGCTTGAATATTGCAAAAAGATGCATAAAAACTCACTCACTCCAGTACATAAATCTCGCTAATCCATGCCACTGTAACAAGGGATAATAAAGGTACACTAATCTCTGACAATTTTCCAGGCTGGTTGGTGCCTGTTATTGATTCTCATCCGGATGACATCTCAGAAAGCTTGATTGACTGGTTCACAATCCATGCTCTGCCAATCAAAAGCACATATGAGAACTTATCCTCATACTGATCAAGAAAGATAAATTATAATATCATCTTTTGTAGGGAAATGTGTCTTCTTTGTGTGCTGCATCGTAAGATGCATGATGAAATCTGGATGCAACTTGCTTGATACCGGTAAGTGTTATTTTAATTATCACTATTTAGTAGGGCTGGGACTAGGTCACGATACGATACGATATGTATCGCAATATTTTACCTGCGATATGATACATATCACAATACATACACCTCACAACAATGACACAGTATTAATATTTAAAATGATATATTGCAAGGTATTTGTATATAACATTAACACTATTGTAATAAACAAACAAGTAACTCTTTCATACTTGCATATTTTTCTCTGTTTAAAATAATACTGTTTTGTAAAAAAGTTGTGTATCGTTTTGTATCGATGCACCAGTTGGCGATATGATAGCTGTATCAAACTTAAATGTATCGTGATGTATCGGTGCATCGGTGCATCGGTGAATCATCCCAGCTCTACTATTTAGACTTCAACACAAACTATTTCACTTGAACACTGATTATCAATAAAATCATGAGTATATGCTACTGTCAATATGTAAAATGACTGAAAATTGCAGTGGGTCAGACTCCTGCAAATCACCATTGTGAGACACATACAAAGTATGCCTGCCATTTGAGTAAATGAGTAAGTGAGTGAGTTTAGTTTTACACTGCACTCAGTAATATTCCAGCTATATGACGGCGGTCTGTAAATAATCGAGTCTGGGCCAGACAATCCAGTGATCAACAGCATGAGCATCGAACGCCGATGTTGTTGCCCGTGCACCACGCTACCAAACTGTGACACCTATCCTCCAAACTCTTCACTGGCTTCCTGTATCAAGCAGAATTCAATACAAACTTCTTCTTCTTACAAGAAGCTGCATCTATGAAAACATGTTTTCTCAATATCTTAAAAGCCTCATTCATCTCCATGTTCCAAGCCGATTGCTCCGCTCATCAAACTCCCTACTGCTTACACAGCCTCACGTCAAAACAGCCATGGGATCAAGAGCGTTCTCTGCTGCAGCCCATCTCTGGAACATTCTACCACTGCCCTAAAAGAAATAGAATCTGCTGATGCTTTCAAAACTGCCCTCAAAACTCATCTGTTCAAACTCTCTTTCCATAGACATTGTCTACAATCTTTTCTCTTCATAGCCATTGAGCAATATCTTTTGAAATAGGCACTCTATAAATCAATTATTATATTATCATATATTATATTGGGAACCGATGACATGTGTCAACCAAGTCAGAGAGCCTGGCCACCCGCTCCTCGTTAGTCAGCCTCTTCACGACAAGCATAGTCGCCTTTTGTGACAGGCAAGGGGGAAGCAACTCTTCACACTGCATCACCTTAGATGACTGGGCTACCTGTACCCTCGACTGACATCATGAGCATCAATCTACATCATTTCTATACATAGATAGTGCCTAATATGTTGCAGCTGCTATACATACAGCAGTTGAAACATTTTGGACACTATCTATTTGAGTTAATCTTATTCAAATCAGATCTTTTACCCAGACAAAAATACCCAAAGTGAGTGAGTTTGGTTTCATGCCCGTTTTAGCAATATTCCAACAATATTGAGGTGGGTGACACCAGAAATGGGCTTCACATGTACTCATGTGAGGGATCGAACCTGGGTCTTCAGCATGACAAGCGAACCATTTAATCACTTGGCTATCCTCTGCCTCTCAATGCAACAAGATCGGAAGACACTTCAATATGAGGCACACTTTCTAATAAACTCATCATAGTCAAGACTTTTGAATTCTCAGAAAATACGACAATATCTAATTTCTGTACGTTGAAAACAAATAACATCCACAAATTCTTAATGCATAAGTATACAGCAGTATAAAATTGTTGCTGATGAATCAAGCACCCTTTCAAATCAGATTTCCCTGACATCTATACACACACAAGTGTGTCGTAGCAAAGGTGAAGATTTGTTCTGTGAGGTTTTAGTTTGCTTCATGTCTGAATCAGTGAGTGTTCACTTTTACGCTGCACCCAGCAATATTCCAGCTATATGGTGGCCGTCTGTAAATAATCGAGTCTTGATCACACAATCCAGTGATCAACCGCATGAGCATCGATCTACGCAATTGGGATACAATGACATGTATCAACCAAGTCAGCAAGCCTGACCACCCGGTCCTGTTAGTTGCCTCTTACGACATGCATAGGTTACTAAAGATCAATTCTAACCCGGATCTTCACAAACTCGCGAAAGATTTAGTATCAAACTTGCTTTCGCTCGTATGATACCAAATCATTAACTCTTTTAAGAAAATTGGTATTACACGGAAGGTTGTTTATTATCATCTATTTATGACAAGCAGTAGAGAGCTAGGGACTAAATATTCTAACCCAAGTTTTTACAGGGTGGAAACATGGACTTTTGAGGTGTGGATGAATTCACAACTTGTCTTGATAGATGTATACATTAAACCTCAAGATGAAATAAATGCTATCTGAAAGAAATAACAGAAAAAACATTATTGTGTACACATGGATAAAGGATTATTGATATATGCTGATATATGCTGCAGCATCAAAATGGAACAATCTCCCAGGATATCTCAAATCTAGCTCCAGTCTCTCATCTTTTAAATCTCAACTAAAGACCCACTTGTTTCTACACTACCTTTAAAATTATGGTTTTCTTTTAGCGCAAAGAACACATTTACTCTATCAATTTACGCGCTCTATAAATGAATGTATTATTATTATTATTATTATTATACAGGATGCTTCCACACTGATCATGAAAGGTCCATTACTGGTAAGGGACCGTTTATCATTTGTGGCTAGGGGAGGTGATGATGATTTTAAGGTGGGGGAGGGAGGGGGGTCACCCATTTTGTTCTGGGGAAGTGGTGGTGGTTTTTTTGTCATGAATTTCGTACACATCTACACATCTACAAGTGGGATGGGTTTCAGCAATTTTTTCACATATTTACTGGGTGGGTTGGGGGTGTCAGCGATTTTGTACACAAATACTATTAGAAATAATGCTTAAAAATTATGGGAAGGGGCAGGGGGTAATTGATTTTGAACATGACATGCAGGGGGGTCATTTACTATGTACATAACTTTTAGGGGGGTCATTCACATTGTCCATGCATCTCCAAAAAAAGTCATCATTACCCCACCTAGCCATAAAGTATGAACGGTCCCTGAGCCCCAAACAAATTTCCAAACTCTTTCCTTCACTCTAAAGGTCTTATGAGTATTTAACAGATGCTTAATATGATGTTCGCCAATTTTGCGTCACCAAAACTTTCTTTTAAAGAAGAGACTAGCTTCTATGCATTGTAGATAACATGAAACTTTACTTTGACAGCTGCTACCAGCTGGGACTTGGAACGGACGGATGACACACTCTGCAGACTGTATACAATGTCCGCACAGGCTTAACAGCTGCCCTTTGACCTGCAAGTGAACATGCACACAGTTGTTGAGTTACCTCCCTTTTTCGGGAAACTTGCTATCGGGTAACGGATTTATTCGACAACTATACAAGATGTTTACAACAACATGTTTTTATTCCTGGTAGGTGGGGTATTTCATGCACTATATGTATGTGTTTAAACAGAGTCTCATAGCTTCAGTACGTGAAATAAAGGAAGCGTTCATATAAGTATCACAATTGATCATGTGATCATAATTTTCAAAATGGCGGCCCCAGTGGCTTGCTAGCATGAACTCACTTCTAAAAACAAATTACAAAAATGAGATAATTTTTAAGTCCTCTATAACATCATACTGGAAATATTGTGTGTTATCTTCCCGTCAAATATCGCTGTATTTCTGGACGGCAGGTAAGAAAAGTCCGCATATTTGCCTCTCATTTGACAATGCAGTTTACCGGGCACAGCTTACTGTAGTTGTGGGAGGATTAAACAAATTGGAAGTGGTGATTGCGCAGGCTATCGACAGTGGCTGTCGATTCACATACTACGCGGTCTTAGCTGGTACTAGGTTAAGGTTTAATACATTCGGATTCGCGTTAGGGTAGGTTTTCAAATGTATCCTCTGCCCTTGGTTCCCCATTACTGTATGTCTCCTTTATCGGTAAGCTGTAAACGAGCCAACTGTGATAGCGACCATGATTGGGGCTGAAGGGGTCGTTAATTGTCAATCAGAATACAGAAACGTACCATAGGACCCTTCCATTCCGTGTTGTTGTCTTGAACGGAACTGTCACACTGTTGTATTAGATGCATTTGATTGCGTTATATAAGAAACGGCTACACACAGTAACGAATATTTCGCGGTGCAAAATGCTCACTCGCAATCAGTTGAACGGGAATAACAACATACGGTTTCGGTTTTGTATTGCCGAATATGGACTCGTCCGCGGTTTAGGGTACCAGGTACGTTTCTGTATTTGGACTGTGTTTACGATACATTTCTGTATGCAGATATGTACTTGGGGAACATATCTGTGCCGACAACGACCCCTTGGATGTTGGCAAATAAGAAGGATGAGATTAACTCAGCCAAAGTGAACTAGCCTCAACCTGGCAACATGTATTCATTCTTCTAAGTGGTGCTGATGGAAATTTGAAACTTGTAATAAATGGCAAATCCTGTAGCATGGGATTTTGTGTAAAAAATGATCAACTTAAGTGAGACTTGACAAATGATTTGGCATTATAATGAGAATGCACATGCATGTGAAATATTGATCTTGATTAGAATCCAACTGTATTTTCAGAGTGTGTAGAAGGTGGCGCCGTATTGTCCAAGACAACTCCCTGTGGCGCCATGTTGATCTGCTGCCATATGTTCTCAGTCTCAACAAGATGTGGAAAGTGATGAGGGCTCACTTCTCGGAGTGTCTGCTGACGATGAAGCTGGGGGGCTTCTGTGATCCAAGTAAGTGCCCATTACCATGATTAGCCCTCATTAAAGCATTCTTGAAACCGGAAGACCAACAGACTGACCGACCCTAACAACTGACCAGACCCCGGTGGGTTTTTGTTATTGTTTTTTTTACATGGAAACTTTGTTTTTAGTTAGCATGTTTAATATATCTGGAGTTTTTTTTGTATTCTGAAGTTAAGCTTTTTAACGTTCCCAGTTCTAACTACATGCATTGCCGTCTTGTGGTTTTCAATATCAGAAAGCTCATCATCATCACCATCATTATGATGTGTTTGTGTAGGTTCAGCAAAAAAGTTGGAGTGGCTCAGAATGAAAAATATAATTGAACTTCGACCCTCATAATCAGTGGGATTCAAAGTAAACACAATTATGGATGGCATATTCTTTAACAGTTTCATGCCCTTTCTTTGGTGTTGATTGGTCAGGATGTTCAGCTGCCAAACCCCAGGCATCAATAGACGTAGATTTCTGTGAAGATGTGGCAAAAATGATGTCCGATACAGGTGCTTAACTGACCACAATCATACGTTTCCAGTGTGCCCCTGGAAAGCAGCTCTGCTCAATAAAGTGTGGTGTCTTAGACCCTTGGGCCACATGTGCCCACAGTACATGGTTGAAGGCTATGGAAGAATTTTTCTGATTTTTCTATGTATGACTGCATATACTGCAATGTTTTAGACTGACTGACTGAGTTTGGTTTTAACGCCGCTTTTAGCAATATTCCAGCAACATCACGGCAGGGGACACCAGAAATGGGCTTCACACATTGTGCCCATGTGGAGATTCAAACCTGGGTCATCGGCGTGACGAGCCAACGCTTTAACCATTAGGCTACCCCACCGCCCCTGCAATGTTTTAGAAGGCAGGTACTTTATTGGAGGTGTGGAAAGCACAGGTTCATATCCATGATAACTATTAATATTCTTGATCTTTCAGAGTCCACAAAATGGAAGAAACATTCTTTGTCTGATGCAATGCTGCTGGATCTACAAGAGAGATGTCCCAAAATGCTGTCCTTGACCTTGGTGAAGTGTAACACAGACAATCTAAACTGCAAAAACCTCCCACGTTCATTGAAACATCTAACAATGAACCAGTGTGCATGGACACCACGCTGGTTAAAGACCTCTATTGACCTTGACCTCACCAACCTTGACCTCACAAAATGTTCCCGTGTTGACAATTTTGATCTTGCAGACATCGCAGAGAAGTTCCCCAATTTGAAACATCTTGTCCTCAATCACTGCTACCGTGTAACAGAGTCAGGTTTGGAGAAGATCGTTACCATGTTGACTGACCTCACCCATCTTGAGCTGTCAGACACCGCTTGCTCAGATCTCACCATCCATCACATGTGCCGTAACCTACCTCATCTGAAGAATCTGAACCTGTCACGATGTGGGCAGATGAACCAGTCCAGTCTCGGGACAATAGCTGGGGCACTGAAGGAGTTACAGAGTCTGAATGTTGCCTATTGTCGTCAGATCAGTCTGGAGGGTCTCACACAGCTGACTGCAGCTCCTGCTCTGTGTAACCTTGTTCTGGAAGGCTGCAAACTTACTGAAGCAGACATAAAATCACTTAATGAAAGCCTTGGAGAAAAAGTACACCTTGTCCAACACACTGTTGATTCTTGTTAAGTGAAGAAGTAGTCTAGATTGAGGATGTCGAGTTTCATGCTGTGTTTAGCAGTATTACCACAGTGGGCACCAGAAATGGGTCTTTGTACGCCTGTAGGGAATCAAATCCTTTTCTGGGGTCCTCTTGCCATGGCAGTATTGCCAAAAGAGTCATAAACACCGCACTCCTTCTTTTCAAGGGTTACCTTGAAAATGTGATGTAGGTAATCAAAGTTCCTATATTTTGCCTTATCCTGAACAGTTTTGTAGTGTTTGAAACAAACATACGTTGCAGCAACATGTAGATATATTCATCAGGGTTCCCTCCCTCAAATCGATCTTCCCAGTAAAATGATCGATAAGCTGTTGGCATAAAGTAAGGGATTACCTGAGCACTGTGATTACATTGTGAAAGGGGCCCTCTTAGTTGTGATACATGTCACAGGTGGGAGATCCTGATGACTTGGGTTTATCCTAACAGTATCGCCAATTAACTAAACTGTACCTCCCTTCTTTTCACTAGTACACATAGATATAGGGCCCAGCTTCTTTTAACAGCCAGCCTCTAAAATGAGCAGAGTTCAACCATAAATGAGCATAAAAAGGCCACATGCACTTAAACAGTCCTAAAATAATACTGAGACATAGCTGGAATACTGCTGAGTGCAGCGTTAAACAACAACCAACCAACCTAAAGTAACAGCAAATCTTTCAAATTTTATGGATTTATGATTACGCCTATGTGCATCAGTTTTACATCTATGCACATATGAAGACATAATTCTATAATTTATCAAGTTCTGACCATCAGAATTTATGCATTGTTTGATAAAATTTGATAATGGTATCAAACAATGTAGTGATTGTCCTTTCACTGGTTTACACTGGCCTATTTTGGTATGCAGTGGTTCATATTTCCTACAGTGATTTATAATGGTTCAAAAAGGTCACAATGGCTTAGACTTGTTCAAACTGGTCATGATGTCTTTGACTACTTTACAGAGGTTCAGACTGGTGTAGACTGGTTTCAACAGATGAACACTTGTTTACACCAGTTCACATTGTCCAACACCATTCATTCACTCATCAAAAACAGTCCTGACAACTTTAGAGATTTAAACTGGATTATACCGGCCCCCACTTGTCTACACTCCTAATTGTGATGGAAGGGATGGCGCTAGGATAGTGTAAATGTGTTATTGATGTTTGGCTGCAAGACAAACAGCCAAAGGTTTTTGATACTTTAACTTAGCTGGAATGATAATTAATATTTGCTAAACCACAGGGTATTCCAAGAAACTCCTCATGTAATCACATCACACCAGTTAGAAAGGAAATAAGGACAGCGAAGATAGCTCAACTGTGACCAACACATTTTGTTAGCTGTCCTGGGTAAGCAGTCTCTGCAACAAGATTGTTTGTGTTCATTGAAAAATGAAATTTCAGAAAATGGCTGACTCACCGAATACTAGTTTGTCAGTAGCAATGATAGTAGAAATGGGATAATTGTTTTCAGTGTTGAAGTTGATTGTGTGTTAAAAAATTGTCTTATTGAAAACCCTCTTAAATGAATTAAATAAATTTGTACATGAAGAAAGTGTGAATATATTCAAAGTCATTCTCTGTGATATCTATCTGTTAAAGTCTATTATTATCAATTACTTATTAGATAATGAAATATAGCATAAGTGTTGAATTGATTTGTCAGGCGTATGTTTGTATTATATTTCTATTTAAAGCCAGTGACAAAGTTGAATTGATGGCCCTGTTTTGATTACTGGGTGTGAGTTGATCATTTGGCTGTTTCTTCCAGTCATCACTGTCATTTATAGTTCTGTTTTTCATGCTTTTATGTAGAAGTGCAGATGTGTATATTAGATTGTAGATCATACAAATGGACATATATTTAATAAAGGCAGCATATTTTTATTGTGTGGTGACAAAAGTATTTAAATACAATTTACTGTCACAGTTATGATATATCTATTGGTTATGTTTTGAAATACAATATGTAGACCATCTGAGTTTTGGTTATGTTTCATGGATTGAAGACTGAAATGACCATGGACAGATATGAATTATTATTATTATTATTATTATTATTATAGGATATTTATATAGCGCACATATACACACACTAGTGCATGCTCAAGGCGCTGGTATTTTTTCCCTCGATCATTGGATGTCAATCTCAAGGGCACATCACATTATCAATCTCAACTCCCTTGGGAGTATACAACTCTTGCAGCCACTAGGCGCACCGAGTTATTGTGGCTTTCTCATCCTAACGAGGTACCCATTCACAGCTGGGTGGACTGGGACACATAGTCACAGTACTTTGTCCATGTTCACTGCACGTTGCTGTACCCGCAACTAGGTGTTTGCACGTATTCATGTGGCCACCATCTGGTCAAATACCAACGGATTCGTGGGTTCTTTTAAGTGCACAGAGTTGTGTACTGTACACTAGGGGTTGTGACAACACTGAAAGAGTCTGCACACAAAGTTGACTCCAAGGTTTTTACACCCGGTCACAGGTGGGCTCGATCCCGACACCTCAACCTCGCTGGATCACTAGCCTTGCGCCTTAGCCAGCTCGCCCACCGCGCCCCCTTATGTAGTGGGTAATGTCCGAGGGCCTCGGCTCCATTATTTTTAAGGAATGCAGAGTTACGAGGACATTACCCTCTTAAATTACATTCAAAGTATTGGGAATATTTCTGTTATCAAAATTAAATGTCAAAATGACAAAGTGGAGGCTTTAATTTGAAACTGGTACACATCGCTCCATTCGTGAAAAGTAATGGAGCGAGCAGACACTGGAATGACGTCACAAATGTAATTTAATTGGGCAACCATGTTAGTCTTCTGAGGTCAACACGTGGCTGACTGAACCCAGGTACGATCCAACCGGGGCATCGTACCTCCAGACTTCCAACCAGTGAAGATCTGGGCAGCTGGGGCAGCAGACCTCCAGACCTCCAACCCGTGAAGATCTGGGCAACCGGGGCATCAGACCTCCAACCCGTGAAGATCTGGGCAGGAATGTCTTAGGCAACACATGCTTGTCGTAAGATGCAACACATGTCATCGTATCCCAATTGCGTAGAATATGAGATCCATGGGAGACAATACTCTGAAACAATGATATCAACAATCTCCAAAACAGCGGTTTTATCACAAAATTATACAAAGCACTGTGTCCGTGCCACAGCAGTATAACGTTGTCGGAGGTCGGTGTTGATGCCGTTGGAATCATGTCAGTTAATGGTAAAAAGTCACATAACAACACCCTCTTAGCAAGCTTCCTCGTTCTGTAAGTACAATAGATCCTGACGAAACTGTTCTTAATGACACTACACATGGGGCTTGAGATTATGTTTTTGGGATCAGTGACCACGCACGCACGCACGCACGCACGCACGCACGCACGCAGGCACGCACGCACGCACGCACGCACGCACGCAAAAACCAAAAAAACCCACAAAAACCACAAAAACCACCCCTCGTCCCTCAACCCAGCGTAATCTAAAGGTCTGCCTTAATGTTATATTGTTAAAACCGTATCCTTTGCAGACGTTAACATATGAATATTTAAAGTGGGCGAGGACTTGCGATATCTACACCTGCAGGCGACCTGGTTAAACCAGTTCTTGGAAAATTGATTTCCTGCGAACGTATATACGAAAGTACAACCCGACCTCAGCCTTTGTGAGTTCCAACACACTGTACACCTCCTCTTCCGCCTCAACAGAAAACCCACGAAGACCTTGTGGGGGTGTAACGTATTGATAAACATTCCGTCAGTATGTCAGTAGCATGTGCTAGTATTGTTGCTGACGGCGGAGGTTATGCTTGGCGAGCAACACGATAGCATAAAATGCGCCCACACATTCCGGTGTCACGTGACAGACACTAAATGTATTATGTTCTGTATGAGAGAAATACTTCAGTGACAGTGTTCAACCACAGTCAATGGCAGACAGGAGAACAAGCTCGACTCCGCCTGTGAGTACTGAAACGAGAAACTAGGGATCTGCATATGTCAACAGTTCACTATAACTAGTCGTTCTGACAGTGTGATAGTACTCACTGTAAACGAGAAAGACGTATTGTTTTTTGTGGTTGTTAATACAAGTATGCGATAAAACACTTTATAAGACATTTCTGCTAAAGGCAGCATTTATGATACGACTTGGTGTTTATGAATCAATAACAAACAGCAAAGATACCATGTAATGAGCAAACCGACTTGGTCGATTCACTGAATCAATAATTTCATTGTCAGTGATGTAACGTCAGCAACGATCCACGTTGGTTACTATGGCACACAGTCGACCACGCCCCAACCAAGGAACGCCTCGCTCGACCTGCGTGGGTTGCCGGTGACCTATTCTCGGAATCACTCGTGACGTCATGCATCAGGACAGGTAACCTTCAGAAACGAAAGTAGACAATTATTCAACCGTGAACGCCCAGTGTTATGTTCGTTAAGATCTCAGACCCACTGCCTCTTTCCGAGCTTTTTATCATCAGGATCTCATTAAAACACTTCGCCAGTGCATGTTATTCTTGTATGGAATCAAATGAAAGATTCATTAGTGTATCGGGTTTCTAACACCGGTTGTACAAAGACATGGTGTGACGTGACTGCCACGAGCCTACTGAGAAGGACAAGGTAGTATCTCGGACCTGCTACACAGGGAATCTACACAGTCAACAGTGTCTAAACTAACCCCCGATCCACACGGCAGAAATGTGAGTACAAATTGTTGTACAACAAGTCCACTCAACCATGTCAAAGAAGAATGACGGAAAGCGACAATGTCCTGACTGCAACAAGTGGTTTGTGGATTTGAATAACCACAAGAAATGTGATGGTAGGGGCCAAACAGCCAGCCAAAGGTCACCGGATGACAAGCTTCAATGTCCTGATTGCAACAAGTGGTTTGTGGATTTGAATAACCACAAGAAATGTGATGGTAGAGGCCAAACAGCCAGCCAAAGGTCACCGGATGACAAACAACAATGTCCCGACTGCAACAAGTGGTTTGTGGATTTGAATAACCACAAGAAATGTGATGGTAGAGGCCAAAGAGCCAGCCAAAGGTCACCGGATGACAAACAACAATGTCCCGACTGCAACAAGTGGTTTGTGGATTTGAATAACCACAAGAAATGTAATGGTAGGGGCCAAACAGCCAGCCAAAGGTCACCGGATGACAAACAACAATGTCCTGATTGCAACAAGTGGTTTGTGGATTTGAATAACCACAAGAAATGTAATGGTAGGGGCCAAACAGCCAGCCAAAGGTCACCGGATGACAAACAACAATGTCCCGACTGCAACAAGTGGTTTGTGGATTTGAATAACCACAAGAAATGTGATGGTAGAGGCCAAAGAGCCAGCCAAAGGTCACCGGATGACAAACAACAATGTCCCGACTGCAACAAGTGGTTTGTGGATTTGAATAACCACAAGAAATGTGATGGTAGGGGCCAAACAGCCAGCCAAAGGTCACCGGATGGCAAACAACAATGTCCCGATTGCAACAAGTGGTTTGTGGATTTGAATAACCACAAGAAATGTGATGGTAGGGGCCAAAGAGCCAGCCAAAGGTCACCGGATGGCAAACAACAATGTCCTGATTGCAACAAGTGGTTTGTGGATTTGAATAACCACAAGAAATGTGATGGTAGGGGCCAAAGAGCCAGCCAAAGGTCACCGGATGACAAACAACAATGTCCTGACTGCAACAAGTGGTTGGTGGATTTGAATAACCACAAGAAATGTGATGGTAGGGGCCAAACAGCCAGCCAAAGGTCACCGGACGACAAACAACAATGTCCTGATTGCAACAAGTGGTTTGTGGATTTGAATAACCACAAGAAATGTGATGGTAGAAGTCGCCCAAGAATGTCTCCATGTGTGAATTCCACACCCCTAGGATCCGGTAACCCAACAACCGGACAACATATTGCCCATTCAAACGAGATGGATAGAGATGTCGTGACAAAGATGGAAGAGTTTGTTGGGCACATGGTAAGTACTTGCAAACTGGAACATTCAAGGAATCCAAGGAGTGATATTTTGAATTTCTTCAACGATGATGTGGCACTGAAACAAACTGAAATCGTGGATGTGGCACCATATTTTACAGAGTTGCAGAACGATATCTGTACCTTTCTCAAATCGAAGACGCCTTGGACGTGGAAGGTGTTTAGGGGAGGTTCATATTACGACAAAACTAAGGTGAGTGTTCGTTGCTGTTTAGTTTGTTTGTCTGTTTTGTTGTTTGTTTGTTTGTTTGTTTGTTGTTTAACGCCACACTCAGCAATATCTTTTCATCAAAGTGACATGAGTTACTGCTGTGATGACGCTATATCATGGATGACCCACAACAAACTTAAGCTCAACAGCAACAAGACAGAATGCATTCTGTTTGGTCCAAAGAAGCGCCACTCCGCAAAATTGGACATATTCGCCAATGTCTTACAGTTGAATCTGCCAAGACTCTTGTATTGTCACTTTTAATGAGTAAGCTTGATTATTGTAACTGTTTACTGGCCGACGCATCAAAGACCCAGATAGCCAAGCTACAGAGAGTGCAGAACGTCGCCGCCCGCATCGTGACTCGCTCTGGAAAATATGAACACATTACTCCTATACTGTACACTCTCCACTGGCTTCCAGTCGAGTTCCGGATCAAGTTTAAACTCTTATGCCTTGTTTTCACTGGAACTGCGCCTTCCTGTCTATCCAATCATCTAACCGTGTACACACCTTCCCGATCTCTCCGCTCACAGGATAAGAACTTGCTTGTTCTTCCCAAAGTGAAGACAGTGCTGTATGGAAACAGGTCCTTTGTCCATGCAGGATCAATAGCCTGGAACAGTCTCCCACAGAGTTTCAGAGACTGTTGTGACTTTCATGCCTTTAAATCCAATCTGAAAACACACATGTTCAAGATAGCCTTTGAACTGTAGCTCTTTGCCTTACTTACATTTTTATTTGTGCGCTTTTAGCATGCATAAGCATGGATATATGCGCGTTACAAATATGCCATTATTATATTATTATTAAAGTACGTAGTAATACACAAACATTCTACACCAACAAATGGACACTGAAGGCATTACAACTTACATCTCGTGTGTTCACTGAAATTATATTTGCAGTAGATTAAGAGCGAATTGCTACAACATATGATAAGCACGTATTACTGATGCATGATATTTCCTCACAGGGTTATAGAAGCACCACACTTAAGATCAAAGTGTTAGCCAAAGAGAAATATCTCACAGTTTACAGAAAGATCTTTCATAATCATGTTTACCTGTAGGTGCACTGCTCAGCCTCCAGTTTTCTTGTTTAAGGTGTCTCGACCCAATGAAATGGATTGTTTATTCATTCCGGAAGTTGATTCACCTCTTCAGCCAGTGTATAGGGACTGCTATCCTGGCTACTGCAAGGTCAGAGTTGAAAATACGTCTTCAGCTCTTAACAGTCTGTGCAAAGACAGCTTCCTCAACCCTGGGGAGTATAGGCAGTATTTCTTTGACCGGATGGACGAATTTGTGCGCGGAAGTCCCAGGTGTAAGAGTAAGTTTGTTTCTTTCTTGTTTAACTTTGCACTCCGCAATACTTCAGTTATATGGCGGTGGTCTGTAAATAATCAAGTCTGGATCAGACAATCTAGTGATCAACATCATGAGAATCGATTTACTCAGTTGAGTAAAAGTAAGAAGAAGATGTGGTATGTGTTATGATGTTTTCACCCCAAGGGGTGATGCATCCCAATCCACAAGACCTACTGATCAGTGTTTCAGTAATTATAAAGGCTTGGTAATGATTGAAATACACGTTCATGAAAACTGTGTCATCACCTCTGTCGTTCCTTGCCCAAGTGGTTCCTTCATTTTGGTGGTATAGATGACATTTCTTTCTCACAGGGAACCTAAACCACCCAAACTCCCCATCATTCGGCATCACCTACTTCGGCCCAAAAACCTACCATGGCACCCTTGACATCGACATGGACATCGTCCCAGCTATCAACATACCACAATGGCCACCGTCTCCGACTGCTCGGGATCTGAGCAAATGTGAAAATCTCAAGGACATATCCCATCTCATCAACCCTTCTGACATCAAGGAAAAAGGATTCAACATTACAACAAAGTGCTGTCCAGGTAGGGTCTTCTGAGTCATTCTTAAGTACCACTTCATTTGAATATGTGGGTAATGTCTATCGAATCTTCTTCTTTGCATAATATCCCAACATTGGTTCCAATACTAAATTGCTTGTATTTCTTTCAGCACACAATCCACACAATCTGCAGTGGCAGATGTCGTTCTCCCTCGCTGAGCAGAAACTCACTTTGCACGGGAACAAAGACAGCTGGAAGCCTATCCTCCGAACAATAAAACGAGTGATGGAGATTGCCAAGGGCCAACAGGGCCTCATGGACACAGTAAAATCAGAGATGATCCAGCAAGTCGCCGAACACACCAAACAACATTACTTGAGGGATGCCTCATTTCGGTTAGGTTTCACAACTTACCACATAAGGACGTTGATGTGGACGTTGTTGTACGACCTCAGCGCCGGGTTCCATGTGTGGAAGGATGAAACTCAGGAACATAGGTTACACTTCTGTCTGGGCAAGTTCAAGAAAATGTTGACTGGCGAGATGACGGTGCCCCATTTCTTCTTGCCTAACGTCCGGGATATGATGAGCACTGTGCGTTGGAAGGACAGAGAGTTCATGTACATTTTGGTCAGATCCACGGAAATCCTGTTTTCTAGAGTCACCGACCAATATTCGTAAACATAACTGAGTGAGTGAGTTCAGTTTTACCCGACTTTTAGCAACATTCCAGCAATATCGTGACTGGGGACACCAGAAATGGGCTTCAGACATTGTACCCATGAAGGGACTCGAACCCGGGTGTTCGGCGCGTTCGGTGTTCGGCGCGACAAGCGAATGCTTTAACCACTAGTCTACCACAAGGCCCCGTAAACAGAGCTGACAACTTGTCCTTTAAGTACTAGTTTAACAGACTCTCACCAAAGTGACAATTGTTGCAAAAATATCAACACGTTCCATTTGAGACAGGAATTTGATGATCAAATCAAATTGAAAAGATATATTACTGCCACAAAATATTACGTATTTTCATTGACTAAACATTGTTTATATTCCACTCACTCACTCACTCATGCACTCACTCACTCACTTACTCACGCACGCACACATACACGAAAACACGCACGCACATACATACATTTCACCATATAAATCTCTGATGCTTAGATTAAATAGAGTCATGTAAGTTTGGGTAAATTGGGTTCTTGACAAGTTGAAAAGAAATTGCCCAGAACTCTAAATCGTGATGGAAATAAATGAATGTTCGCCTTCTTTTCATTTGTGTATTAATTTTCTGAAATGGATGAGCAGATGTCGGATAAAAGTCACAGATGAAGTCAGGCAAATGGGGTTTAATGCTGTATTCAAAGTTTTACGAGGGTTGTCCCAATGAACGGATCGCACAAACTCTACAAAACTCACAGTGTTTTAAGAACAGTATCTTAGCACGTGCTTGACATGCACAAGATGAATTCCACGTGCTAAACTTTCCTATATATAGCTGTCAAACCCTATCATTTCCTCTCAAAATGGAGAGAACCGAATGCAGGGCTGTTATGAAGTATTTTCTTTTCAAATTCATTATGACATGACACAGACATTAGGTGATGGAAATCTGGGTTAGAATTGATCTTCAGCAAACAATGTTGGTCGTAAGACATGACTAACCGGATCGGATGTTCAGGCTCTCTGACTTAGTTGATATGTGTCATCGTATCCCCACTGAGTGGATCGATAGTCATGATGTTGATCACTAGCTTGTGTGGTCCAGACTCTATCAACTAAACGACGTCAATAGATGGTAGCTGTCTCTAGGGTTGGACACCAAGGGGATAAAACAAGGTCAGATTTGTGTCAGTTTAATGTGCCAGAGCGGGATGACCTTGCGACTTGCGTGCGACGTTAACCAAACAAAAAACAAACCAAACTATGCATAAAGATTCAACTCATGCTGTTGATCCCTGGATTGTTTGGTCCAGACTCGATTATTTACAGACCGCCGCCATATTGCTGGAATAGTGCTGAGTGCGGCGTAAAACAACAACCAACCAACCCAATAGTAAGCTATCCTTGCCACACGTCCTGGATGCGATGAACATCACTTAACCCGCCCGAAAGCCATTGTTTGTCACGTGACCCTAAAAACTCATCATCCGTGATGACCTCCTCATCCGTCTCAAAGGACAGATTTGAGTTGAGGGAAGAGGAAGAACTCAGAAGGGGCAAGATCTTGAGAATAGGCTGGGTGAGGGAGGATCTCCAAGCCACAGTCCTGTGCAGCATTCACTGCCACTTGGGCCGTATGAACTGCACCATTGTCTTGGAGGAGCCAGACACCTTGGCGCTTTTCTCTGATCTGATGACGCAGCCTACGTAATTCATCAGCGTAATATGTACCATTTATTGTGGAACCTTTCTTTAAATAGTCTAAGTTTGACAAACCACTATCCACCAGACTGTACAGGGATGACTTCAGCTTCCCAATAGTCAGATACCCGTGAAGATCCGGGTTAGAATTGGGTTTCAGCAAAACCATGCTTGTCGTAAGAGGCAACTAACCGGATCGTGTGGTCAGGCTCGCTGATTTGGTTGACACATATCATCGGTTCCCAATTACATAGATCAATGCTCCTGATGTTGATCACTGGATTGTCTGGTCTAGATCGATTATTTACAGACCGCCGCCAATCTTCTGATTTTAGAGGCAGGCCAAATGTTGGAAGGGCAAATAATTTTGACAAATTTCTCCCCCTTTGGGTTAGAGTACGACATGTGTCGTAGGCACTTTGATGGGGTATGGGTTTACCCGGGAATATAGACATGTTTGTATATTCTCTGAGTTAAGTTAAAGTTGTGTTACCTAAGTCTAGATCACAGTGCTGACAATATACATGAAATATCAGCAGCTTATTATTATGACCATCAGCACAGCCATGTACAGATCAGCTGCCTGCGTGTAATTAACCTTAATTAACCTTAGAGTATATGGCCGGTTGGCCACGGAAGTTTAACATTGTGGTTGAGGTGCATGCTGGATACTGCAGGCTGACCATACTTGTATCGTACTACGATACAGGGCAGGGCCTAGATTTTCGAAGCTCTCTTAGCGCTAAGATAGTCGTAAGTGCCATACATTAACATTAACTTACGACTATCTTAGCGCTAAGAGAGCTTCGAAAATCTAGGCCCAGGCTGACAGTCAAGTATATAGACAACGAATTCTGAATGTAACGGGATTTGACCCTCGGACAGCGGCTTGGCAGTTGGGCTGACGATCGCCTCTGTGATGCTGCCCTGCCGTTGCTGCACTATCATGTAATTGCATACTTAGCTTACAAATAAAGTGTTGTGGACCCACTGATGGACTTCTGTGTTTGAAGAGACAGATATCCCCAAAACGCTATAACCAGCCCGGGATACATGTTTGATAAATGCACTTTGTTAAAGTATCATCAGCTTTGAACTCTATGTTCCATTTTTTAAATAACTCTCCATCCCCAACAGAAATATAAGAGAAAAGTGTTACGTTATCTTTATCATTTTATTTCCAAATAATAATGATATTACTTCCCAAGACAATCACATTAAGCAGGTTTCATGTGAACATGGAATATATTTGTTATACAAATACGGAACGTCACAAAACAGTTCACGGCCTCATTCTTTATTCAGTACTTGTGTACACCTACGCCCTATGGTACAATTAGAAGTCCATAGAAGACGGCATATCCAGCCGCGAGCCGTTGGTTAATTGACAAACATGGCTGTATCTCATATAACTGATTTGTCTTTACTTGGAAAAGTTCACAATTAAGATGATTCTGGGGGTGATTGCAATAATAACTTGTCGATATTAAGAGTTACTTTGAGACTTAAATAGTGAGAACACATACATTAAATACGTGTAAGGGTCATGGCATAAATTTTAAGAGTGAGTGAGTTTAGTTTTACGCCGTTTTAGCAATATTACAGCAATATCACGGCTCTTGACACCAAATCTGGGACGCATACATTGTGCCCATGTGGGGAATTGAACCCGGGTTCCGGCGTGACGATCGAACGCTTTAACCATTTGGCCATCCCGGTGTCCCTCAACTGTAATAAGACAGATGAGGACAATGTACAGTATCAGCATCACACGACTGTTTTACTTGCATCGACATCCTTCACTGCCCCAAGGACTGATAAGTACGTATCCTTGACTGACCAATGGTTTAAATGTTTGTCCAGTTTTGGGAGTCACTGCTTCTTGCTGAATATTACCTCAGTTGCCCTTGCTATAACATAGAGGAATTCCCTTTCCTTTCCTAGCTTATGCGGTAAAATGTTCTTGATCTGGGGAAGGAAGAAGTGCGGCACAACCATTTCCCCTGTCATCATCTTCTGGAACTTCCGGAGACATTCCTGGAATCTTGTGGCCATTGTTTCTGTCCCCCACACGTGCTCCCCTAATGTCAGTTCATACAGCTGCCACCACATCAAGGTTCTGATGTGATACGTTGTCAGCAGTGAAGAACGCAGTTCTGGCCTCTGCTTCTGGACATACCTCACTGCTTTTTGGATCTGCAAGAGCTCTGGGCTGTTACTCTTGGCACAGGAATCACTGTTGCCTTTCGCAATTTCCAAAACTCTTTTCAATGTCCTAAGTGACGGTTTCCAAGAGACTTTATCGGCATATTTGGTGATGGTCTTCTCAGCATAGGAACAGGAAACTTGCCACAGGAGGTCAGGATTTTTGGCTTTTCAAAAAAGAAGGATAAATAAGGAATTTATCAGATTTGTACATTTGCTTACCAAAACAAACAGTTCAACGGTTGATCTTTACAGAAAGAAACCCTAAAGTGAGCATGAACAGTTCTGATGTTGACCAAAGAATATACTGAGGATGAATCTCCTATTCGAATCCTCGATATATTCACATACATCTGAATTAGATGGGTTGGTTATCTTTCTTGTCTTTTCGTGTGTACACATTTATGTATACTCAGTGTTTCAAGAATTCAAATCATAGGTGTCTCACTTCTCAGAGCCATCAATATATTTATAGCTCGCATATATATTTCATTGTTTGCCTGACCCGTGAAGATCCGGGTTAGAATTATAGCCTTCAGCAACATATCCTTGTCGTAAGAGGCGACTAACGGGATTGGGTGGTCAGACTCGCTGACGTTGTCGCCACACGTTATTGTATCCCTTTTTGCTCAGGGTGCTGTTCCACTAACCGATCTTACCTAATATCAATCTTAGCAAGTTACGCCAATTTTACAATCGTCTTAGCTTAAAGTTACACCCGTTCCACTACCCGATCTTAGGCCGATCGTAGCCGGTCTTACGATCACTATAAATAATCGAGTCTGGACCAGACAATCCAGTGATCAACAGCATGAGCATCGATCTGCGCAGTTGGGAACCGATGACATGTGTCAACCAAGTCAGCGAGCCTGACCACCCGATCCCGTTAGTGGCCTCTTACGACAAGCATGGGTTATTGAAGTTCATTATTCTAACCCGGTCCTTCATGGGTATTTTTCCAGCCATGTGTAAACGTAAAGAAAAAAACCTAGAGCAAAATATTAGGGTAGTGAGCACCTTGGTTTCAGGTGCAAGTGCGTGTGAACGCTGGGTATCAGGCATAATATAATAATAATAAATGCATATTTATAGTGAGCCTATTCTACATCCTGGGGCATGCTCAAAGCGCTATGTACAGATAATTTACACGAGAGTATTTACAGCCGAGATTATAAGTAATATACTGAAAACAGGTTTCAGTCTGGACTTTAAAAATGTCAATTGTGTCAGAGCTTTTAATATGTGCCTGAACCTTGTCAATCAGAATAAACAAGGCGTGAGGAGGCATCCTCTATAACGTACGCAGAATCTGTCAGTGGTCTTGAATAACACGCGGCCTGCCTTTAGAATCCCCCCACCAAATAAGTGCACGTGAAATCAAACATATTTTCATCTTTTTGTTTTAGAACATTGTTCACTTCACGGCTGTCCCTATTCTTAACCATGCAATATTGTTGTACAATGTGTTACACCGACTCGCTCGGTTGTGTTCCCATGACAACAGTGGTCAGACTGGCCTGACATTTGTAAGGCAGTGCAGTGTTTGTTTACATCACAGAAATATACAAATTCATTTCATGGGGGATTTTAGGGGACGCTCACGGTGAAATGCTCGCTCTTATTTTTCACATGGAATAGGAAAGCCACCATTTTGGTTTCTCTACGATTGATTTTAGTTATCCTAAATTGGCCATGAGCAACTTAGACTTTGAATCTTAACTTTACGATTGACTTGGGTAAGATTGGTTAGTGGAACGGTATGCCGATCGTAACGTCACGCTAAGATTGGGATTTTAGGGGTTTACGATTGGCATAAGGCTAAGATCGGTTAGTGGAACGGTATGCCGATCGTCACGCTAAGATTGGGATTTTAGGGGTTTACGATTGGCATAGGGCTAAGATAGGTTAGTGGAACGGCACCCAGGTTATGATGTTGATAACTGGATTGTCTGGTCTAGACTGGATTATTTATCGGCTGGCGCCATATAGCTGGGATATTGCTGAGTGCGGCGTTAAACAACAATCAAACCATCAATCAATCATTACTAACCATGACACCAGTGCTTCGCAGTTACGTTGAATCCCTTTTCCTGAACGACTGTAGCTTTACTCTTGTCCGGGATGACTTTCTTGATGTCACGGGAAATGCTCTTTGAAAGCCAGTGTTTGATGTTCAGTGACGGCACAAAGTCAATGTCAATACTTTTCATCCCTTCTTCAGTTGGAATACCCCCATAGCTCACCGCGAAAGATTGGGTAGACGAAAATTTGCGAGCATCTGAAACGAAACAGATCTGTTGTTGTTTAAATTTCCGCCTGGTGGCATTGAATATGTCAAGTATCTCATTTGATACTGGGTGTGGTTTACAATGTGTCTATTCAAACGTTCATATCATTCAGGGACATTATAAAATTTGAACAAGTGAATTAAATCAACGAACCCTTTAACTTTCTATCAGTTTGAAGAACACGTTCAAGCTTCTCAAAGACGTATGCCTTGAACCTTTTTGAGTTTACATAGCTTCCATCAAGGAATAGCTGGAGATCCTTCTCGTGGTCATGCACATCACCGACGACCTTCACCTTGCAGGCCCCAGCTTTACAGGTGTCATCAAACTCAGCCACAATTTTGGTCTTAAGAACTGGGAAGATTGTGCAGTCAAATTCATTTGGTCGGGCCACCTGAGAAAGGAAGAGGCTTATACACCTGACTGACTCTAGCAGTATTCAAATCTAAAGTTATAGATATCATTAACGTTTTAAATATATTATTATTATTTAAGAAATACAGTTCGCTCTACCACCATGAATAGTGTAATAAAACACACTTTCGCCCTGAACTATTATAGCTAAAGTACGAGGACGCTTGCATCCGAGTGCTTTTATAAATACGTTATAATAGTTCAGGGCGAAAGTGTGCTTTATTACACTATACATGGTGGTAGAGCGAACTGTAGTTCTTTTCTAAGATGCCAAATGTAATACTTTCTAAGGACAATTACGATTAATTTAAGGCAGAAAACAAACGAAGGTGTCGGTGGCCTAAATTCCTAAGAATCTTCGCACAGGGCTAACTGGCGCGCTGTTCTATTGATGTGTCTGCCCCCCTACGTTAAGACGAACGTTAACAGAAAAAAACAAATGATAACAGTTTGATGACGGTTTACGTTCGGATTAAATATCTCCTCTGAATTATTTTAATTACATCAAACCATATGGGGCAATACGAACGTCGCATTTCTACTACCAACGTAAGTTTAGATCAGTACATCCAGATGAAGCTGAGTAGTCAAGCGACTTTCCAAGATTGCATTGTGGGAATGTAAGCATTGCGAACGTTACCGTGTCGCTGAAAACTTGTGAGTCGAATTGACACATTTTAACCGTCGTAAAACATAAACGTAATGTTTCCACCAGTGATGTTAGCTGCGTGAAGCAACTGCAAACCAAGAAAGGGGATGCAACGGTGAAGTTTACTGTAGGAGGCCGTACGAGTCGATGACAACTGACATGCATCGTGGCGTCGCTTACATTGTGACGTAATGTAAAATGGTTCGATTACGAGAGGGCACACTAGAATGGCGCAGTGACGGGATAACGTCATTCAATTGTTACGTCATCAAAAAACTATACCTTTATTGTCTGATAATGTATTTTTTTTTCGCTTGTTCTAACCGCTAGGCATCTTAGAAAAGAACTTATAGCTAAAATACATGGAATTATCATGAAACGGCCCTCCCATTATCAGAAATTTGTGGGCCGCTGCAAATGATATTGGACCGCTCAACCTTAACGACGGGCCACGATCAGTTCTGTTGTTGATATTCTGGGTCAAACAAGTCAAAGCAACCCGAATTCCCGCTTTAAATAGCGGTAAATTGGCTTTCTTGTTGGTGCGAACCTTAACCATTGCACTATTAAGGCTGTTGATGGACCAAAACCGAACACTGACATAGTTTGACATGTTGCAGGCTATGGTCTTGTCAAAGGCCAAAGTCGAATATCGTCACTTTCTGTTGTGACGTCACTTGAATTGTTCGATGACGTAATTGCATTCGGGCAGTCAACCCCGTCAGAAGTTGATTTGGGTAAACTTACAGTCAAATTCCTTCATTGTTTCCTTTTTCTTTTCAACACAAATTCCATGTATTTTAGTAATAATAACTACGGTAATGCTATTTTTGAGGGCATTATCATTTGCAGAAGCCCTCGGTCTTTTTCAACTGCCCTCCATTGTCGGGGCAGTTAATGGAAGACCTCGGGCTTCTGCAAATGATAATGCCCTCAAAAATAGCATTACCCTTAAAATAGTCAGCCTTGCATCCTCAATACAACCCAAACTACGTTTGTTATAACCTCATGAAGGAAACCTTTTGCTTTTGTTAATTCCGTTCCTACCTTAGTTCCATCGAAGTGAGACCCTGCATTGCAAAAAGTCCATTTTCCAAGGTTCATCTCACTGTTTAATAATCGCATTATCTTTTCTCTCAACCACCTAAAATGCCCCAACGCTACGTCGATATCCTTCTTTTTCATTTTCACTTCTTTTTGAAAGAAGTTCTTGATGTCCCTTTTTGGATTGTCAGAGCTCCGAATGATCTGTTTATTTACCATCTCAGTAATCAGTGCATCCATCTCCGCTATGTCCACAATATAGCCTTTCTGTTCACTCTGTGAATGGCATGATTTTCTTTTGTCAGAATCTCTTGCCGCCTTCCCCGAATCCTGCTTCACGCCTACAGTAGATACTGGTCTAGCAGGCTTATGGGCAGAGGATCTCATCATGTCAGGACATTTCATTCGTTTTGTGTCGGGAAAAGGTTGAAAAGTTAATTTTGACAGGCAAAGTATGATCATTTTTTGGAAGAAAACTATTATCCTCCAAAATGAACCAACGGGTTTGAAAAAAATACAGAGAACTGAATCTTTTACGATCGAAATTTTAAGGTTCACGTCTGAGTTTGAAAATGTTTCTCCATCATATTCCTTTGTTGTTAAATCGCCTGCAGTTTCATGCTCACCGTTCTCTGCCTTCTTTGATGACCTTGTTGGTGAACCCTCAACATTTTTCTCAGACTGATGAGCATTTGACTTAGCAACAGGCTTAGACTTAGTTCGCCTATGCCACGTTGTCCTACCTTGGTCCTTCATTGGTGTTTTGTCGTCTGTGAGTGGAGAGGCCTTTGGGGCCCTGTTCTTTGTCCCGAGACTTAGACTTGGTGTTGGTGGCTGTTTCGTGTCTTTTGACGGCGATGGTCCGTGTTTGCCGTCCTTAGACCGCGGAGGATATTTCACCTTAGGAAATTTGACATTATCCGGTGATAAAAGGAAATTTGTGCCATCACGTTTTGAAAAGACTTGTTTTGAATTAGGTTTGCTTCTCCCTTTCTTTGTATGGGCACGTGATGCTGTTATTGTTGGCTGTTTCGTGTCCTTTGACGGCGAAAGTCCATGTTTGCCGTCCTTAGACCGGGGAGGATATTTCACCTTGGGACGTTTGACATTATCCGATGATAAACGGATATTTGTGCCATCACGTTTTGAAAAGCCTTGTTTTGAATTAGGTTTGCTTCTCCCTTTCATTATATGGGCACGTGATGCTGTTATTGTTGGCTGATTCGTGTCGGCGATAGTTTATGTTTAGACGGAGGAGGGTAGCCTATTTGCGATATCTTCTAAACTGAAGGTTTTGATTTTGCAGGGGGTTTGGTTTTTACAGATGATTTCAGGCCATACATGGGTGGGTTTACCCGAGTTTGTGGCTGTAGTTGGTGGGGCTCCCTTTTTCTAGTGGATTTTTCGGTCTGTATTTCAGCATCCGTATTTTAGGCTTTTGTACAACACAGGTATCTGCAACCAAGTTTTGATAGATCATGAATAGACAGTGTATGGTAGATCATGAACAAAAGATCTTAATATTCAAAAATTAATCAGATCAAACTGTGTAATTTTCTAAATGTAGAGTACATTTCACAGTGAAGGCAGACTGATAGTCGTCCATGCAAAATCAAATTCATTTTATCTGAATTTAAATTACACCACCTCTGTGGATTGGTAGATTGAGTGTCTGCACGAATAGGGAAGCTTGGATCCCTTTGCCGTGCCGCCGTGATATTGCTAAAAGCGGCGTAAAACCTTACTCGGTCAGTCAGTCTGTACTAAACGACGTACCCGTGAAGATCCAGGTTAGAACTGATCTTCAGCAACAAAAGGTTGTCGTAGGAAGCGACTAATGGGATCGGGTGGTCAGGTTCGCTGCATGGTTGACACATGTCATGCTCATGCTGTTGATCACTGGATTGTCTGGTCCACACTCGATTATTAAAAGACCGCCGCCATGTAGCTGGAATATTGCTGAGTGCGGCGCTAAACAACCAGCCAGCCAACCAACTAAACTACGTTCATAGATGGTAACTCTCTAGGGCTCGACATCAAGGGGATAAAACAAGGTCAGATTTGAGTCAGTTTAACATGTCTGAGCGGGGTGTCCTTATAGAACTCTTGACAACAAATTAACTACAGAAGCCACAAAAAGGACCTGCTTATCTCAGTTGGCTTTCAAGCAAATTGGGAACAGAAGCCACACAGAGGACCTGTGTATTTAGTTGGCTTTCATACAACATAAGAACAGAAGCTCAAAGAGGACCTGTGTATCTCAGCTGGCTATCATACAAAACAGGAACAGAAGCCGCACAGGGCACTTCTAATATCCACACCCGTTGTCCGTTTGCCTATTACGTCACAGTGAACATACCTTACATACAGAGGAATACCTCAACGATAGTCACACAGGCACATCGAACTTCATCTAATGGGAGAAGTTTAGGAAAGGGGACAGCAACTGGTTGTCAATAGAGGAGACTTAAGCAATAGATAGGGTGACAAAGCCCAAAACATCGTGTTAAAATTAAATTAAAAGTATAAAAAGGATGCAATGAAACGTCAAAGAAAATTATTCAAAATTCAACCTATATTGCTGGCCTATTCACATCTATCAATCAACCAACCTACCAACCAACCAACGAAGAGAACAAACGAATGAACGAACGAACAGCTGCAAGACCTTATCTTGCGTCTCGGTACGTCCGCCTTCCCAGAATACCAGGAACATCAATCTGTATTCCGTGATGTAACTGCTACATAATGGGCAGAGTCGTGTTGATGACTCTTCTAGTCCCTGCTTTAAGGATAACCATACGCTTACCGACCGCCTCCGTGGTGTAGTGGTTAGAGCGTCCGCCCGGAGAGCGGAAGGTCGCGTTTTCGATCCCCGACCGCGTCATACCAAAACACGTTAAAATATGGTACTTGTTGGTGCCTGCCTGGCGCTCGGCATTAATGGGTACTGGTCGCCTCGGAGTCAGTATAATGTGTCTGGGTGGGGTATTCATGCTTCACTGCGGCATGGTATCTCAGTGGGCTAGCACTATAAAACCAGCTTAAGTCTGGGCTAGTACAAGCAGCCACACATACACATACACACGCATGCACGTCGTCATATGAGCGAAATATTCTCAAGTACGACGTTAAACCCAATTTCACCTCACCTCACCATACGCTTACCAATCCTCAAATGACTAAGCATTCGTCTATCTTATTTTCAAGATCTACTAAACATGAGTGGCTCTGATGCCACCGGACTATTTAACACTGAATATAATTCTAGTTTAGAGTAACTCGGCGCCTCAGAATACCATGTGTGACTACAACAACCTTTAACCAATAGTACCCGTAAGTAGGTCACGGCACTTCGCGAGACCTTACGTTGTTTAGTACTTCCGGTGACAAACGTTTTTCGGCAATGGCGATAACGCTGTTACATGGGGCACGCCGTGGGTCATCATACTCTACACTCGCTGTGTGACTCAGAAAACTATGTCATGTAACAGACTATAAACGTATCATGGCTATGTTGCATGAATAGCACGTGGATACCTGCCAAAAGCTGCAGAGTTGTCACAGCGTCGTCTTCATTTCTGGTTCTTTGAATCATTCATTAGTCCAGGTAAGTTTATTTGTTACATCGGTTTCTTTGTATTCATTTAAAGGCTGGTATAGTTTAAGCATGGCAGGCACAGTAAGGGTGGAGTTGACATGTGTGCAGATTGGTGAGTCGTTTGATCGCATTTAATATCCTACTTAAACCTCACAAACATGTGAGTTTTTTTGGTCAATATTTGTAAAGTTGTGCAAAAAACATTTTATCGGGAAGTGTGTCAATATATACAATATCTTGCAATTTGGAAATATCTAGAAGATACATGTATGTGCAATGAAATCCAAGGTGTAATTCTAAAAAAATAAATGTAATGCATTAAATAGTAATTTAATAGCATGTAAACAATTATGATTATATCCACACTTTGATTGATGTGAATAGCTCTGAATCGGTGTCTCTCACAAATGTATTCTTTTATATGAGCTTGATTAATACGACCCCATTTAGCATTTGTTTATTGTGTTCAGTTAAACATAACATCAACATGCTTAATTTATCAATACTATCTTGATATCAGCATTGTAAGGAACTGTTTACATTTTAGAAGTATATCATACTTGGTCTCACATGTGTTATGTATTTTTTTCAGTTGGAGCAGATGTACATCTTTAAGAGGAGAAAGAAGGAGGAATGTCTGTATCACCCCAATTATCATTGACATCTAGAGCAACTCAAACTGAAACAGATTCTTCAGATTTCTTTTAACATCTGGTGGTCAAGCAATACATTGCCAAAGAATATACAGCAAGAGTTGCATATACAGTTATAAAACATATTATAGCCCTACACATCATACTTTAGACACTTGCTTGAACAGGAAATGCTTGCCATCAGCAAGGTGTTGTGGAACGTCTTGGGACATCTTGGGACTCTCATATAATTCAGTGAGAATTTAGACGTGTGACCATGAAAATATTCCAGTTCATACTGTTACATTATTTTTCAGGTTTAACATCTGGGAAATGCAAAGAATGTTTTGAGTAATTATGCACTTGGAATAAAATTACAGAATACTTTTAAAACTTGTTTATTGTTTTTAAGTGTGGATAAACCAAGTACAAATTGAATGGTTTGGAAGATTTCTGATTTTAGCGATGATATTGATTTAACATAAAATATGTAACGATGAAGGTATGAGATTAGATTTTCAGTGTATATAGCAAAGGTTTCCAAGTGAGTGAGATCGGTTCTACACCGCTTTTAGCAATATTCTAGCAACATCATGGTGGGGATAGCAGAAATGGGCTTTACAGTTTGCACCCACCTGGGCAATCAACCTGGGCCTTCAGTGTGACAAGTTACCAGTTTAACCACTAGGCCACCCTACTACCCCGGTTTCCATGAAAAAGAAACATGCTTGCCAATGAAAATTAAACTTATCAATGGCACAGACATGTATTTCTACATGGCATAAAATCGTTGTTGAGATATGAATTTCTTTGTATTTGCTGTCAGATTTCAACACTGGTTCATAGCACAATAACCAGTACACATTATTCCTTTCAATTATTTTAAAACATTGGAGAATGCCAGTTACCCAACATGGCCTTAATGGCAGAATATTTGGAATATAGAAGTTACAAAAAGTAGGTGAAGAACATTATATTTCATGACAAGTAATCATACTCATGCTGCTATCAGCCTGTGTCTGCAGAATCTACAGTCATGACATAGTATACATTATGTATACATATTTAGTTTTCCCATGTGTTGGTCAGTATATTTTACAATACAGGAAATGTATTTGGTCAGTATATTTTACAATACAGGAAAAGTCTTTGAGTGATTGCCCCATATTTGAATGTATTTGGTCTTGCATTTTGTCTACTTGTGACTCGAAGGTGCTGTGCGCTGCTTAATATGTTGCTTACAGCACAGCAGAACCTCACCCCTGCATAACCAAGAACTAAGTAACACGCATGTACTGTACATCATAGTACATGGCTCATAACATACATGACAGTACAAAGTGTAATTAATATTGTCCATCAACCTGTTTTATATGTTACCGCACTAAAATAATGTTTACATAATTTGATAAATTATTGTTTCATGATGAAAATTCATCTGGCTGAGGGTTTTGACATTTTTGTTTTGAATATCTGACAGTAGTAACTGAAATAATTACACTATGTCATTATCAATATATTTACAGCACGTCAAAGAAAACCAATTTGACACATGCAAATCTCTGTCATCTATCCAGTAAAGTTAATACAGTCATCCCTTAGGCTTGAAAGAGAATAAAATTATATGTTAAGCCTACCGACTAGTTAACAAACTATTTATGTTAAAAAACTCAAGTATTATACACATGCATTATACATTGCATAAAGCCAATTGTCTCCATTAATTATATCTATTAACTAGTTCCTATCAAATATAAATGTTAACAGGTAAAAATAGTTTATAATTTGGAATAGTTACTGAAAACATTGTTACAGCATAACAAATGTATTAGAAAATAAATAACAAATTCAACAAACAAAAATATTCAAATTTAGAAATTACATACTTTAATTGATAATGAGTCAGTGTGGCCAAATATGAATAGAATACCAACGTGATAAGATGGTAACACATGACTGTTTTATGTATAGCAATAATATATTAATTAAAAGTTTTATTAGTTCAATAAATACAATTTAGTCAAATGCATTTCACGTTAACCATATCATTGATTCACCAAATATATATTTTTGACAAACACTCTCCGCGATACTGTGAAAAGAAACACGTTTAGCGTTAGAACTGCACTGGTTGTCAAAAAATATATTAAAGCTAAAGAAAGGTACTCATATGTTTTCGAATTGACTCGTGGTTGTCGGTTGTCAGTAAGGAACCGATAATCCTGGAAGGAATAATATGTTTCCGATCTTTCCGATCGTCCCCAAAAAACAGCTCAAGACCTTACCTTGCGTCTCGGTACGTCCGCCTTCAGTGGATCGAGTGACAACCAACCAAACAACGAAGGGAACGAACGAACGAACGAATGAAGGAAGGTAGGAACGAACAGAGGCGAGATCTTACCTTGCGTCTCGGTATACATACTCGGTATATATACGTCAGTCTTCAGTGAATTCCAGGAACAGCCAATCTATATATCGGAGAAATTTACCTGGAAAGCCCACGCCCACGATCTTCTTGTCGATTTATTATCATCGATCCGTGTTTGACATGCCAGGAGCCTATGATGAATCTCTTGGTTGTTTCTGCGTGTGTCATCAGCATACCCTACATCACTCATGGCTTTCCTTCCATATATATTCCGTGATGTAACGGAACTAATTGTTATGTTGCATAATGAACAAGACGTCGTGTCGATGACCGTTCTCCTCCCTACTTTGGTGGGGTAGCCTAATGGTTAAGGCGTTCGCTCTTCACACTGAAGACCCTCGTTCGATTCCCCACGTGGGCACATTGTGTGAAGCCCATTTCTGGTGTCCCCCGCTGTAATATTGCTGGGATATTGCTAAAAGTAGCGTAAAGCCTAACTTACTCACTCCTCCATACGTTGATCATAACTATCAGTTTACAAATCCTTAAATAACTAAGTATTCGTCTATCTAATAAATAGGATCAAATTAGTTTTAATGTAAGTGAAATGCAGAAAGTCTACAAGTTTGGGGATACTATGAGGCGGGTTGAAAAAACCTTGCAAACCAGAAAGAGTAAAGGTCAGAAGGAAGTATTTGTCAAATGGATGGGCTATCCTAAGGAATTCAACAGCTGTACCCTCAGTTGCTGTCTTTAAACCATGGAGTCAACATCATGTCCTGAGTGGGGGAAAGTATTTTTAAGAAAAGACGTTATGTTACGTCACCAGAGAACTAAACATCGTCTCAACAAAGTCACTGAAGTATATCCATCGCGATTCACTTTACTGCCGCCGCCACAATATGCGCCTGAACAATTCAAGTATACCATCCTTTCCAATGCGGTCATAGTTGGCCTCAGAGGCTGTGGAAAAATGTATTTGCACATGACATTTTGCTGAAAGGACCCATCAAACCAGCACATAACAACATCATCTGGTGCTATACGGAATGGCAGCCCATTTACCACTGCCAAAACTATGCCTCATATTCACTTCGACAAGGGGCTTCTATGTAACCTACGGGATGAACAGTACTTTTTAGATCATTTGATGTTCGAGGCCAAAGATACTAAATGTATCTGTCAGCTATTCACATACCTCCCATCACAAAAATGTTATCATTTTCCTGCTATAAGAAAACTTGTTTCCAAGAGACAGGGGGAAGGCGGGATAGCCTAGTGGTTAAGGCGTTCGCTAGTCACGCCGAAGACCCGGGTTCGATTCCCCACATGGGTACAAAGCGTGAAGCCCATTTCTGGTGTCCCCCGCCGTGATATTGGTGGAATATTACAAAAAGCGGCGTAAAACCAAACCCACTGACTCACTTCAAGAGGCAGGGAGTTACGTGACATTGCCCTGAATTCCCATTACGCCACACTATTTAATTCCCCTGTAGACAGGTAACAAGTCAACATATTTGCAAGACGCATTTACCATAACAACTCGCAACAGCCTTGTGGTAATCTAACTCTCAATTTGAGATCGAGTCCTCCAGAAAGTGAAAGACTGCAACCCAATATACTTAATGATATACAAGACCAGAAGTTGCAGCTATAAAAGGGACTCATGATCAATCAGCATACAGTAATAGGATTCCTGGAAAGATGTGTGTGAGGTTGACATGATACGTCTCGGGGTGTACAGTCAACGCACAGGTAGTGAAGCCAGCTGTACAGTCAACGCAACAATTAGTGCACAGATATTGAAGCCAGATGTACAGTCAACCCAACAAGTAGTACACAGGTATTGAAGCCAGATGTACAGTCATCCCAACAAGTAGTATACATATATTGAAGCCAGATGTACAGTCAACCCAACAAGTAGTGCACAGGTATCGAAGCCAGATGTACAGTCAACCAAACAAGTAGCACACGGGTATTGAAGCCAGATGTACAGTCAACCCAACAAGTAGTACACGGGTATTGAAGCCAGATGTACAGTCAACCCAACAAGTAGTAGACGAGTATTGAAGCCAGATGTACAGTCAACCCAACAAGTAGTACACGGGTATTGAAGCCAGATGTACAGTCAACCCAACAAGTAGTAGACGAGTATTGAAGCCAGATGTACAGTCAACCCAACAAGTAGTACACGGGTATTGAAGCCAGATGTACAGTCATCCCAACAAGTAGTATACATATATTGAAGCCAGATGTACAGTCAACCCAACAAGTAGTACACGGGTATTGAAGCCAGATGTACAGTCAACCCAACAAGTAGTACAGGGGTATTGAAGTCAGATGTGCAGTCAACCCAACAAGTAGTATACATATATTGAAGCCAGATGTACAGTCAACCCAACAAGTAGTACACATATATTGAAGCCAGATGTACAGTCAACCCAACAAGTAGTACATATATATTGAAGCCAGATGTACAGTCAACCCAACAAGTAGTATACATATATTGAAGCCAGATGTACAGTCAACCCAACAAGTAGTATACATATATTAAAGCCAGATGTACAGTCAACCCAACAAGTAGTATACATATATTAAAGCCAGATGTACAGTCAACCCAACAAGTAGTATACATATATTGAAGCCAGATGTACAGTCATCCCAACAAGTAGTATACATATATTGAAGCCAGATGTACAGTCAACCCAACAAGTAGGATACATATATTAAAGCCAGATGTACAGTCAACCCAACAAGTAGTATACATATATTGAAGCCAGATGTACAGTCAACCCAACAAGTAGTACACGGGTATTGAAGCCAGATGTACAGTCATCCCAACAAGTAGTATACATATATTGAAGCCAGATGTACAGTCAACCCAACAAGTAGTACACGGGTATTGAAGCCAGATGTACAGTCAACCCAACAAGTAGTACATATATATTGAAGCCAGATGTACAGTCAACCCAACAAGTAGTACACGGGTATTGAAGCCAGATGTACAGTCAACCCAACAAGTAGTACACATATATTGAAGCCAGATGTACAGTCAACCCAACAAGTAGTACATATATATTGAAGCCAGATGTACAGTCAACCCAACAAGTAGTATACATATATTGAAGCCAGATGTACAGTCAACCCAACAAGTAGTATACATATATTAAAGCCAGATGTACAGTCAACCCAACAAGTAGTATACATATATTAAAGCCAGATGTACAGTCAACCCAACAAGTAGTATACATATATTGAAGCCAGATGTACAGTCAACCCAACAAGTAGTATACATATATTGAAGCCAGGTGTACAGTCAACCCAACAAGTAGGATACATATATTAAAGCCAGATGTACAGTCAACCCAACAAGTAGTATACATATATTGAAGCCAGATGTACAGTCAACCCAACAAGTAGTACACGGGTATTGAAGCCAGATGTACAGTCAACCCAACAAGTAGTACACATATGTTGAAGCCAGATGTCAACCCAACAAGTAGCAATACAGTCAAGTCCCAACAAGTAGTACATATATATTGAAGCCAGATGTACAGTCAACAAGTAGTATACAACAAGTAGTAACCCAACACATATATTGAAGCCAGATGTACAGTCAACCCAACAAGTAGTATACATATATTGAAGCCAGATGTACAGTCAACCCAACAAGTAGTATACATATATATTAAAGCCAGATGTACAGTCAACCCAACAAGTAGTATACATATGTTGAAGCCAGATGTACAGTCAACCCAACAAGTAGTATACATATATTGAAGCCAGATGTACAGTCAACCCAACAAGTAGGATACATATATTAAGCCAGATGTACAGTCAACCCAACAAGTAGTATACATATATTGAAGCCAGATGTACAGTCAACCCAACAAGTAGTACACGGGTATTGAAGCCAGATGTACAGTCATCCCAACAAGTAGTATACATATATTGAAGCCAGATGTACAGTCAACCCAACAAGTAGTACACGGGTATTGAAGTCAACCAGATGTACAGTCAACCCAACAAGTAGTACATATATATTGAAGCCAGATGTACAGTCAACCCAACAAGTAGTACACGGGTATTGAAGCCAGATGTACAGTCAACCCAACAAGTAGTACATATATATTGAAGCCAGATGTACAGTCAACCCAACAAGTAGTACACGGTGTATTGAAGCCAGATGTACAGTCAACAGTCAACCCAACAAGTATTACATATATATTGAAGCCAGATGTACAGTCAACCCAACAAGTAGTATACATATATTTGAAGCCAGATGTACAGTCAACCCAACAAGTAGTACATATATATTGAAGCCAGATGTACAGTCAACCCAACAAGTAGTATACATATATTAAAGCCAGATGTACAGTCAACCCAACAAGTAGTACACATTTATTGAAACCAGATGTACAGTCAACCCAACAAGTAGTATACATATATTGAAGCCAGATGTACAGTCAACCCAACAAGTAGTATACATATATTGAAGCCAGATGTACAGTCAACCCAACAAGTAGTATACATATATTAAAGCCAGATGTACAGTCAACCCAACAAGTAGTATACATATATTGAAGCCAGATGTACAGTCAACCCAACAAGTAGTACACGGGTATTGAAGCCAGATGTACAGTCATCCCAACAAGTAGTATACATATATTGAAGCCAGATGTACAGTCAACCCAACAAGTAGTACACGGGTATTGAAGCCAGATGTACAGTCAACCCAACAAGTAGTACATATATATTGAAGCCAGATGTACAGTCAACCCAACAAGTAGTACTCATATATTGAAGCCAGATGTACAGTCAACCCAACAAGTAGTACACGGGTATTGAAGCCAGATGTACAGTCAACCCAACAAGTAGTACATATATATTGAAGCCAGATGTACAGTCAACCCAACAAGTAGTACACGGGTATTGAAGCCAGATGTACAGTCAACCCAACAAGTAGTACATATATATTGAAGCCAGATGTACAGTCAACCAAACAAGTAGTATACATATATTAAAGCCAGATGTACAGTCAA